TTCATCATGAATAGACGCCTGAACAACGCTTGCAAATAGTGCAATTTTATTTCGAAAATAATGGTAATGTGCGGAATACGTATCGCGCACTACGTCCATTTTATCGTCGGCAGTTAATTCGATTAACCATGGAACGTTTTCCCACCACGTTTACTCTTATTGATAACTCGCATCCCCAGAGACGCCGTACGGTGCGTACAGAAGAAGCTATTGCTGCTGTAGAGCGTAGCATTGAGGAAGACCCGAATGAGTCCATTCGCCATCGAGCACAGGAATTTTATCTTTGTCCATCCACTTTATGGAAGATTTTGCGGAAGGATCTTGGTTTACGTGCTTACAAAATCCAACTCGTGCAAGAATTGAAGCCAAACGATCACCAAGTAAGGCGTAAATTCGTCGAATGGGCCCAAAACCAGATTGCCGTTGTTCCCGATTTTCATAAGCGAATTTTGTTTAGCGATGAAGCGCACTTCTGGTTGAATGGCTACGTCAACTAACAAAACTGCCGCATTTGGAGCGAAGCTAATCCTCAAGTGTATGTCGAAACACCGTTACATCCAGAAAAACTGACTGTTTGGTGCGCTTTATGAGCTGGTGGAATCATTGGTCCGTACTTCTTCAAAAACGATTATGGCCAGAACGTTACAGTCAATGGTGATCGGTATAGAGCTATGATTACTAACCATGAATAACCATTGAATAGCCATGATGTCCTGGAGATGTGGTTTCAACAAGACGGCGCAACATGTCACAGAGCTCGTGCCACAATCGATTTATTGATTTATTTATTTATTGGTGACCGCCTAATTTCACGTTTTGGACCTGTGAATTGGCCTCCAAGATCTTGTGATTTAACACCGCTAGACTACTGTCTGTGGGGCTATGTACAGTCATTGGTCTATGCGGATAAACCACAAACGCTTGACCATTTGGAAGACAACATTCGCCGTGTTATTGCCGATATACGGCCACAAATGTTGGAAAAGTCATCGAAAATTGGACGTCCAGAATGGACTACATCCGCGCCAGCGGTGGCGGTCATATGCCAGAAATCATATTTAAAATATAATGCCACAAGATTATCTTTCGGATAAATAAAATTCATGTCAATCGAATAATCCATCGATGTTTTATTGCAACTTAAAGTTCTATACGTCGAAAAAAAAAAACACCCCTTATATGCCTATAGGGTATTTCAAAAATTTATGCATCACGGCCCTTAAATCGATCCTTTGAAAACGAAATGTTTCTTTTATTGGTTTCGATAATCGAACCGGCGCGCATTAATATTTTGGACAGGACCGCGTAATTGATTATTGAGGCCGGAGTTCATTGAGAATGACCTCACGTCGAGGCGATCTTATTCGCCTTATCGCATTACGATACCCGCTTAATTGATAATGACGTTTAAATAGGCCCGGGTAGTTTAGAATTTGTGCCGCTCTCACGTCATCTCGCCGATTATGGCGCCATCTTGTTATTTGCCAAAAACCAGCACCCAAACGGTCAAACGCTGCTTCGAAGTGTCGAAAATCCAAACGCAGCTCAAGTGAATAATGATCGAAAAGTTTTTGTACTGCGGCGTTACCAGGACGCTGTGTCGGACGTCTAGATGTGTTGTAAATATAGACAAGCGCACGAGTAGCAGAAAACATTTCGTTAAAATACGCGATAAGTTCGCCTCGGTTGTGGCCCAAAATATTTTTGGAAATGGCGTGGATTTTAGCGGTTTCCCAGTCGTTGAAATGTCACGACGCGAACTTTGGCGAGGCCTGTGATCCGGAAAATGCGCGAAAGGTTGCTCTTTATCTAGGGGTCTTTTTATTTAAAAACAATATTCCAAAGGTTGTACTTCAGTCCAGTATATAGTAGATGGGTCATAAATTAAAAAATTGTCGGTTGGTATTTTCTAGTAATTTCTCGTGTTTTGTTGCCAAATTTTCAATGATCATTTCTGTCAATCGACCGTATGAAAGAGGCTTGGCTAAGACTTAGGTTATTTGAAAATTATTGCTAGATAGTCTCAGGTTGCAGAGGGTCGTCAAAATGACGTCATCAACTCGTCACCAAATGGCGAAAATGACGTTACATAGGAAGTCAGCAGGACGTGAATTTGACATACTAATGTCTCGGCCGAATGATGTCATTTAAGTGAGGCCTTTTTTACATCAATTAGTGTCATTATTACTGCCGAAAAATATAACGATTGTTAAATTGTTTTTTTCTTTTTTGAACCGGAAAAATCGAAAGTAATTTAAAGCAAGTGAAGTAAGTAAATTAAATTACATCGGACAGCTTTTGCGGAAAATGGAGAATTACAGTTAATGAATAAAGATGAGCCTTTCTTTAAAATAATAATAATAATAATAATAATAATGGAAGTATAATGTACAAGGTCTTCCATTTGATTTTTTCACGAAAATTATTATTTTCCATTTTGACTCACCCTGTATAAACAATTCGAACTAACTTCAAGACACGTATAGGCTGTATCTATTTAAAAAAAGTGTTGGCATAATAAAACTACAGCTGTCGGAAACGGCTTCAAAAATACAAGGTATTAAAAACAGGGCATTTTTGACGAAAAAATGGCCATAAAAACGATAACACTCGGTATAGACCATAACAACCCTACACTGGGTGATTGGTTGACCCTGTATATTTGAAAATAATTGTAAATTGTTTCTTTTAATCTCATCTGTCCCTTTTGTATTTAAAATTTTTCTCAAAAACAAATAATAAGATATATTACTTGAAGAATCTCTAGATATATTCTCCTACGTCATGGTTTTAAATAGAAGAATTTGATAATTGTTGAAATTAATTATTAAGTTTAAAGTCCATATCTCGAATTGATCAAGTCATTTTATAACGACATTCTGAGGTCATTTTTGTGATGTTAATAAGACATCCGTCAATTTGACCTGTTTTTCTTTTACCTGAAGTATTTTGCATATTCGAGCTTGTTAAAAGTTTCGGTGAAGACTCTCTTCCAATACAATAGCTGGCGAGACGACGTCTACTAAAAAACAGTAGACAGACCTAGGCCCGACGATAAACCTAAAAATGCAAATGCACTGCGGAACTTTTTGAACAAACTCAATTCAGTTTATCTCCCACTTGCATTATTAGTATTAAATAAGCACAGTTTTAATATTCTACTAATGTTTAACGAAAACATAAAACAAATAAGTTTGACGCAGTTGCTGCGTGTCAAAGTTAAAATTTCATCATCATCTCCTTCATATTTTTGGCCCTGTCACTGTATGAAATAATATATGCTAAAATCAGTCGCGGTGCTGTATGGAAAACGTTGACATAGCGGCAGAGCTAAAATTTTGTTCCCCTCAGTATACGCGCGTCGAAGAATCTACATTCCTGCGGCGGTTTCTTTCAGTTTGTTTTTATTTCGAGCACGTAGTTGGGTAATTGCACGGTCCACCGTGAAATGGTAAGCAGCCGCTTCGCTTATCGGCGCGTACATCCACCGGTCTTGAACGATTTTTTTTAATCGTCAACAATTTACCCGAAACGGCTGATTCCACGCGTCGAAACGATGGCCAACTTTCGTTAGAAAGGACACTCGAAATGAAACGTTGCTCGCGGGATACGTATTTATCGTATTTATTTGCTATACACGTTAATGACACATTTCGCAACCGCGCCATCACCGGGTACATGAAAAGACGCGGGCTGGGCACGGATAACGCTAGCTGTTTGCCGGCGGTTTATTTTCAAGAAGAAGAGGGTTGAATCCGATTCATGTTCCGTACTAACTCGTCAACGAAATTCTGAAAATATAACTAGTCTTCGAATAAAGGTAACGAACTAAGGAAACGGACGGTAACAACAAAAATAAACACTCGGAGGACTTTCACAAATTTGTATTGTATTGGTTATACCAATACACCCATACCATAAAATTTAACTCTCAAATCTAAACTAAAAACTCCTTCAAGTCCTTTCGGGACGCTGAGAATAATTACTTAAATAAATCAAAAACTGTTTGTTATAAAACCGTTAACAACAACCTTTAAAATCGATATTTTCCTACAATTCAACTTTTATTAGTGTTAATCATTTTATGTTAGGATAAAATATATTAAAATGCGCGATTAATTGCGCTTATTTCTTCAGAAAACAATTTTTCTTATCGAGTCAATCATATTATGATTGGTAGAACAATGTTCTAGAAATAGAGCAAACGGTAATAAAAACAAAAAATACCACTCCCTAGATTAACTAGATTAACAAAAATAATTCTTGGTAGGAACCGGGTTTTAATTTCAGAAATTTAAAAATAATTTTATTTTCTCTTGGTCGATTTACTTCTTTTTTTTTTCAAATTACTAGGACCGTCCGTTTTCCTAATAAAGTATATATGCGCCTTTACTGAGACACTCGTATAAACAAGCTTGATTAGGTAATGCAGCGGCGTTAAACAGTTTACTTTAGCCGTCGCTGTAAACAAATAGTTACGAGTTTCGATAGCGAAACAACAAATCGAGGTTAAATAAGAACAGGATTTTTGTTTCCGCCTCCCAGTTGAAGCACACCCGGTCGTACAAGAACCGTACAAAAACCGCAATATTTTGTCATTGCACTTGACGAAAACTAAATGCTTCTTCAAATTTGCAAGTACTGCTGTAGCAGCTCTTAAAACTGACAATGTTGTCGTAGAAAAAGAAAAGTGCCTACTCGACTATCCTGCGGCAAAAAGCTGCCCCGAGCTGCGTTAATTTCAAGCCCCACCTATTACACGCATCAAGATACGTTCGGCAGTCATGAATAAGTTATTTTCAGTGCGATTTCACGTCCTTTTAGCTGCGAGCGGAGGACTTATATTCCAGATAAGTACTACTCGATGCACAATTTACATTCCCTACACCATGACCCAAGAAAATTTGATGTGTCGAACGTGAACGACGTTACCATAGAACGCTAATCGGTATCGGCGGAACTCTTCTTCTTTTTAACGATTCGACTTTTATGTTTTGCAGGGATTTGAGGTTCAACCGTATAAGGGACGTGCCAAGGGGTACCTTCAAGGGACACAAGGGACTGGTGACGTTGCTGCTGAACAATAATTACTTGACGAGCCTGAAGAACGACACGTTCCAGGGACTGTACCACGTGCAGAATTTGTATCTGTACAAGAATAGGATCAAATATGTGGACAGCGGGACGTTCAAGGGCATGGCGCGGCTCGAAAGATTGTGAGTACGATTTTGTTTTTTGTTTGCTTTTGCGTTATTACTACGTACGTTATATATGAGTAATCCCTGTGAATCAATGTGAGGCAAATTTAACAATAGTAAGGTTGTGGAATTGATCGGTGAATTTTTTTTATGTCAATTGATCGAAATAATTGTAAAAATTCAATGAAATTTATTTATATTGTGCGTTACGTCGCACAGTGGGCCAGAATGACCCAAGAACTTTGAAAAATTATTTAAATGCTATTTTTTGTCGGAAATCATGTGATACAGCAAGTTAACGCCAAACTAATGAGAACATACTAAATTTGCAAAATTAGAAAAATAAAGTACCTGCGACATGAGCATGAGCAATAAAAAAAAACTGTGATACCGTTTTGCTCGATTCTTGAGATATATCTAAGCAAAATTAAAGAATTTAGTTTAGGTAATAGAAGAAGAACTAAGATTCAATTAAATAACAGTTATTGATATAAGTAGCCTAAACATACCTGTTTAAGTTCATCCATTGAAAAAAGGCATTAAATTATCTTGACCACCAAACGGGAAGCAGAACTTCTATAGTTTTTTAAATAAATCTGCAAGAAAGCGGAGCCGTAACACGATTCCACATATTCGGACGCTGTTTACGGTTAGCAAAGAGATGTTTACATCGCGATTTAATTCTTTTTTGATAGTCCATAGCCTGTTTGTTTAATGCTGTGCAAAATATTTTGAAAAAAAAAAACGAAAAGTAAAAGTAAAGTAGAATTTTTAAAACTTTTTGGGCTATCCTGGCCCACTGTGCATCGCCGTCGCGTCGTTCTGAGAACTAAATGGAGTCGATCTTTTTATTGAGATTCCCCGAATCCCGAAGTATCGTATTCGGATATTCCTGGAAGAGGGTTATAAGCAAATTGGACATCACACAAGCATAATAATTCATTATAAAATACATATTGTTATTAAATAATGATAGATAATAATTTACAATTGCAAGATTTTATTTAACTCATTTTGATCGAATTTGACTAATCAATTAAGAAGTGAACAATTTATGGTCTGTTCATAGATATAAGAAAGTGACCAATTGCTTTTGAATAGGATTATCCAAGGGTGGTCATTAACATAGAATGCAACAAGATTATTACCTAAAGTTTCGGAATTTAAATTCAGGTAAAATTGTGGTCCGTAATAGAAAATAATTTTATATCTACCTGTGTTTAATATTCTTTGGTTTGGTATACTACTTAGTTTAAATTTATTAGTAATCATTCTTATTTTGTGTGTAATACAGCGTGTGTTGAATCGTGTGCGAATTATGCAAAATATGTGTGAGTCTAGTGTATCTCAGGAGATGCTCCTACCCAAATGTAGAAAACACTATTCTATTGAGACTAAGCAATTTATAAACAATGTTTATTTGACTCTCATTGAACGTGATGTCAGCAAGCAAGCAGCAAACTAGTTCCAAACATTCCTCCTAATAGCGTCATTGTAATGGACAATGCAATTTATCAAGTAGACAGTTGACTAAAACCCCTTCCTCATGTGACACAATAGCAACAATCCGAAACCACATGTATAATAACTACATTTATTTTCACAAAGTTGGGCAAATTCTGTTAAACCTATAGAAAGATCAGAACAATCGTATATCCATATTCCAAATAATATAGAACAAATAATAATTAGAACAGGCGATGATAGCGATAGTAATACAGATATATTATGTAAATAATTTTAAGTAATTTAAGTAGGTAATAAAAATAATTTTTAATTTTACTTTAGATTTAAACATAAATACATACATAAATAAATAAATATTGTTTAGTATCTTTCCTAACAAAACCCCAAATAATTAAATTCTAAGCAAAGTACGGACCTGTTCGACCATATTTCATTCTTACAGCTTGCTCGGGTCTTTCCTTAATTCGTATCAGTTAGTCTCTTTCTTATATCTATGAACAGACTGTACCTGCCCCAACACTATACAATCTTTTAGCGATAGAGATTTTTGATTTTGAATGAGCTGTTTTCGTCATTTGATTTCTATATTTTCAGTATTGTTTTGCTCTGTATGCGAAATACCAATAGATCCAGTTCTTAAGTTGGTGTATTTTTTCTAATTATAAGTAAACTAAATTGCTTAAAACCTAACATCTACAATAATCTAAGATATTAACAAACCTACGAATAAGGTGTATGAAAATTAATATATTTAGAAATTTTTTGTCAATTTTTTTTCAGGAATAATAGGTAGCTCAATCATAAAAATGGAAATATCAATTTAGCAATTTTTCTTTATACATGTCATAATCATAGTCATATTATTATATTTTATTTGCATAATACTCGACGAGTTTATTATTTATCTATAATTAATAATTTAATATACAAAAGGTGTAAATCTTTACTGAACCAAAATATCAATATGCAACACCACAATTTTCAATTTGAAAATATGTTTTTTAATTAACACCAGCGTCAAATTTTTAGTAGGTATCCTACATAGACATTGTCACCGTCAAATGTATCAACATACATACGTCACAACCACTAAGTTCAGAGAAGGATCCAGACAGGTGAACAAATTGAGAAATAACCATAAATAATTTGTTGATAACAGTTATCTGCTATTAGTGTTAACTTTTACGACAAAGAACGCAATCCCCATTACCACCTGCCTCGCTTTAAATAAAATTTGCTTCACAAAATCCGTATTGGCTAGACCCATTTCAGTTCGATAGATGCGATCATATAATGAATATACCACGTATGCATTACGCCTTTTTTTCATTCTCGTACTGCCGCCGCATTCGTGCTCTCTCCGACGTATTACGTAATCGCACAGGCAATAACTACAACTCCTTATAATTTATGAATTTGTTTAGCACTTTATTTTGTTGCGCGCACGACTCGGTTTGCTTGTAGCGTTTCAGAAAAAATGAGTACGTATAAATACTTCTACACCGAATACCGATGCCATTTGTTCGTACAATAAATTATATTGATTCCACAAACATGGTTAATAAAAATACACGGTTTTGATTTATTTTAGCGGATAACGTTAAATTGGTGACGGGCGTCAATTATATGACGATATTGACCACTAATTATCGTAATGTTTGAAATTTGCAACGGAGAAGACCAATTCTTTGGGACCGTTCTCAACTAACCAAAACTAGGCTGCAACCGTTGAAGTAAATATTTGTACTACGCATCGCACGACCCTGAGAATCACCGGTTAAATTATTTGACTTGAATTTCGTAACACCCTGTATATAGTATAGTGCTTTGAAAAATAATGGATACTTCTTCAAGTGGTTTTGGCTTAGATCGTCCACGTCTGCGTGTTTTCTGGCTTCGTTAAGCCTGCCGACGTCACTAGAGAATAGAAAAATTTAGTTTTATAGGTCGTCGTACGCGGATCAATCGGCATGTATGCCCGTATCTGTTTTTTAGCTGTCGTTGCGAAAAGATATGATCGCTCCCCGATGTTTATTTAACGTCGCGTACTTGTTTGCTTTAAAATGAAAATAGATTCGGATTTTATATATCGCCGCGATTATTAATAGAACGGCATAGCGAGCGTCGGATCGTTAGATTGAAAAAAGAGGGACTAAAAAAATCAAAAAGTTGTCCATCATCAATTCGACATTCTCAGCGTGCTGCTACACTTGAAAGTTAGGTTAGAGAAAACGCTTCTGGCGGCAAATAAACACGCAATATTTACTCGTTACCTTTCAATATTTGGCAGGCTTAATCTACCCTTATAAACGACAGGTAAAGCATTATTCGTGGCTTTCGTTCGTAGCTGTTTGTATTTCGTTGAAGGAAGGAAGCCTTATTAAATGCAAAACATGTAATTTTAATTGAGACTAGCGCAGAGACTGACAATTCAAAGGAAATTATTGCCTTCAAACTAGCAAAATTAAAAGCACCTCTTATAAAATTAAGGTAACGTGCCTAGGTTTAAAGATTTTTTATTTTAGATCTAACAATATTTCTTGAGTGACATCCATCAATAGAACAGACTTGGATAAATTCATAAAATTCACTAAATTGCGAACTAACCATACGCAAACGAAAAGTCATAAAAAACAAAGCGACCGTATGTGGCTGGAATTAGATTTGGATTTGGATTCGGATTTGCAAATATTACAGTGCACCAGTTCGTTACTGATAATTAAAAAAAACATATTCCTGTGGACAAGCACGGAAATATTGTTAGGTAACTCCCAAAAACCATATCCAATGTTGCTATATAGAAAATAACCCGACCATTAAAAAGACCCTTAAGAGAGCTTCAAAATGATGTATTACTCAACCACCTTGAAACAGTCGGGAATATATGCAACTCTCCTAATTATGAAATACCCAAAAGTTCATTATGTTTATGTCGCAATCGCAAAAAAATCTGACGTTGTCCCAGATATTCAATGAGACCATTAAAGAGCAACTTGGGAGAGCATCAAAATGATGTATTACTCAACCACCTTGAAACGGTCGGGAATATATAAAACTCCCCTAATTATGAAATACCCAAAAGTTCATTATATATGTTTCGCAGTCGCAAAAAAATCTGACGTCTCAGATATTCAATGAGATCATTAAAGAGCAACTTGGGAGAGCATCAAAATGATGATGGTGATGATGTATTACTCAATCACCACGGTCGGGAATATATAAAACTCCCCTAATTATGAAATACCCAAAAGCTTGATGTATTTATTTAGCATTATCAAAAAAAATCTTGCGTTGTCCCAGACCATTAAAGAGCCTACTTAGGAGGGGCTTCAAAATGATGTAATACTCAACCACCTCGAAACGGTTGCGAAGATATAAAACTACCCTTAATGGTCTAATTGATTATCTGGGACAACGTCAGATTTAGTTAAGATTGCGAAAGGAATATAACGAATATTTGGGTATTTCATTATTTGGGGAACTTTTATATATTCCCTACGGTTTCGAGGTGGTTGAGCAATACATCATTTTGAAGCTCTCCCAAGTGGCTCTTTAATAGTCTGGTTGAATCTTTGAGACAACGTCAGATTTTTTCGAGATTGCGAAAAAGTATTAAATTATTTTTTTGCGGTGATGCGAGCAGAAAAGGGGTTATTTTCTGTATAGCAACATTGGATATGGTTTTTGGGAGTTCCCTTACAATATTTCCGTGCTTACTTTCCCAGCATGTCCACAGCAATATGTTTTTTTAATTAAGGTAAGTAACGGACTGGTTCAGTGCAATATTTGCAAATCCGAATCCAAATCCAAATTTAAGTTCAGCCACATAACGGCGGTTCTAAATGTTTCTTCCCAAATGGATTAAGAATTTTTCCGACAGAGGTCGTATTTGATGATAGGTGGCGATCGGACACGTGAAATGGGACTTTTTCTGACCCATAATTACGCCTTCCTACACTAAGCCGGTCGTAATCCAATTTGAAACGTCGACTTCTTTACAGGTATCTGCATTTCAATGAGCTGCAGGAATTCGACGCGGCTACGTTTTCGAACTTGCCTTCGTTGGACAGACTGTGAGTATGCGACGCGTTTCGTTTGGTTTTTATAGGTCTTTTAGTTCGGTTTCGTTATAACATCCGGATTTTAAGCGCAGTAAGATGCTCCAATTCAATTGAACCTTACATTTTAGTCATTATACTAAAGAAGGGTGGAGTTTTCTATCAGTGACACGCCGACCTTACCAGTCAAGTGCTTGAATTTTAACATCAATATGGTAACCATCTAGCTGTGTTAAAAAAACAGTATTTAAAATATTAAAAAGGCATATAACCGTATATTTAAATTCCTACCAACTAAACTTTCAATATGAAATGAAAACAAAAAAATTCTGCTTAATATTTTGATAATTCTTTCTCCAACGCTTGTCGGCCTTGTTTAAACATGCGACAATAGATATTGACTTTTTCGTGTTTTTAAAAGAAAAAGATAAAAATACAGGAAATTTTGAGGTTCGCGCGACAGAAAGTAAAAAGAAATTTACTAGAAAACTTTGTTTGGTTCAAACTAACCAAAACTAGTACACCCTAACCTCAGAATAGACAAATAGCCAGAAGAATAATTTCCGGTGTGTGCGCGAAATCCTGCCTAACGTAAAAATAAAAATAATGATGCAGCGCTGTTCACTTCATTTCAATCTTTGGTTGAGATTAGTGGTTGTTCGTATGTCTGAAATAATGAACTCGAACTGCCATAATTTACGACAAAAATATTTAATACGCAGTCCGCGAATAAACATCATACAGGGGCGCAAAATAGCATTGCTTATATGGGTATGACGTCACACTGGCAATACTTTTTACACTGAGAGAAATAGCGTAATCGCAGAATTTTTGTTCGACATTGAGATAGAGTTTAAATTTGCGTAATCATATGAAAAACAATTTATAAATGAGTAAGAGAAAGAATTGCATTTACTTTCACGGAATTGTAACAATTTTAACCAAAAAATTGTAAATAGTTTTAATGATATTTTATACGTGTGCTTTCTGAGTCGAAATATTTACTCTGAATTTTTAACCGCGTCCTTTTGTTGGTTGTGTGTGGTGTTTACTCTGGGACTCGGCCTTTTGGTTGTTTATTCTGTGCGGTGGGATTTACGCAGAATCGCGCATGCGCGGACCAACCCGCAGTTTTTTTTTGTTGGATTATTACGTCTCGATTTGCGCGCGCAGGCGTGAGAATTGCCGCGACTTTTAAAGTTTACGCGTATTGGCGATAAATCTCGGCGTGGCATGCCGAATGCGCGACGAGCGAAGGCGGGAGGGGCAACGTTTGCCGCCGACCCCGGAGGTCAGATTCCGGTATTAGATTTCGTGGGAATCTCGACGCGACTTGGCAATCGCGTCGACGTACAATTTATAATCTAGGAAAGATTCTCTTGATAGTGTCGTTTCGCGAGACGCCTCCGTCTCCCACCGATCTCCGCTCAAATTTAACTAGCCCGATTGTATTTACATTTTCGTTGGGCAGCACTCAATACTGTCGGTAGGCAACCAACTTAACGCCGAAATGGGCGAGCGCTTGACCGACTTCTCCATAGTGGCAAAAATCGAATGTGTGGTAATTTGATCTTGGTTGATTTTAAACAAAACTCTAAAATTGCATCGGTTGTTTATAAAGCAAACTTGCTGACGTTCAGAGCTCAACTGAAACTGTCTCGCATTCTAGCCCGTACCTCTGTTTTCTTTTTTTTTTTAATTGGCGGAGCTGCGTGAACATTGCCTTGAACCCAAATTGGGTTCGTTTGAAATACCGGCAAAGAATGCGGAATACGAGAGGCTGGACGAAGAATATCAACTAGGCTAAAAGAACATGAAAGAGCCATAAGACATCAAATCTTATTCGATAAAACTAAAACGAAAAATCTGAGAATCTATAGAAATCTATAAGCAACCAAACAATTTTATCCGCGACTCACCAATACCGGAATCCATCATCGGAGTAATGTACCGTGCGTTCAATTTATCTTGATAACATTTTAATGGGCTTTCCCTTTTTTGTTTTTATAGATATCAAGGTAAACAAAAAAGCAAAACTGTAGGGTTAGTAGGCAAGGCTTTTTCCAAGTGACGTATAAAACAAAACTCTGATCAATTTGCTGACATATTAGCCTAAATCATATTTTTTTTAAATGGAACACCCTGTATATTATATATGTGTTAAATAGAATATCTTATTTCCATTACAATGATGTAATACACTTTATATTTTAGGCTACTCGTTTTTGACTAATCGGTAAAAATAAGAAATTTTTATATTCTTTTTACAAAACTTCTGGATTCTTCCTGACATTTCGCCAATCATCCTGTTGACTTCTTCAGAGCTCGACTGAAACTGAAGAAGCCAACAGGATGATTGGCGAAATGTCAGCAATTTCGACTAAGCAAAAACCGATGCAGGAGGAATCCAGAAGTTTTGTAAAAAGCATTACAGTAGTCTGTGGAAATTTCTTTGAAAAATTAATTTTTATATAATTTCAAAGAGTGCCGTGACTGACTGCAACAAGAATAATTATTTACAAATTAAAGTAGAACAAAAACACTTAAAATGACAAGACACACTAAAGTAAAAAATTGTTTAACTATTCTAAAGACTGCTTTATGTCACCAGTATTTTCTTGAACACATTTCTCATACACTCTATTATTGATTGCCTTTGAAATCCTTTGCCGAAGTTCCACGTCATTATAGTTAAAATATAGTAAAAACATTCACTGACATGACCGTCAGAATTGACAAACGTCAAAATTCAAAGCGTGGGAAATATCTCCGAAAACACTCGTGCGGTAAAATCCCGGAAATGTCCGAAGTGGCTCGGATTCATGGGAAACGACACTGACATGGTAAAGTGACCCTTCCCGCACGCTAGATCGGTGGGTAATTAGATATTTTACAGACGGGAGTAGAAAAACGAGCGAACTAAAATATAAAGTGTGTATCATCAATGCAATCGCACTAAGATGTTAATATACAGGGTGTTCCATTCAAAAATATAATGTACATTATATGTCAGAAAATTGATTGAATTGGAAAAAAACTTGGTTACTAGATATCTAAAAACAAAAAAGTTTCTGCCATTGAAAATGTTATCAAGATAAATTTGATGCACCTCCTTTAGCTCTGCCCCCTCAAACGATATACATATATGCAGCTACAGAGTAGAATGCGAACCGGTTTTAGTCAAGCTCTGTAAATATTATTACAGTAGCTTGTGGAAGTTTCTTTGAAAAAAAAATTGTAACAGCAGTTTCAATTTCAAGAAATTAGCAGTTTTTCGCGATGCCTGCCCCACAAAAAACTGGGGATTACCGTTAATTGACTATCATGAAGATGTTTGCGTGGAAAATAACCAAATTGTGTATAAGAGAAACTCAAAAAGAAATTACGCCGGCCGCTATAGCAATGACAACTTTGAGAATTTGAATAAAAAGCCGTAAACAAAATCCAGTCACAGTTGATTTGCGAAATATTTTTTTACTTATATTATTGAAGGAATGAATGGAATGCTTTAAATCGATTGTCAAAAATCTGTGGCGCTTGTTGCTAAATGTTGCCAAACGCTTTCCCAGTGAGCAGTTTTTGGTGCCTGTATTTTTCCGTACTTAGCATTAGGCAACACGCAATACAGGTGCGGGCCTACTATGTTCGGCCATGTGCGCCTATCCCCATAAAGCATAAAATTAATTGTGAAATTTATCTTTTGTGTTATTAAAGGGTAAAAAGAAAATTTTTCTGAGAACCGCCACTGGGTTATGCAATGAACAATACCACACTCCTTCAATCCCCATTTTTGGAAACACAGCGTCCACGTACTTGCTAAAATCGAGACCAACTATGAAAACTTACAGAAGCTCCGGCGCCTTCACCAAGAATGTTTCCGACCATGTGTATACAGCACATAGACTCTTTTCGCTGTATAATATAATGAAATAAATATAAACGTATTAACGTTGAGTATTATGCTCTTCCCGAACTTTACAGTTATCTTTACAACAACCGGATCAAGGTGATACCGCGGGGCGCATTTCACTACTTGCCAAAACTCAAGCGGCTCCGGCTCGATCACAACGCGCTCGTGTGCGACTGCAAAATGGCGTGGCTCAGCAAGATGCTGTCCGGCCACGCCCTCCAGGTGTCCGCGAACTGCGCAGAACCCACGGAAATGTCGGGCATGTCGCTGGTCGGGATGGACCACAAACACTTCCACTGCGGTTAGTGAGTTAGTTTGCGGTCAGAGCGAGTCGTCTCTTTACGGTTATCCGTTTTTCGAAACTAGAACCGCCGAAGATCGCCGAAAACCCGAAGGACGTTGACATCACGATCGGTGGCACCGCGATCTTTAGCTGTACCGTCCAAAGCGACCAGACACCGTCGATAGTGTGGATGAAAGGGGACAAGGAACTGGTGCCCGACGATTTCAAGTACAGGGTGATGGAGAACGGGTCGCTGATGGTGCAGAACACGGAAGAGAGCGACGATGGTTATTACGAATGTCTGGCGAAAAATCCCGAGGGAGAAATCCGATCGAGACCGGCCAGGATGATCGTACACGGGCCGTATGCGAACGAAGAGAAAGCCGACCGTTACGGTAGGTATGGTCTGTTCATAGATATAAGAAAGTGACCAATTGCTTTTGAATGGGATTATCCAAGGGTGCTCATTAACATACAATGCAACGAGATTATTGCCTAAAGTTTAGTATACTACTTAGTTTAAGTTTATTAGTAATCATTCTTATTTCGTGTGTAATACATCGTGTGCGAATTATGCAAAATATGTGCGAGTCTAGTGTATCTCAGGAGATACTCCCGCCAAAATGTATTCTATTGAGGCTAAGGAAGTTATAAACAATGTTTATTTGACTCTCATTGAACGTGGTGCCAGCAAGCAAACATCTTTAGAAGAAACGGCCACATTGACGAAAATTCCAACATTAGCTGTATGGAAAATTGTGAATAATCCCATTTCAGCGAGGAAAAAATGAAGTTATACCAGGAACAAAGCGAGGCCTACATTAAACATCTTAATTAGGAGGCTTGAAAAAGATGAAACCAGTGTTAAATGTGGCAGAACTACCCTAGGGAAGTGTATTCAACACATGTATTTTAGATTTAAAAAAATTGACAAAAGGCAAGTTTTAATGGAATCTTTTAGAATTCGGAAATGGCGACTGGAATATCTAGAAAAAAATAGGATTTACAGAGAACAACAAAGGCCAATTATTTACTTCGATGAAACCTGGTTCGACACTTATGATACCCCGGAAAAGGGTTCGGTTGACTCAACTGATAAGTGTAAAACAAACGCGCCATCAAAAAGAGGCATGCTGGCTCTAAAGATGGTTGGAGTCCAAATGGACTTTCTCTGTCCGCGAAAAACATTAAAGATTCTTCTCTGGATGAAGACACCACCGCTGATTTATTTGAAATTTGGTTTAAAAACAAACTAGTTCCAAACATTTCCTCCTATTAGCGTCATTGTAATGGACAATACAAGTTATCACAGTAGACAGTTGACTAAGACCCCTTCCTCATGTGACACAATAGCAACAATCCAAAACTACATGTGTAATAACGACATTTATTTTCACAAAGATTATACCAAAAATTGTGTGATAATTATGCAAAAAATCTAGGGCATACAGTTTTAAAGCTTCCACCTTACCACTGTATATTTAATCCCATTGAACATGTTTAGCACCAACTGTAAGCTGCCATTCGTCGTAACAATGCTTTTCCCGGTGTTAACTCCAATGTCCTCAAACTTATAGAAACCGAAGTTTTTAACGTCCTTCCACAAGGTTGGGTAAACTCTGTTAAACATATAGAAAAAGGAGAACAATCGTATATCCATATTGCAAATAATATAGAACAAATAATAATTAGAACAGACGATGATAGCGATAGTGATACTGATATATTATGTGAATAATTTTAAGTAATTTAAGTAGGTAATAAAAATAATTTGTAATTTTATTATATATTTAAACATAAATACATACACAAATAAATCTTTCCTAACAAAACCCCAAATAATTAAATTCTAAGCAAAGTACGGACCTGTTGCCCATATTTCATTCTTACAGCTTGCCCGGGTCTTTCCTTAATTCGTATCACTTAATCACTTTCTTATATCTATGAACAGACTTTACTAGGTAGTTATTTAGTTATTGTTGCGGGTTTTTGCCCTGAAGTTTTTGGTTCGGTATGCCGCTGGTGGTGTAGTGGTAATCTTGGTGGTAAAACTGGAAAGTGCGTGGAATTAGGCCGGTTGTGTTTAGCACGCGCGTTCATTTTGTTGCCACAGGTCTTGATTTACTGCCCGTACAACCAAACCAGAGCGTGCTTCGGTGCCGGCTCAAGATGTAAAAAAAGGCACATCCCGTGAAAATATTAATTATCGCGAAAATAAACTTTGATTTAAATAATCAATTTTAAATAACCCAAATGTTTCCTATGAACTATGAGGGAGAATCCCGAACAGTTATTTTGACTGATTTTTAAGAAGCTGATAAATTCAACCACCTAGGTAGAATATCCTGTTTGTTGTATTGTAGGTGCAAGGTTGTTCGTATATTGAATGAAATGTCCTATGTATTTTAGGTGCGGGATCCTGGGTATTGTGGATGAAAGATCGTGTAAAGTGTGTATGAAAGATTCTGCATATATAAGAACTTGTGTCTTGTAGATGAAGGATCCCGTGTATTGCGGGTGATATTATCCTATATATTTTGATGGTGAATGATTTTGCTTATATTGGATCAATATTTTAGGTCAAAACGCTTGTGTATTATAGGTAAAACATGCGGTGGATTGTAGGTGAAAGAAATTGTGTATTATAGATGAAGGAGAAGGATGAAGGAGATTGCGGGAGTATCCTATATATTTTGGGCGAGAATGAATATTGGTTGAATATTTTAGGTACATGAAAGAAATTGTGTATTGTGGCTGCAGGAATCTGTGTATTGTGAAACATCCCGATGGTTGTGGGTGACAAAATAGTTGTGTTGTCCATAAAAGAACTTGGGTATTGTGACCAAAACATCGTTTGTATCTCTAATGAACCGCACTTTTGTTTGTTTTGAAGGCGACGATTCCATTTATAGAAACGAAGCGCGAAACAAAACGCAAATATCCGGTTCATGGAAATAAAAATAATTAAAAATTTTTCTGTCAAATTTTGACATCAGGTCAGCCACGGTTCATCTCGGTGCCCAGGAGCGTGACCACCGCGTCGGGGGCGGAAGAAGTGACGCTCGACTGTGAGGCCGTCGGCTATCCGGTCCCCCGGATAAAGTGGTCGTTCAATGGGATCGAGATAGCGCCGTCTTCCCGTCACATCACTCACCCGAACGGGAGTCTTACAGTCAGACACATAGAGGGTTCCGACCACGGCCGGTATATGTGCGAGGCGGCGAACTACAACGGCAGAATAACCGCCGACGCCCACATTCTGATCAGCGGTGAGTTTTGTATCGTGTGGGGGGTTCTTCTGGAACCCGGCGCCCAAATAATTTAGTGCTGGTATACAGGGTGTTTCAATAGGCATGCGGCAATGCTCGGCCGGGATTCGTCATCCAAAAAAAATGTCTAGTCGAAGCAAAATTTGCCCTTTGTCATTATATAATTACATTGCCAAATTTCAACAAATTGTTTTTAAAGTTCTGGCAACGATATACCGTTTTTACGACATAATCCGGTATTTGACTTGGGTAAATCTTTATGAAGGTACTTCGGCACTTCATGCGTACAAAGGGTTTCATCAGTAACATTCGTTGATTATTCTATTATTATTAATTCTATTGCCCCAGAACTAAATTTCGGCGAGGTGTTGTTTCTTCTTAAACTGGATTTCAGGTGACCCCATATCAGTGGAAGACGGACAATATGACCAACTTGTCCATATTATACTTCTTATCAAAGGTTCCAGTCGTAAGAACTTCTAATAACTGCTTTGTGTAGTAATTTTCAAAATACATATTATTTTCGATTAATCGATGATGAATTCAGTATTTTTTCCGATTGTGCAGCCAGTTTCAGAGCCCGCACGCAGTGTGATAAATTGTTTCCCCGCAAAATTCGCACATTCAACGTACATTTCCTGCTGTTACCAATAGTCCATCCTTTCTTGGCCGTATCGTGGCTATCAAACCAAGCCTCATCTAAATGTATGATGGGGACGTTTTTAGCACGAATTTCTTGAATCTGATGATGATATGAATTTATGAATGAATGATATTTCCGGTTCTTTCTTTCTTGGAAACCATTCACAATTATGTCACGTACTGTGGCATACGGTTTTTAGTCATCTCAGACGTTAATTTTTACGATTTCACCAACCCCCACAAATGAACCAATAGCAAACTGAGAAAACATCAATTTTAAATCAATTACCTACATAAGATTATATATTACTTCCCTTGGAAAATATTTGAGTTTGAGCATTCTAATGTGTTTTTAATATAGGAGATCAACCTATCTAATCGGCAAATTCAACTTGAAATCGAGCTACCTCAAGTAGGGACTGTTTTAGAATTAATGTAAAAGTTTAATAAAAAAAATCCCTTACTCTTAAGAAACAACAGTCCGCACGGCACAGTTCTTGTCGACTAATGTCTTAAATACGGTCCTGGCTTGTGGTACACGTACTGAAAAGAATAGTCCCTTCCGCTTTACAACAGACGGGTCCTAAACTCATTGCGAAGTCAAAACCATAAAAGGTTGTAAAATCGGTATATTATTTGGTGAACTCTACCAATTGTAAAGTAGTCATTTTATATTTTAACTAAGCATTTGCGGACCTTGGTTTACATGAACATTTCTTTTTTATTGAATGACGAATCTTCCAGTCGTGCGTTGGCGTATATTTCCTGCAAAACCATTTATAAGCAAGGGTTAAAGTTACAATAACGGTTAAATTAGAATAACGCAGACAATTTTGAAGTTTGCGAAAAAATCAATTACGCTGCACTTTTAATAACACGATTTTAAGGTTATGTCATATCTATTAGAGTCCTCGATAAACACGTCATTTCCTTCGTAGCGAAACAGAGATTTTTGCTTTTAATCTCGTATATTGTTAACGTGGACCGGTCTGAAGTTGTCGCCCGCGTTCCTCGCGGAGCGATTCCCCTCTACCCGTACTCCAACCATTAGCCGACGGATGCCTGCCGTTTACGTCATAGACGCGCGGCCCGGCGACGGGGATCCACCATTTTATAGAAAAACTGTACATATTTTCTAACTTATTCATATAAGAATATTACATTTTTAATGCTACTTCATTGAAGTATATCTTAAAAAAATACTTTGGCATACATAAAATATTTTTTAGAAACTGTTGTTTGAAAAATAGAAAATATATTTTTTAGATAGGTTCCGGTATATGTGCAACGATTGCGTTGATACCACTAACGTATAATCACAAGGGGGATACTTTATCAAAATTTGAATAAAGCAACTTGGAGATTGGGGGTTGAAATAAGCAAAAAGCGGATTTTGCGGAAACATAAAATACTTTTTTAAGCTATGTTCCGATCTATATGCAGCGATTGCGCTGATACCACTAACGTATAATCACAAAATGGATTTTCCGTGATAATTTAAATAAAGCAACTTGGGGATTAAGGGTTGAAATAAGCAATAAGGAATCGCTCGGCGCGGGCGGCAACTTCACACCGGTTTGACACACCTACTGCTGTCTATAAAATAGCCATTGGCTGCAGATGAATAGATAAAGAGTTGTTCTCGAGTGCTTTCAAAATGATTCGTATGAAAAACTTTGTAAAAACAGACTCTCGCCCCGTAACATTTTTCATTTTATCAGCAATGAGTCCGTCCCTGTCTTCATTCAGCCACTCGCCGCGGTTCTTTTGACAACCAACCACAATAATAATGAATTCGATAGATTGGCGGTCCAACTATACCTAATACACATCTACTTAATAGCCGTAGCGTTACGTCAGTCATATCGCGATACGCACATTAAACCCCGGGTAATCGTTTAGTCGCCCCCATATTCACCATCCAGCCAGAGAACGTCCACGCCCTGACCGGGAACAACGTCAGGCTGGAGTGCGTCGCGTCCGGAACTCCCGAACCGGAGATCACGTGGTTCAAGAACGACCTCGAAGTTCTCCCGAATGACGAGCGCGTGTTTTACAATGCCGACAGGTCCGTACTGGAAATAAACCGCGCCAAAGAGTCGGACTCGGGTCTGTACATTTGCGAGGCGCGGAATTCTGTGGGGACCCGCGAAGTCAGCGCCAAAGTGGAGGTGGGTTGTCGCTTTATAAAGCACGTAGGACAAAAAATAATAAAAAAAATATAAATAATGAAAATGGACAATTGTTTAAAGCACATTAAAAAGTCCGGCAAAAAATATTTATCGTATTGTAAAAAATCCGTTTATCTAGACTTGTTTTTGTTTTTTCGATGATGATTTTCCATGTATTTTGAATTAATCATCTTGTATTTTGGAATCGAAGCTTTCGATTTTCATATTGACCCCTCTACAAAAAACTTTTTTTTTCCCTCTTCTTCTTTTACATTTTGTACTTATTTAATACTTATTCACTTATAAAATCATTGAAAGATTCGGGTTTTGCCGCAATCGTTCAGAATGCGAAGGAAGAGTTATCGGTTTGCAGATCGCTCAGTTCGACACGCGACCGCCGAAGCTCGTCTACAAGCCGTACAACATCGAAGCGCTGATCGGCACCACCATCGAGCTGCCCTGCAAAGCGTCCGGAGACCCGAATCCCGGTATCACGTGGCAGAAAGATGGCGCCCGAATGCAGCGTACCGGTCGTTACAAGATCTCCCTAACCGGCAACCTTTACATCTACAAGGTACGAAGATTACTCTTAACAAAATTAACGCCCCACTCCAATGTTGAAATTTACTGCTCCTCTTCTGGTTAGAACATTAAAAAATAACATAAGTTTGGTTACTAAACGTGTGTCCGAAAATACAATTCTGTAAAAAGGACTCCAAAAAATCTATTTTTTTGTACCTTGGATTTCATGGTTCATTCTAGGCTATTTCAGAAAAGTCTACCTTGGATAAGAATTTAATGGAATCGTCAATTATAACGTCAAGAGGCGATTATTTTTTATCATTTAATTTCCATATAATGTTTAATAAACAAAAAATGGCACTATGAATTATGTGATAGAATATGCTGATGAAATGCTAGCTTCAGTATTCCCAGTATCTGCGACGCGACGCTTGCATAAAAACTTTATATATATAACAACTTTGTGCTTTGCGTCCAGTTCTCCTTGTAGCGGGTTAAAGAAAACCTCGTAGTTCTGTTTGTAAAACAAAAAAAGTGTTTTTTAAAAACGAGATCCTTCGTTAGAAAACCTTAACTGGCGCAGTCGTGACGGATTTGGGGTAGTTTTCGGTCAAAGCCACGTCATCGGGACGATTTGATCGCGAAACGTGGGTTTCAACCCTTAAACTCCAAAACGAACCTGTGATAGACTGTCTGACAAACCCAACGTGATTGAGTTCGACTGAGGGCAAGGAAGGCAAGAAATCACCCCCGCAAGCAGTGCTACGCAAGGAAAATTCCAATAGGAAGAATAGGCTGACGACTAAGAGAAATCAAGGTTAGTGCCCAAAATTCCTATTGTTCTCCTTTCATCTTCCCTGGTTAGGACGGTGGAAATAATTTTAAGGATTCTTAGTTTTAAGTTCAATTTTAAGAAATTTCAAAATCAATTAAATTTATGAACGAAGATAAAGACGTCGACAATTTAAGTGCGTTTTTTACTTCGTTAAATTTAGTGGAAAAGAAAGTAGAGAATAGTCAAATCAATTTGAAAATGAATTCTAATCAATCGTCGAATTCAGGTGTAAATTACACTTTGTTAAAAATGTTTATAGATAGTATTCTGCCATATAATGGTGATTCCAACACTTTAAATAGTTTTCTATCAGCTGGAGATTTCCTTTTTGATACATATGGTCAAGGAAACGACGAAATTTTAAAACAATATTTGTTAAGAACTGTAAGAATGAAACTTGTTGATCGCGCACAAATTCTAGTAGGCTGTAGAATGGAGTTAGTAACGTGGGACAATATTAAAGTAGCTTTGTTAAATTGTTTTGGCGATAGACGAAACTTAGAATGTTTAGAACAGGATTTGTTTATGGCCACCCCCTTTAAAAATGAACATCCTTTAGATTTTGGGAAAAGATTACAAGTTTTAAGAAGTATCCTTGCTCAAAAAATTAATGCATTTCCTGCCGATACTATGGATAATGCAAGCAAAGTAATTCATTTACGTCAATACGATCAAATTTGACAATTACAAAGTATTATAAGACTTAAAAATCCAAGCTGTATAGAATTAGCTATGACCCAAATTATTGAAGAGGAAAATTTTCAATATACACAAAATATCTTCAGAACTCCAATTCAATCAAAAGTTTTACCTAATACTTCTATCGAACCCGTTAAACAATTTTCACAAAATCCAAATTATTTTAGTAACCAAAATTTTAATTATGTACAACCGATTCGCCCTACAAATTATTTTCAAAACAATAATCACCATAATCAAAATTTTAGAATTAGGCATGATCAAAATCAGTTTACTCCCCAGACTAATAGTTTTCCCAGAGGTCCAATTAATATGCCTCAACCACGCGAAGTTCCAAGAAATTTTCCTACAAATAGGCAAGTTTTTGGCCCACCTAAGAACGTATTTAAACCGACAGGTCAGGTACCTAACAATAAACCCGAACCTATGTCAACAAGAACAAACTATACTATACCACGTCAAAATAATCAAATTAACCATTTCAAACCTACTGGCCCTAGAAATTTTATTTCGCAAGAATTATACCAAATCGACGAAAGTAACGCGGTACAAATAGATGAAACATCTGCGGTATTTCAAAATGAAAATATTCACCAAGACGAATACTCTGAAATTGAATTTTCAAATCAAACTGAATACTTTAATGACACTCAAAATTTTGACGAACACCCTGAAATTGAAAATCAAATCTCTCAAAATTTTACAATAACGAGCCAATGCGACTCAACGAAATGACATTAGAAATGTATACCTAAATTAATAATAGTTTACCGTACATCCAGATTAAAGAACCCGCAATTAAACTTTTAATTGATACTGGTTGTTTTCACTCGATTCTTCGACCTTCCATTGCAGAAAAATTTTATTATGAAAAAATATATCATTCCCCAACTATTATTAAAACAGGAACTGGTGAAAAGGAAACTCTATTTAAAGCAGATATTACGGCTTTCCCAGAATTAAAGGCTAATACCAACCTATCTTTTATTCTTTTTGACTTTCATAAATTTTTTGACGGTATAATAGGATTAAACGACCTAAAACGTTTTAATTTTTCTATCGATCTTGTCAATAAACAATTAAGGAATAATACAACTAATATACCAATTTTATTTAGACAACCACAAAACGAAGTATATTGTATTACTGTGAATGCACACGAAATTGTTAACGTAAGAATTCCAGTAACACAAAACAATGATGTTATTATTCCCGAGCAAGTCATTGAAGGTCTCTATTTTCCAGAAACACTTACTACTGCAAAAAACGGTTTTGCACAAACAGAAGTTTTTAATTACACTGAGAAAAATATAACGTTAAATTTCCCACAACCTCTAAAAGTTTTATCTTTTCCGGACTTTCATAAAGAAAATTTTGAACTTTTTAATTTAGAACACATCTTACCAAAACAGAAAGAACAATTTAGTAAATGCGACATTTCCAAAATAATTCGTTGCGAACATTTAAATTTAGAAGAAAAATCTGCTATAATAAGGCTTTGTAAAGAATATAACGATATTTTCCATCATGAAAACAAAAAGTTAACATTCACCAATAAAATCAAACATTGTATAAGAACAACGGATGAATTGCCTGTATACACTAAATCATATAGATACCCCTTTATCCATAAAGAGGAAGTTCAACGGCAAATTAATAAAATGTTAGACGACGGCATCATTAGACATAGCCAAAGCCCTTGGAGCAGCCCCATTTGGGTAGTCTCGAAGAAACCTGACGCCAGCGGCAAGCAAAAATGGAGGATTGTTTGTGACTTTCGTAAGGTAAATGAGAAAACGATAGACGACCGCTATCCATTGCCTAATATAAATGATATACTCGATAAATTGGGACGGTGTAATTATTTTTCAACTATCGATCTTTCATCTGGTTTTCATCAGATCGAAATGGATCCGGAATCAATTGAAAAAACAGCCTTTAGTGTCGAGAATGGTCATTTTGATTTTGTTAGAATGCCTTTAGGATTGAAAAACGCCCCCGCGACATTCCAGCGCGTCATGGATAATGTTTTGCGTGATGTACAGGGAAAGGTTTGTCTAGTATACATGGACGATATCATAGTATTTTCGTCATCCCTAGAAGAACACATCAAACATCTTAAACTTGTTTTCCAAAAACTGCGACAAGCTAGACTAAAAATTCAACTAGATAAAACGGAATTCCTACGAACCGAAGTAGAATTTTTGGGTCACATAATAACAAAAAACGGAATTAAACCGAATCCCAAGAAAATTATTGCAATCCAGAAATTTCCTGTACCGAAAACAGCAAAAGACATAAAATCTTTTCTAGGCCTTCTAGGATACTATAGAAGATTTATTAACGGATTTGCAAAACTCACCAAGCCATTCACAAATTGCCTAAAGAAAGGAGCGACCATCGAACACACGCCAGAATTTCTAGAAGCATTCGATCTTTGTAAAAATATCTTGTGCAATGATCCAATACTACAATATCCAGATTTCGAAAAACCTTTTATATTGACAACGGACGCCTCTAATGTTTCTATAGGAGCGGTTCTCAGCCAAGGAAAAATTGGTAGTGATCTTCCCATAGCCTTTGCCTCTAGGACATTGAACCCGGCTGAAAGCAATTACTCAACCATAGAGAAAGAATTATTAGCAATCGTGTGGTCAACAAAATATTTCCGACCATATTTATTTGGCCGAAAATTTGTGATAGTTACCGATCACAAACCTCTACAATACCTGTTTAATATGAAAGAACCAAATTCCAGATTGCTAAGATGGCGACTAAAACTGGAAGAGTTTGATTACATAGTTCATTATAGGAAGGGCAAACTGAACACTAACGCTGATGCCCTATCACGCATCGAACTAAATATGATAGATAAAGAGTCACTTTTCGGAAATCCTGGAGATATTAATGAAGATATCGATAAATACATACATGAAGAAGATCAAAATATAAGCCTTGAACAATTGGAACAAATTGAAGACGTGTTTAACCCTCTAGAAAATGTAAACACTCCAAAAATTAATATCATCTCGGACATTCAACTTAAACCGCCAAATATTCCTAATACTGGTGAGACAGTACACTCAGCAGCTGAAGATCCAATATTAAATATACCAATTACCGAAAATATTTTAAATACTTACTCTAATCAAATAATATTTAACCAAAAAACAAACGGTCGTTATCACGTGATTAGGAGTTACCCATTCCAAAATAAATCTAGATTTTCTGTTTATTTAAGTCAAAACTATCAAAATGAAATAATTAAATTCTTTTTAGATTATTTGGATCCAACAAAAATGTACTGCCTTTATGTACAAAATACCGAAATAGATTTAAATCGAGAACTATCTGTTTTGTTACCAAATACATTTAAAAACCGTGCTTACAAATTGGTAATATCGAAAACTCTTTTAACTGACGTCACTGACAGGACAAAACAAAAAGACCTAATTGCATATCATCATGAAAAAACCTGTCATCGAGGAATTAATGAAAGCCTAATAGCATTAAAAAGGCTCTATTATTGGCCAAATATGAAAACTGATTTAACTGAATATATTAATAATTGTGACACGTGCCAACAAACAAAATATGATCGACATCCACCAAAATTAAAGTTTATGTTGACACCGACCCCTTCTGAACCATTAGAATCCATCCATATGGATACTTTTCAAATATGTAACGTAAAATTTCTTACAATTATAGACGTATTTTCACGGTACGCCCAAGCTTATCCGTTAGAACCCGCTTGCACAGCAATTGCTATCTTAGACGGTTTAGCGACCTTTATAAGTCATCACGGCCTACCTCAACAAATAACGTGTGATAATGGTACGGAATTTAAAACGTCTTTGCTTTTAGATTTCTGTAAATTGCATAAAATTGGAATTCATTTTACAACTCCCGGCAATTCTAATAGTAATAGTCCAATAGAGAGATTTCACTCTACTCTTGTTGAATTATATAGGGTACTAAAATTAAAAGAACCTAAAGAAGCCCCTAAAAATTTAATAAAATACGCCATTATAGGTTATAATTCATCAATGCATAGCGTAACAAAACAAAAACCTTTTGACGTTATTAATGGAAAAGTAAACGGTTTAGATCCCTTTGATTTAACGGATGAAATCATTGTAAATAATTATATCACAGATAGACGTGAAAGACTAAAAACTATCTATCAACAAATTTACGAAACATCGTTAGAAACAAAAATACGTTTAAATGAAAAACAAATCGAAAAACGAGAAAATCCACCTGAAATGAAACAAAATACAAAGGTTTACGTTACTGACAAAACAGCAAAACGTAGTAAGGACAAACCCCGAAGAAAACCTGTTATTATAGATCAAGATATTGGGAATAAAATTATTACAAAAAATAAAAAAATAATTCATAAATCTCAGATCCAAAAACCTAAAGCTTTTTCTTCTTCGCAGGTTAATGAACCGGACAACGCTGTTCCTTCTTGCAGCTACGCTGTTATTAGTGATAGCGAATAATGATATTGAAGTTATCCCAATTAAAACACCACTTCTCCCCTTCCGCTTAGGAAATGCTCGAATAATTCAACATCAACATACATTTTTGCATTTTGTAGAAACATCTCAACTTTTTAATCAATTACGTAATTTAGAATACGCTTACGCTGTAATCTCAAAATCATTAAACTATACAAATAAACATAATTATCAGAATGTACACTATATTAATGGAAATAATTTACTTAATAATGTTCGATATTTAATTACTCAAGTAAAATTTAAACTTGGTAACATAAAACCTAATAACCGTACAAAAAGAGGTTTAATAAATGTAGGTAAATTATCGAAATGGCTTTTTGGCACTCTCGATTCAGAGGATGGACAAAAATACGATAAAATTATCACAGAACTTGTGCGTAGTAAACATTCATCTGACATCCAACTAAAAAAGCAAACCTCGTTGATTCAACAGCTGATTGACAACTATAATGATACTATAACACTTCTACAGAAAAATCAAGAAGCTATTAAAAAACATATAGACATTTTTGAATATAATTCAAATAAAACTATTACTGACATAACTACTTTCATTAAAGCTCAAAATACACTAAAGCAAATTATTCTAAATTGCCAAAGTTTTATAACTTTTTTGGATAATTTAGAAAATGCCATTACATTTGCGAAATTAAACACATTACATCCTGTAGTAATATCGGCGGCTGAATTAGAACAAATAATTTTTAAATTGACTGTTCTCTATGGTGATGATCAAATTCTAATTTTTGAAAATCAAAATAATTATTATCAGTTAGCAAACTTACAAGTTAAATTTACAAAAGATAAAATAATTTTTGCCGTCCATATTCCGATTTTTCTTAAAGATATTTTTGAAATATTCCACCTGTTCCCAGTACCTGTGAATCACTCCTTAATTATACCTAATTCACCCTACCTAATATTGGGCACTGACATGCAACAATATCAAGAATCAATCTGCCCAATCATTGAAGACACCTACGTTTGCGAAAATCAACTTACCCAGCCCATCGGTGATTGTGTGACAACCCTCATTAAATATGCCGAAAACAAAAATTGCCACGTAGTCAATGTAAATGTTTCAACGCATATAATACGACCAATCACTAGTAGATTTGTTTTGATAATACCATCGGAACAGAAACTTAAATTACAAATGAATTGTCAAAACAAAGAAATAGCTTTTATTGAAGAAGCCTGCCTAATCAATGTTCCATATAATTGTGGTATAAGTACCCAAAATACTGAGCTTTGGAATAAAGAAGAAATTTTTAAAGCAAACCCATTCTCACTGCCACCCATTAAAATTGAAAATATGGAACATCACGATGTAAAGTACCAGCCACTCCAACTACAATCGATTGATCTCAATACGATCAAAAAACTACTGCTGCGAAATCATCGATCCCCGACATTGGTTATGAAATTCATCCAGTCACTTGGAGTCTCGCCACTTCAACAGGAATCATGTTTATTTTAATCTTGTTAATAGTTATAGCATGGAAAATCTACAAGAGCCATTTGCTGCAAGATTCCAAGAAAACCAAGAACGACTAGTCTTCCGAAAACAACCCTTCGTCCCTGTTGTTTTCCACTTCGGAGGGAGGAATTATGTGATAGAATATGCTGATGAAATGCTAGCTTCAGTATTCCCAGTATCTGCGACGCGACGCTTGCATAAAAACTTTATATATATAACAACTTTGTGCTTTGCGTCCAGTTCTCCTTGTAGCGGGTTAAAGAAAACCTCGTAGTTCTGTTTGTAAAACAAAAAAAGTGTTTTTTAAAAACGAGATCCTTCGTTAGAAAACCTTAACTTATGTAATACCTAATTTTTATTATTGTGCATACTATACTTTTTCTACGACCGTTACTTCTTGGGTACATTTTCGCAAAGCAACAAGAATACTTCACTGACATGACCGTCAGAAATGACAAACGTCACAATTTAAAGCGTGCAGTAAAATTCCGGAAATGTCCGAAATGTCCCGGATCCGTGGGAAACGAAACTGTCGTGGTAAAGTGACGCTTCCTGCACGCTAGGTCGGTGCGTAATTAGGTATTTTACAGACGGGAGTGAAAAAAGGAAATTAACGCGTGTTTTAAAGCATTCCAATCAGTTCACGGATGAGTAAACACAAAGTGGAATACAGTCAGAAAATCTTAAAAGCTACAGGAACGTATGAAAAAGACAAGCGAGGAATGTATAGTTCCAAGCATGGGAAATTATGTCCAGAATCTATTAAAGCTGTATGCAAGCACATAAGTTGGTTATCCCATTACAGCTTGCACGAATCTAAGAAAAAATATGTTTCAGAAAGTTTGGACATTAACGAAATGTTCAACTTGTGACATATAGCAAAATTTTCAGCACAAAGTTTAATTTGTGTTCGTTCACATTTCCAGCACGTGACGAATTCCAGGCAAAATTGAAAACACTAAATTCCGATAGAAGTGCTTTAGAAATTAGTAAAGTAACAATTTAAAATGCTCTACATAAACACAAGACTCAAACCTTCCATGATTTTAAAAGAGTTACTCGCAAAAATTCAACAAAACGATTGTTTTGGATTACCAAAAAAATTTTTTTTGCCAAACGTGACACCGAACATGTATTATTTGAGACAATTTTCTATGTGTAGTTTCAACATTCCTTGCCTACAGGCCAAACCATTTTTTATGCGTATCCTCAAATAGTTGCAAATAAAGGGTCCAATGAAGTGTTGTCGAGATTTGGGATACTGTTTCACTGATGCCTAAATTTAGAATTTTTGAGCCATAAATATTAAATATCCAATTTTCGCAAAACAAAAATAACGTGACTTAGTGAAATAGAATCAGATTTAGACATTTAGCATAAAAATGTAATTATGCATAGATATTTAATGTCATCGTTTTTTTTTTTTGGTGTAATTTAATAATAATATACCAACCTAAATAAACAAAAAAAAAAAAAATTCTTACCAAAACTGTTCCTAATAATTCGTATTTTAATACCACCGGACCCGAGTTTTATTACCGTCGGCAGGTAACTTCCATAATTGCGGACAAAAGCCAGCACGATAAAGATTAAGACAGATTATACCCTTGTTAATTTCCAATAGTGTCGTTTTTTTAGTTTTATTTTCAAAACTATAAAAAAAAAAACTTAACTAACCCATACAAAAATCTTAATTGTCAACAGTAGAATTGTTACCAATCAACTTGAGCCACTTCATACAAATGTAGAGAAGCCAGATATTTTATAAGGGCTTCGCGCGTGCACCTTTTAGGTGGCGCCCGAAGACCAGGGACGATACGAGTGCGTCGCCGTGAACGAACACGGCAGGGACAGCGCCTGGGGTTACATCACCGTGCGGGGCGATCCGGATCAAGAGAAACCCGGCGGGGTCGGCGACAAGTTCATCAAGATTGCTTTCACCGAGGCGTCGAAAGAGATCGACCAGGCGATCAACAACACTATCGACAGGTTCCTACACAGCAAGAACCCGTCGGCTGCCGAACTGTTCCGGATCATCAGGTACGAATCCGGTGATTTTGCTTTCTCTTTGTGCGTTTTTGTGTATGAAAAATAGTAATAATAATAATTCGAGTAACAGTGTTCTCTGGCGGCGCCAAGCGGAGTTAAATTTGATCGAAAGCAGCCCGTCCTAACCTATTTGCTAGGAGTAGTTCAAATAAACCGCTGATTTATCAAGTAAACCAGTGCAAATTTACCTCTGATTACGTTAACACTTCCCTTTTAACCTGTGTGTACCATCATGTGTGATATGATGACATAGCATTGACAATTTTGATTGGTAACTGTCAACGTTTGGGAACCAAACAAACCGTGTTTGTTTGGTTGTGTTTGGATGTTTTTTAATAATTGGAGACTATTCAATGGACTTCGTGATTATTTGTCAATAGTGTATTATGCAATTACTACTTTGTAAGTATCAAAATTGGAAATACAGAACCAATAATCTGATTGTGGTATCATTTAAGACCAAATTTGAAATGTGTGATACCAATATTTAGACACTCATAATCGGTTTCGGGTAATAAATTTGCCGAAACTTATTGGGCCTATTAATATGTCTAAGATATATTTTGATTTTCGTTAAAAGTACTCGAACGGTAAAGAGGATTTAAAACGGTGATCTTAACTAGTAGTTCAGATGAACTACTTCGAAACAATGAAATTCTTTCTAAATGATCTCAGAGCCGAGATCATTTAGTCAAAACTAAAATGTGCAAATGAACTCCTAGTAGTCAAAATAAATTTATTAACTCACAAAAATTTTAAAATAATCAAAATATAAAATAACAACTCATTGCTTCGGGCTCTCCCACGCGCTGGCCTCTTGGCTGAGTTTTATCGGTTGGAAAATCGTGGGATTAACCTTATCATGAAATCGAACGCATTTCTGGTCTTTATCCCACTCGTATCGACCTCGCCCTACTATCGCATCACGTCGTCAGGTACCCGGATGCCCCGGCCAGGGAACTCGCGCGTGCCGCCGAGGTATACGAAAGAACCCTGGTCAACATCCGGCGACACATCGAGAAAGAAACGGTTTCCATGAACAACACGTCCAGCTTCAGCTATCGCGAGATTTTGTCACCGGAAAAACTCGATCTGATCGCGAAACTGTCCGGTTGCATGGCACACCGCCATACTAACAACTGCACCGACATGTGCTTCCACTCCAAGTATCGGAGTATCGACGGTACCTGCAACAACTTGCAACACCCGACGTGGGGCGCGTCGTTGACCGGATTCAGGAGAGTCCTGAAGCCCGTTTACGAGGACGGTTTCGGCAAACCCATTGGGTGGGATAAGACGCGCTTGTACAACGGTTACCCAAAGCCGCCATCGCGTAAGGTGTCGACCGAAGTGATCTCGACCGCTAAGATAACGCCCGATCCGGAAATCACGCACATGGTGATGCAGTGGGGTCAGTTTTTGGACCACGACCTCGACCACGCGACCCCCTCGGTCAGTTCCGAGAGCTGGGACGGCATCGACTGTAAAAAATCGTGCGACTACGCCGCCCCCTGTTACCCGATGGACGTACCGTCGGACGACCCGAGGATTAAGAACAGGTTAGCTTCTAAGGGTGAAAAAAGTGAAAGGATAAGTCATTCATAAATTTGCTGTTGTCGTGATATTGGCATTTGGGGCAAGGGCGAGTCCCCTAAGCGTCAACCTTTTATTAACGTTATATTGAGTAAAAAAAAAAATGTCCAGCACTGCCAAAATTTAAGAGGTTTGCGTTTCATTAAAATGGAAACCTTGATTATGTTGACAGGAGGTGCATAGACTTTATCCGATCGAGCGCCATCTGCGGCTCGGAAATGACGTCGATCTTCTTCGACACCGTCCAGCACAGGGAGCAAATCAATCAGCTAACGTCGTACATCGACGCGTCAATGGTCTACGGTTTCTCCGACGAGCTGGCGAAGGAAATCCGGGACTTGGACGCGCCCCTCGGCAAATTAAAAGAGGGTCCCGTATTCGACGGCAGGAAAGCCCTGTTGCCGTACGCCGGCGGTCAAGGTATGGACTGTCGTAGGAACTTGTCGGAGAGCGACGTCGCGTGCTTCCTGGCCGGCGATATCAGGGCGAACGAACAGAGCGGACTCACCGCGATGCACACCCTGTGGATGAGGGAACACAACCGCTTGGCCGAGGAACTGCGGTACCTCAACCCCCATTGGGACGGCGACATGCTCTACCACGAGGCGCGCAAAATCGTCGGCGCCGCCGTCCAACACATAACCTACAAACACTGGTTGCACTTCATCGTCGGACCAGAGGGGGTGCGGCAGTTGGGCGATTACTCGGGCTACGATCCCCAGCTGGAGCCGAGCATATCGAACGTGTTCGCCACCGCGGCGCTGCGTTTCGGTCACACCCTCATCAATCCGGTGCTGAACAGGCTGGACTGGAACTATTCGCCGATCCGGGAGGGTCACCTACCGCTCCACAAGGCGTTCTTCTCGCCGTGGCGCATCGTCGAGGAGGGCGGGATCGATCCCCTGTTACGGGGCATGTACGTCGCTCCCGCGAAGAAGAAGCTGCCCGCCGAGAACCTGAACACCGACCTCACCGAGCACCTGTTTGAGACCGCACACGCTGTCGCGTTGGATTTGGCAGCGATGAATATTCACAGGTGAGTGGACGTTGCCAGTGGTTCGAACGAGCAATTTCGTCGCCACGCGTTTCGTATTTACAAAATGAAACTACAAATGAACCCTTTTACTTTTTAATTCCAATGACGTTTTCGGTTGATGGCGCTAGTTAGGATGAATCGACCTGACGGTACGAGTAAGGTTATACAGTCCTTTTGCAGCAGTTCAAACGACGACTTTTGCCAATTGTAATTAAAAAGTGATACTGTGTAGTTTTTGGCGGGTGTGGTAAATGAACCAACTTCAAAGGGGTAGAAAAAACATGGCCCTTATGACACCTAATGCTTCCCGCCCACACTCCGCAAATTATCAAATGAAAAACTGTGAATTTGAGAATTTCTAGAGCTTTTGCTTCTATTCAAGCCATACTACCAAAGGCCAGAACAGTTTATTAATTAATAAAGGTAACGTGTTACGGTTGTCGTGACCCAAGTCTGCTTTTTCATTAAATGAAAGGTGCCACAAAAAGAAGCGTCATAGCTATTTTGTATTTTTAAGTATCCTTCGTATCCTTCGATTATGCGTTAACTTATGCTCATGCATATGATTCTTTGCGTAGAATCTTATATATGTGTTAGTTGTCAGTCATGACATTTGGTAATTATTATTTAAACTTCGACCTCCTCTCTTCCTGCTATGATCCATGTTAACCAGCAATATATTCGATATTCAATATCGCACAAACACAAGTTAATTTTGAGAAGTAACCAACTTTTTTAATAAATTCATCGCCTACTCATTGAAAAAATAAACTTGAATGTATTTGAAATAGCGCTCTTATGTGTTACATATTTCTAAAAAAACTCATAACAAACCTAATAAAATTATAAAGAAATATATATACAGAGTGTTTTTAAACAAAAAAATTTAGTTTGTATATCGAAATTTGTGAGCTTCAGAAGAAAACTGACTATGCCCCCGGATCCTATGTAAAAACCTCTTTCTAAATCAGTTTTCACCTTTTCCATAAGCTGACTCATAACCAAATTGCAAAGGATTTCTTAACATTCAACATTTTCAAAATCACCCTGTATCTAAAAATCCAAGATAGATATGTCATTTCTGTTGGTGCCACCTTTCATTTCACGAAACGGGTCACGAAAGCTACAACACGGTAGTAAAACTCCATTGTACAGTTTTTTCTTTGATAATGAATAACATGGGGCTAACATAAGGAGCTTAAACATCGTGTAAAAAATCGCGTTTCAGATCGCGGGACCACGCCCTGCCAGGATACCTCGCTTTCCGCCAATTCTGCAACATGTCCCACGTGGAACGCTTTCGAGATTTAGCAGGCGACATACGTGACAGCGAGGTACGTCGCAAACTCGAAGAGCTGTACGGTCATCCAGCCAACGTCGACGTCTGGGTGGGCGGAGTTCTGGAGGATCCAGTAGAGGGCGGTCGAGTGGGTCCGTTGTTCCGGTGCCTATTGCTCGAGCAGTTTCGACGGTTGCGAGACGCGGACCGCTTTTGGTACGAAAACCCGTCGGTGTTTAAACCGGAACAACTCGCTCAAATTCGACAATATTCTTTGGCGCGAGTGCTCTGCGACAACGGCGACAACATCACGACCGTCACACCCGACGTGTTCGTCTTGCCTCAGCTGCAGAACGGCGTCGTCGGCTGCGATAAGATCCCGAAGGTGGATTTGAAGTTGTGGTCGGAGTGTTGCAGCGACTGTCGCTACACGGGTCAGTTGAACACGATAAGCAGATTGAACGCCCGCCGAAACAGACGACAGACGGGAGAGGATCGGGAGCCCATCAGCCTACAGAATAGGGTGGACAAGTTGGAACGGGAGCTGGAGGAAACCAAGAGGGCGATGCGGAAGGTTTTGGAAGAAGTTAATAGGTTCTTGGATGAGGAAAGGCGCGCCTCCCGAAGTCAATAGCCCGCCTCCGATATAAATCTCAGGAGTTATTGGTTGGAGTTATTTATTGGTCGCCGTGCTCGTAAACAGGGGAATATCGCGTGTAATTAATAAAATCCCCGACGGCGGCGTGGTACAATTTTTGTGTTTAGTATTTTTTATGTTTCTGTAAATATTACATGTTAATGACGCTTCCATTTCGATACATAATTGTTTCCTTCTTAACAACGCTTTTTATCGTAAAAACGGCGCGCGTATGTCGAATAAAATAACGCTTGAACTTTGTGATACGCCTTCGCCATTTACCTATCCCCCCGCCTCTTAGCTAGGGAATGAAACCCCCCTTCCTTCTCTATTACAAACATTTAATTTATTCTTTGTAATTACAATAATATATGTAAATGTATATAAAATATAGGTTTCAGGCGGGGTTTCTAAAGAAAAAATAATACACGAACTAAATAATAAATACACATATACACACACAGACGATAAAAAAGCTGCAAGCATTCTATCACTTACACGATGATTATATACAATTCGGTTACAGACGTGCCCGTAGTCGTACGGAAACGATTTAGAAACGGAAACCGCAGCGACGCACAATTGGGAGGTTATTTAAAATTTCATCGCTACAAAAAGCCTCGCACGTTGCTGATTTTCCCCCTCCACGTTCAATATAAAACCGTCTGACGTCTATCGATTTGACACTTTGGAATGACCTAGGAATTGGACAGTATACTAATATATGATCCCATAGTCGTCGCTAAACTATTTACGAACTATACCGCATCACTTGCGCCGCGCGGATATAGGAGACGTTTCGGTGGTCCGTGGTCGCTCCGTGTCGCGGAAACCGACGCATCGTGATCGGGCAAAGATGACTAGAGCTTCGAATTGTCGCGGAGCACCAAAAAATTGAACAGGTTTGTGACTAGACTCGAAATTCGTTGGAACGTTTTTCAGTTTTTTTTTAATCTTTTGCTGTTTATCGATGGAAAGCGACCACGCCCCTATTGAAACGATTGGGATAGCGCGTGTACAATAATATAAAAGCTAGGAATTAACTTATATCGAGTACCTTAATACTCGTTCGTTATTACGCCGTTACGGGATATACCTGGCAATGGGCTAACGAGAATACTGGAAAATGAAATTCGCGCAATTTGTTACGAGACACTGTACGGCAAAGTAAAAAAATGACACTGGCCACGAGTAACACTTACGCCATCTACTGAATGGATTAAGTACTATAAGTCTTAACGTTTTTTTGGTTAAGGCACTAAGGACGTGCTTACGCGTGCCTTGCGAGAAGGTCTTTTGCAATTATTATCAATTCCTAGATGTGAAAGCAGACGATAATGTGTCTCGTATCGCTAATTAAATGCGAGCAAAAAGTTATTGTTACTCTAAATGCTTCGCTATTATCTAATACAATGTTGAAGGAAACCCCCGTTAAAGTAATAATAGTAATACGGAACGTTGTACTGAAGTGTGTTACGAAACGTAAAAATACTTAAAACACTAACAAGGTCGCGCGTATTTACACCAAGATTCGTTACGCAAAGAAACAATAATGTATGTATAAACGAAATACAACACTACGAGTGATTTGGCAACGGTGCACGGTGTCCCCCGTACATTCAGGGTATTGTTGCGAAAATTAACAATACTTGAAGCTGTTTTAGTCACTTTGTCGATTTGTGACGTGGAACTTGTTCCGATTAAATGAACGTAAACCCACACGTCAGATAGTCCGTAGAAGTGGCAACCGCGCAAGGACATCCCAAAACTACCTGCGACCGACGTTCTGCGACGCGTTAAGATCCTGCAAGTAACAGTAGAGGATGCCGGCCTGTGCCATTACGTCGACTGTCCCCGTCGCCAGCGATTCCTTTTGCCGCTGACCGTCCTTCTGCTTCGGTCCGCCGTCGGCTTTGGACGCGGCAGGCCGAAGCAGTGTCGGCCCGAACACCGTTGCCAAATTGTGCAACGACATTTTGTTGTCTTCCTCGTATGCGTGCACGCGGATCAGATGATCGAGTATGCACCGGATCGTGTCGTGGTTCTGCTGGGGCAATTTGGCGAAACAATTGCGCAGCAGTTCCGTGCGCCGGATCAAGTTGCCGTTGCTTTGGTTAAACGCTTCGAGCAGCTCCGGGTACAGTTGATCAGTGAAGAGCGCCTCCGGCAATTCGCGCAGGTACAACTTTAGGATACCCGTCACCGAATGGATGTCGACTTCTTTCAGTAGCTGCTCCGCCTCGTACGAATCTGACAAAATCCCACCCGCCATGATATAATACCAGCGGCATTTTGGGTTATCCCCCCACCCCCCTCGTAGACCGGTGACACATTACATTGTCACGTTAACGTACAGTGAGCTTTGGATATAGTAAACCCCGAATACTCGGTTATAATGAGTACTTTTTAAAATACACTCAAAAAATCTCATAAGATAAATGTACATTTTTACTGTTTTTAGTGAACTCTCGGATACAATGAACTAAATTTCGTCAAGATTAAGATACATTTTCTGTTTTTAATGAAGGAGGTTCCCCCAATAATTCCCGGGGGAAAGGTTAAAATACATAGCACTTTCGTTTTGTTATTGTTTTAACCTCGGTTGTGATTTAGATTGTGTGGAGAATATTGATGACAAACCTTCAAATGGAGAAGCAAAATCGAAAAGCATTAACTTTGAAAGAAAAATACGATGTTATACAAAAAATTAAAAGTAGTATGAAACAAAGTAATATTTGTCGTGAAATGAATTTGCCTAAAGCAATTGTCCCCATTACCTGGAAAAAAAAATAGGATTCTCTCATTCTTTGGTCAAGTTAATGCAAGTTGTAAAAGGCTCATGGCTCAAAAAACAAAAGAAAATTTTCCCATAAGTGGTCCAGTTCTTCAGTAGTTGGATTGAACGTTTTAAGAAGAGAAATTGTATCTCTGGAGAAAAATGTTGTTAATAACTCGCTCACAACGGTTTGGCCTGATCTTTGCCAGAAAATTGACAGTGACAATATTTTTAATGCCAATGAGACCAGCCTTTTTTACAAACTAACCCCTGATAAGACATTGAAATTCCAAGGAGAAAGGTGTACAGGTGGAAAATTGTCCAAAGTTCGAATAACAGTTTTCGTTACTGCAAACACGTCTGGAACAGAAAAGAGAAACCTGTTTGTTAACGGCAAATCCGTTTTCCGATGTTTTAAAAACAAGACTCTACCAGTCAAGTACAGGTCAAACAGCAAAGCGTGGATGACATGTAAAGTATTTACCGAAGAACTGCTCCAATGAGATACAGAACTGAAGAACAGAAAAAATATTCTTCTAGTAGATAATTATCCAGCACATTCCAATGTTCCGTTGAACCAAATCAAAATGCTTTTTATACCACCCAATACCAGGTCAAAACTGCAGCCCATGGTATCAAGGCATAATCCATTCCCTGAAGTGTCACTATAGGAATTGATAAGTTTTCAGTGAGCTTATCCTGTAAATTTTATTCATCGTGCTTGGTAGGAAGTTAGCAAAAGCAGAAGATGATTTTGACTCTGATGATGAAATTGTCTTTAATGGAACAGCTAAGAAAACATTCAGGAGATGCCGAAAATACCGACGAAAATATCGACTCCCTTGAAGCAGAGATTAGGAACATTTCGAGTTCCAGAGTTACGTTTCAATAGATGATCAAGTTATTAAAACCGAATCTTTGACACAAGGCGAAATTATCCAGTTAGCGTCAACAAGTCTCTATAACATGAAATGTTACATTAAAATAATCACTGATTTAAGTTATTTTGTTTAGATTGAGTGAAGATCAGCTGAATGCAGAGGCTATGGAGGAAGTGGCCATGATCAATGTTCCTTCAGTAAAAGACATGACGGAAAAAATAATAGAAATTCGCACGTTTTTGGAGTCACGCGACGTTCCTGAGAAATTTTAGAATTCCTTTTGTTATGTTCAAAGCTATATAAGTAATATTAACTTTTTTAACAGACTCGTACAAACCAGAATATCCGACTTGCTTATTCAAGAGGAGGTGGATACATGTATTTTTTTAGATATTGTTTACTTGTTCTTGTTCACTTGTTACTTGTTTTGTACAGAGTATTTAAATGTCATTTTTCCAACATAACGTAATACATATGCATATCTAGAAAAATGTGTAGTATATCGTGGCAATTTTTTACAAAACCAACGTACATAATATTATATAATATGCAATAACGTCCATTCATCGGGTAAACATCAGGTGCGGATACAGCGAAACAATTTTGATGCAACTTTGGAGTTCACTATATCCTGACTTCACTGTATTTTTGTCGCCAATACTAGAAACCTGGTACTCTCCAGGGGAGTCTTCCCTGACATTTTTAGGGAATCCATTATTATCCCTCTATATAAATCAGGTTCGAGAGACCAAATGGGGGACTAGCAACCCCGTGCGGGGTTGCTAGTCCCCCATCGGGCGCCTCCCCAGGTGGCGGATAGGGGAACGCTCAGCAGATATGCTGGGTACCGGGGAAATAAAATACCCGGGGTGGACCAAAACTAGCACAGGACACGACGGATCTCCATGTCAGGAGCGGTACTCCAACAGCGTCTGACCCACATTGGGCGGCTGATCCCTAAACCTAGGAAAGCAACGGGAAACTACCTAGGTACAATAATTTTCCCCAGGATATTTACTATGGCTGAAAATGAAAATACCACGGCCCTCAGTCCCGGGCACCCCTTAAATGGGGAGAGGGTGCTAAGAATCTCCCGGTCAGCCAGTATCCTAAAAGCTACATCAAAGAGAAGAGTAGGCACATGGAATGTGCAGAGCATGTTTCAGGCTGGAAAGGCGGCTAACACGGTTAAGGAAATGTTGCGATTGAGAATTGATATACTCGGAATTAGCGAAACGCGATGGCCTGGTTCTGGGAAGTGCGAAATAGAGGAACATCAGATTTACTATGCTGGAGAAGATAGCCCTCAACATCGAAATGGGGTCGCAATAATAGTAACGAAAGAGGTCGATAGTGCCGTACTAGGATTTGTACCCATCTCTGACAGAGTAGCGATAATGAAGATCAACGCAAAGCCCTGCAAGTTAAATATAATCCAGATTTACGCACCAACAACACAAAGCACCGAGGAAGAGATGGATGAGTTCTATATGGACATGAAGAAAGCTCTTAAACACACGCGAAAAGAAGAGATCACCCTTCTTATGGGTGATTTTAATGCCAAGGTCGGCTATGGGGAAGATGATGACGTTGTCGGAAGATACGGGATAGGAATGCGAAACGAGAGAGGAGAAGCACTTGTCCAATTCTGTAAAGAATTTAATTTTATAATTACGAACACGTGGTTTAAACAACCACCCAGGCGTCTATATACCTGGATGTCTCCCGCTGATAATGAACGGCACATAGTAAGGAATCAGATTGATTTTATAACGGTGAACAAGAGGTTCCGAAACTCGATAACAACCGTAAAAACCTACCCTGGTGCAGACGTCCCATCTGACCATAATCTATTGCTATCCACTTTAAGACTACGATTAAAGAAGCTAGCAAAATCAAAACGAGCAGAACGAGTGGATACACAAAAACTTAAAGACGAAAATGTTAAAACCGAAACAAAACAGGAATTAAATAGAAAAATAGCTGAAATCAAAGAAAAATCATATAACCATATTGAACGAAAATGGATGGATACAAAGAACACCATAGTGGAGACGGCAAAGTCTAGACTTCTCACAGAAAGGAAGAAGAAAAACTCCAGATGGATGACCGAGGAAATATTGGACCTCATGGAGGAGCGAAGAAAATATAAAAACAACAACGAAGAAAGATATCGACAAATCCATAGCTTGATTAAAAGAAAGATCAAGGAGACAAAGGAGGCTTGGCTGGCAGAGAAATGCACCGAAATCGAGCAACTGGAAAACCAACATGATTCGTTTAATCTACATAAAAGAATCAAAGAAGCTGCAGGTTTATTCAGACCTAGAAACACAGGGATGGTCACAAACATAAATGGCGAGGCACTACTGGAGATTGATCAGAAGATAGAAAGATGGAGGGAGTACATGCAGGCACTCTATAATGACGAGAACCGAGGCACTTTAGAGGAACAAATCATAGAAACTGGGCCCTCTATAACCACGGAAGAGGTTGCGCATGCAATCAGGAAGCTTAAAAACAACAAAGCAGCAGGACCCGATGAAGTTTATGCAGACTTGCTAAAGCTCATAGAACAAAACCACCTAGACCTCGTTACAGAGCTATTCAATTACATTTATGAGAGCGGCACAATCCCAGAAGAATGGTTGTTTTCAACATTTATCCCCATACCGAAAAAAATCACAGCTAAAAAATGCGAAGACTACAGATCCATTAGTCTAATGAGTCACGTTCTAAAAACATTCCTAAAAATCATACATGAACGTATTTATCCCAAACTCGAAGAACATATCGGAGAGACACAATTCGGATTTAGGAACGGACTCGGTACACGGGAAGCATTGTTTAGCCTTAATGTTCTAATACAAAGGGCACGCGATGTTAACTGCAATGTCTTTGCCTGTTTCATCGACTTCGAGAAAGCCTTTGATAGAGTAAATCACAGGAAACTATTGGAAACGCTCAGACAGTCAGGCATGGATGACAGGGATATCCGCATTATATCTAACCTTTACTGGAATCAAAAGGCTCGTGTTCGGGTGGAGAATGCACTCTCTGAAGAGTTTGAAGTACGCCAAGGAGTTCGACAGGGATGCGTGCTCTCTCCTCTGCTCTTTAACGTTTACTCAGAGAGACTGTTTAGAGAGGCTCTGGAGAATGCAGAGGACGGCATTTTAATAAACGGCGTACTCATTAATAATCTAAGGTACGCTGACGATACAGTCCTAATTGCAGACACAGCTGAGGGTCTTCAAAGGCTAATAGACAGAGTAACGGAAGTATGCGAAACCTACAACATGCACCTAAACATAAATAAAACAAAGGTCATGATAATAAGCAAACAAGATATTGATGGCCAGTTTTATGCAAATGGCTCCCAATTAGAAACGGTTACATCGATAAACTACTTGGGCACATTTCTTAACAATAAATGGGAACAAATAAATGAAATTAAGATCCGAATTGAGAAGGGTAGAACAGCTTTCAACCGAATGAGAAGCGTGCTGTGCAATCTAAATATAGGCTTACACCTCAGAGTCAGAGTTCTTAAATGCTACGTTTTCTCAATACTAACACATGGGGTGGAAGCTTGGACTCTAACCGACGCTGCATGTAAACGTCTGGAAGCATTTGAGATGTGGTGCTACAGACGCATGCTTAGAATATCATGGACCTACCGCGTAACCAACGAAGCCGTCCTACAGCGTATGAGAAAACAAAAAGAGGTCTTAAACGTAATCAAGGAACGCAAACTATCATACTTCGGCCATGTTATGCGAAACCAGAAATATAGCCTACTCCAGCTTATTATGCAGGGCAAGCTTAACGGCAAAAGAGGTCCTGGAAGACGAAGAATATCGTGGCTGCGAAATCTAAGACAATGGACGGGAATGACATCTATGGATCTATTTCGGGCTGCAGCAAATAAAATCAGATGGGCCATAGTAATCGCCAACGTCCACTGAGGATAAGGCACAGGAAGAAGAAGATATCCTGACTTCACTGTATTTTTGTCGCCAATACTAGAAACCTGGTACTCTCCAGGGGAGTCTTCCCTGACATTTTTAGGGAATCCATTATTATCCCTCTATATAAATCAGGTTCGAGAGACCAAATGTCAAATTACAGCCCAATTGCACTAGTACATAGTGTGGCTAAAGTCCTTGAAAAGTATACTGAAATTGAAAATGCCTTATTCAACAGTAATCAATTTGGTTTTATGAAAAAAGTAGACATGGAATTCCGATCTTTTAATGACAGAAAAGAGAGTGTTTTTCTCGAATTGGCCAAGACATTCGACACTGTCGCACCATATCTTGGAGAAACTTGACGACTTAGATATTAGAGGGCTAGTAAAAAAAGGAATTAAATCATACCTACAAGATAGTGCGCAAAAGGTTAAACTAGATGACACCCCGACTCGCTCTCTTCCGGTAGAGTATAGTGTGCCGCAGGGTACGGTTCTGAGGCCAATCTTGTTTACATTATATATGAATGGAATATTTTCGATTTTACCGAAGGAAGATATTGTCTGCTATGCGCATGATACGGCATTGATTATTGTTGAAAACATTTGGAAAGAAATTGTCACAAAAGTTGAAAAATTACTACGTCTGTAAAAAAATGGCTAGATTTTCGCCTGCTGTCACTTAATTTAGAGAAAACCCAATTCATTAGTTATTAAATGACGAAAACTGGTGCTCCAGACTTGCGAAGAATAAAAATCCATAATTTTGACTGTGGCTATGACATGAATTGTAAATGCGATCTTTACATAAATTCCACCAAAAAGTTAAAATATTTAGGGATAGTTTTTAATCAGAACCTTAAATGTCAATTATATCACTATGAAAATTCGCAAGTTATTCCATAAATTGTTCATATTACGTTGGAGTTTGTCAAAGGGTTCTCTTATTAGGATAAATAAATCTTTAGTAGAATCCCTCTTCAACCGCTAGCAATTAGCCAGAAGCGTGTTATTCAAAAACAAACTATATCCTTCTAAAGAATTGTTTACAAAAGAAGTGTCAACAAAATCTACATTAAAAGAGTTATCAAAATCTTAAGAAAATTCGTAAATAAACAATCAATCATTCAGTAAAAACTAGATTTGTATCAAATCAGGCCATGCAAGCACTGATGGAAAAATTTACTTTGGTGCAGAAGTTATAACAGAAAATATAGAACGCCCATCGAGTGTATTTGCAAAATAGGGAATATACAAAAATTAAGACCCTTGTTGACTCCTGGTAGTCTAGTGTTGACTATGACATTCTCGAAGTGATAAATTAACTGTAAAATAAATTTAATAACAATTTAATAATTTTAATTTAAGTTTTCAATTTGAATATTAATATGAACTTAGCCATAACTAGTAAAATAAGTTGTATTAGATTTGAACAAATACACGCAAACATTTCTCAAATTCATTGTGCATTTGATATATATTTTTTTGAATGTATTATCTAATTTTTTGTAACACACTACGGTCAAGACGTATACCTACAAGAGCGGATAACAACTCACCACTGAGGAGAACATTCTGTTTGATGAAAAGAACCACTTAAGAGGGTTAGAGATTCTAATTGTTGCGAAATTATTTTTAACATCAGTGTCTGCGTCATTACACTGACACATTTAGGCTGTACCTATCTGGCAAAAACCTAACTATTGTAAAATTAAAGTAACTTGAATATGAAATACTTTATCGCTTTGGTAAAGTGTAAGAAATGTTCTGGTCGCCTGATCTATATAACAAAGAAATCGACTTACTCGTTTCGAACGACTTCTTCAACTTAGATATGTCGCTCGCGGAGCCGGATACCCTGTAGACCCCGACCTCGGACATGCCCCTCCTCTCGACCTCCCTGACGCACGCGGTCACGATGAACGGAATATTGCGCTTCTGTCTCCTGAGAACGGACTCGAAAATAAACAAAGATCCAGACGACACGACTACAAACTACTCACTTGCAAACCACTTGAATCTTCTCGCCAAACAACGAGCCCACCTTACCGGCAGGCACCCGTCTCAGGCTCACCTCGCAGGGCACGTAACGCAATCCCATGCGCAACACGCAACCGTTTACCTGAAACCGGCAGCGAAACGATCGAGAATAACCCAGTCCGATCCCCCGCACAACCCTTAAAACTTACCGACAGTTGTCGCTCGATGATCTGCTGCTCGTTGAGCCATTTCCGACTCAACTTTTGCGTGTACTTGCCGAACAGGGTGTCCTGCTGTTTGGCTTCCTCCCGATAAACAAGCACCCGCACATTTTCGCAACCCTCGAGGTCGATTACGAAATTCTCATTCCAATGGGGAGTCTGCGTGTTGCGGGCGGTACGGGTTTTCGCTTTTTGGAAAAAGTGCCCGTAAAAGTCGACCTCGATGCACACGTACAAGTCTAGACCGGACGAACGTATTAGCGCTAACCTCGGGACAACGATTCCCGGAATACTAACCGGAAGCGCATTCCAAACCGGCCAGGTCGTAGACGTGCACGTGAAGGTCGCCGACCAACAGGCTCTCGTCGTTACCGCTCCTCAGCAAATAAGAGCCCATGTTCGTTTTCAAATATTGGCGGCACGCGGTTATCCACGTTTGCAACTCGAACATGCTGAAACTGGCCGCGGGATTCGGGTGCTTGCCCGTCCTTTCCGTCCTCTGCGCCATAACAACATCCACTTAGGCAACGCTCGGCGGGGGTGGCAATAATCGGACAATTGAACTACTTTCGTATCGGGGTTTTAAAGAGTTTAAAGAAAGCTTTTCTGTATTGGGCGTGTGATACTGAAACTATTGTCGGACGGATGTGCTCTCAACTAAGATCGCTAGTCCCTTACAGGGCACTACCACCTAATAATGTTGTGTTCTAGTGAAATCTCCGTTCGATTTTCATGGACATGAAGATTCTAATATTTGAGAAAGATTTGTCGTCCATGATAGACCTCGATCTAGGCATTTAACTACTAAGGAATTGTTCAATTAATTGAACTTGCAGAATTATTCTGGTATTCTCGGGAGTGTCAAGCTTTTCTAGGACAGGCGCAAGAATCGTAAACCTAATAGGATTTCCCAATCCCATAAGACATACGTTCGCCAAAATTATCGATCGCGCGTGGTCGCTTGTGACGTAGCGAAGTCCACTAACAGTTTTTGTGTATTCTATCAATGCATTTGAAGGCGTATGAAACCGTTGTATTTTGTGTCCTTTGAACAATTAAAATAATTTAAACTAGTGAGTAGTGCGCTTATGTTTGTATTAATTGTATTTCCCTAAAAAAAAACTTAGACAAAACAGTGTTTTTAAGCTTTAACAAATACTTTAAAATTGTATGTGCTTGAATGGCGAAACTGAGAAAAACAGTATTTTTAACCTTAAACAAAGACTTAAAAGTTTTGTGTTCGTGCTGCTTATTAGCGGTGTTATTAGTTAGGAGGTGAGCTCACAATATTACACATAATAATATAAGTAAAGGTAAGAAATACATTTCTTTTACCTTTTTCAGTGGGATAAGTTAAATAGTTAGGTATGCCTGGAACGAGATGGGCCATGTATGGGTGCAATAACAACTATTTTGATGAAAAAGCAAGTTCTCGAAAATGTAGTTTACATCGCTTTCCCAAAAGGAAAAATCTAATCGGAACAAGTGGATAGTTCATTTTACTGAAAATGATTATGAAAGAGTGATTATGAGTTATTAGGTTTTTTTTGTCTTGAGTAACGCATTAAATTCAGCACAAAATTTAAATTTTAGGTTTACCTTTAAAAAAGATTCTAAAAAAAACTGCTGTTCCCACCCTATTATTATTTAACCAGAAGCCACCAACAGAAGCAGGATTATCTAGATCAAAAAGACTTCATTCCAAAAATGCCAAAAAAGAAGCTCAGCAGGTATTGTCTGAGCTTTTAGCAACAACATCGAAAGCCACAAGTGAAATTCTCTCCGGAACCCATGCCACATATTATTAATTACCTACCACTTATAAATAGTTGGTATGTATGCCTAATATATTTTTTGTTTTTTAATATGTTCTTTAATATATCCAAAAATAGGGATTTCTAGTTTATAAGTATTTGTTGATTTTTGCATATTTAAAATGGTAGAATGCCGTCCAGCGCAAAGTTTTACAAGCAAATCGTTTTGTTCGTTAGTTTTACGTATTTATGTGTAGCAATATTTAATTACTATACGTATTTAAAGATAATACATATAAGCCAAACTTCATTGTAATAGTATTATATTTTTTATAATATTTTGCTCCATTACAATAATGTATCTAATGTTAAGTGGACCAAACTAAATATAATTTTTCTTTTTTACTCTCGGTGGATGATAAAGTTAGATAACACTATACCTAGGAGTGCACTAAGCAAGAACGTAATCTAAATGGCAAATTCTTCGACAAATCAGCAACCGTCGCGATTACGGGACAAATAAACTAATACTCGACAATATTTTGACACCATATGATACATCATTTTTATGCAATACAAAAAAAAGTTATTTTCGACATTAGCGACCTCCTCATTACCTGCAACGTTTGTATCGCTTCGATCCACTGCGTCCTCTCGAAGTCGCTCGACAGGAAAAACATGTAAGTGCGTCCGGTACCCTTGTGCTTAATGCGGTAGACGAGATTCGGCGAGACGAGAACTAATTGGCTCTCGAGTTCGATGAGCCGCTTGCGGAACTTGTCGGAACCGCGCGACAGTTTCGGACGATGCTGCGAACATCATAAGCAGTGTTTCCGAATCTCGAAGGACAGGGATTATTTGGTCACGTGATCAATTAATCCGAGCAAATAGAAATTAACGAACGACCGGATCGAATGATCAACTTGTTTTTGGTGGTGTTTTTCTTTTACGTTTCCTTTATGGTTTTAATTAATTTTACAGTTTAAAAAAAAATGTTTCCGGATTGAATTTCATTTTTATTGTTTAAATTCTCTAGGCAATTTTCGTCGCTATTAATTTTCATCAAACGAAATTTGTATATTTGCTTCTTTAATATCATGTAACTGTTTCGAGCAATTTCCCAAGACACTTGATGAAAAGAAACAAAAACCAAATTGACATAACCTCACGCACATCAATCGGTATGAAGAGTTGGGGGATCCCACAAGTTTAGAACAAAATTGAATACTAATCTGTTATTTTATAAGATTATTATTAAACACCGGTCTCCTACTTATTTATATTATATTAGAAAATTACTTTTTAAACTGATGTGCGTCATCTAAATTTAAGGAGAAACGCATTAACACTACCTAAACATATATTTTCTAAAAATCGTTTTAAATATAATTTTTTTCAGAACATTTTTCACAAATTTCACTGTTATCATGCGATTTAACTGTAATAATTTTCTCGTTACAGCTATTTAAATTATTAAAGCGAATTGCCATATATTGACTATTTTTAGTTCATTTTGTTGAAATAACTTTTATAACTTTAACCGTAAACACTTATGTTTTTTGTATTCTGTACTTGTAGGTTAAGGGTATTACTATCATTAAATTTTCTAATCGCTCAAAATACTCGGAGCAATCGGATTTACGCCCCACTGGTCAGGCCCCTTGTATGAATTATAAATTTGAGGCAAAACACTATAAACTCCAAAGTTTAAATATATAAGGGCAGAGTGTCGCGCTTGCTTTCAGTTAGTCGAAAAGAGACGCCGAAACGAGCAAATATAAATAATCAACGGATATCAATAGAACAGAATAAAATCTAAAAAAATCTATTAGAATGCAAATGATTTATTCACGTTGTAGCTATTTAAATTATTAAAGACAATTGCCACCATATATTGACTATTTTTAGTTCATTTTGTTGAAATAACTTTTATAACTTGAATTATAAACACTAATGTTTTTTGTATTTTGTGTTTATAGGTTAAGGGTATTTATTATTATCATTAAATTTTCTAATCGCTCAAAATACTCCGAGCAATCAGATTTACGCCCCGTTGGTCTAGGCCCCTTGTATGAATTATAAATTTGAGGCAAAACACCATAAACTCCAAAGTTTAAATATATAAAGACAGAGTGTCGCGCTTGCTTCCAGTTAGTCGAAAAAAGACGCCGAAACGCGCAACTATAAATAATCAACGGATATCAATAGAACAGAATAAAATCTAAAAAAATCTCTGTTAGAATGCAAATGATTTATTCAAGTTATAGCTATTTAAATTATTAAGGAGAATTGCCACATATTGACTATTTTTAGTTCATTTTGTTGAAATAACTTTTATATACTTGAACCATAAACACTCGTATTTTTTGTATTCAATATCAATAGAGACGTTATATAAATTATTAGTGGGATGTATAGTGAATAGTAGTAGTATGTAATTTTAAAAATGGAGACGAGGCCTTACTCTCTCCTCGTTGACTTTCTCCTCCTGCCTAAGTTGATCGCGCACGTTTGACGCCTGCGATTTAAGCGCGACGATGTTCGACTGCGACGTCTCGTGCAGGTTCGCCGTCGTCTCCTCGAGGATGAGGATGTCCTCGACGGGAATGAACCACTTAAGCTCGAACGTGTACTTCTCACTCCGGCCCGACGACTGTAGGGTGAAAAATATTTCCTTGGGATGCGGAAAAAAACAACGGTTACGCGGGCATGCAAATGTGCGGGGTGAGAGTGGGGAAGGGAAAAAAGAAAAAAGACTAACTTTGTATTTGGCGCAGGCGATGACGTCGTTGAAGAGGAACAGGTGTCGCAGTTTGCGGTGGCCGTCGACATATTCGACGATGAACGAGTTCTTCACTAATCTGCGTTGCGCTCGGTCTGTGGTCTGTCAAATTCAAATAACGTTAAGAAACAATCTTGATTTCGAAAAATCGTAGCTGTGCGCATCGCCTGCTCCGTACTATGCGCTACGCAGTCTACAAAGTCACTACGCAGTTTTGTATTTTAAAGACGTTTTTTCCTAGAGGAACGCATTGTTTTTCTATGGTGCTCCTGCGGACCACTATGGAACTTCCGCAAAATCGATGTAATTTTAGTTAAACATGGACCCTGTCGCGTCTCACCGAACTTCAAAGCTACGGCAAACTTTGGTAAATATTAAAATTTGTACTGGTAATTGCGATTTAAAATGATATTTTTTCAAATATCTCGCGCACCCTGTATGATAGAGGAAAACCGAAACTCTCTCACGACATTGTTTACTATACTGTTCAAATCAAATTATCCCATCTTTAACAGTTTTTCACGAAAACTGAAACAACACTTGCTGTGTATAACACAAGCAATTTTCGCAATCGAGGTTATAGCCAGTGTCGTGGTCTAAGAATTTTTCCAATAGAGCAAATGGTTTTCGAGAAAATATTTTTTTTCTGAAACTATGCACTACGCCATAATACCGTAAATACAAAAATTGTAGCTGTTGATGCGCTCTATAATACTTTTTGAGGAAATTACCCATATTTTTTAAGAATTTTGAATTACGGCTAATAATTTACTCTGCAAAAGAACAATTTTCAGGGTCTTTTATATTTTTGTCTATAATTAAAAAACGCTGTACATATCGAAAAAATGATTGAAATCACCGAATCTTCCGCGTCTCCTGGTTTAAGAATTTTGCTGACTAGGAATTTTTTCCATAATACTTGGTGAAGTTTCATTATGCTTAATTTCTACGCTTTAGGTGTCAGTATGGAGTTCTACTACTATGCTAAATTTCAAGTCAAGTTTCAAGCTGCCAATTTGACACATTGATAACATTTTTGAATATATCATACAATATCACGAACACTCTGTACAACATGCGAAAATCTTTAATACAAAAGTTTTTGCTGTCTGTAGAAGAAATTGAGAACTGAATCACAACCTTCGAGTTATACTCAATTATCATTATAATGGTAAGCCAATTTTTAGTTATTTGCAAATACTGGACACACCCTGTATATTTTAGAAAATTATGAAGAATCAGAGTATTTGATCACGCGGATCCTATGGTTAAAGAATTTCTTCGATTTTTGAGATTTTTTTTCCGGAACCCTTGCAAACGCGATTTATATATATTTTTTAAATACTACCCGAGTGTTTCGCAGCAATGTTCAAAAAACAGTCGAAAATCGAAAAAAAAAAAATGGACGCAGGGGTTCCATCGGAATTCCGATAGGAGTGTAGATCAAAAAATTGAAAAATGCAGCGGAAAATATTAAGCTTAAACAAAAAATTGCATTTCAAGATGAAATATTAAAGAGGAAAAATATTCTTGTATTTGGACTTGCTGAGGAAAAAAGTGTACCAAGCTTCGCTGGATGTTTTCAATAATAGGCTTGAAGTTAGCATAAAAATCGGTAATCTGGATAATTTCTTTACAATTGGTGAAAAGAAACATGGAAAATGCAGAACAGTTTTAGTAAAGTTTATCAGTGAACAATATGTACTTAACAATGCCAGAAAGTTGAAAAAATCTGGCATAAGTGCGACACAAGATCTGACATAAGAAAAAAGAGCGGCAAATAAAATTATATATGAATTCAGAGCAAAGATGCGAAAGAGCAAACTCGTGGTGAATAATCAATAATTTACAGTTGAGGCAGTAAAAAAACTAAACATGGCAGAACTCTTCAAACTCATTGTTAACAGATAATCCCTTTTTTGTAATTCAAGTCATGCCCTACTCCAACGACAAAGCACTGGAAGGAAGATTATTTTGAAAATGATGTATTCAACGAATTTACAGTATTTCAGTAAGAATCTGGAATAGATACCCTAAAGCAGCGAGTTGAAAAGCTGTCAGAGGACGGTGATCCATCGACCAGGGACAGAAAAATAATAGAAAGAGAGAGGAACACAGATCAACTTTTAGCATTGAAACCCCCAATTGGAAGACTTACTTAGACTGACTTCGGCCGACAATTCCCAACAGACGAAAGTTCGTTCACAAAAAGATTAATTTTTTTCCCACTGTGCACATTTTACTGCTTGTTTATTTATTATTTTTTCATTTTTTTGTTGTCACTTAAATGTTCGATCAAAACTTTTAAAAGGAGACTCAAGAATCAGTTGTTATCTGTAAAATTTGGTACAACGTTGTTTTTCTTTAGGATTATCGATATGGCTTAGTATAAATTATTGTTGTTTCAGTTAGGTTAAGCTTTAACACGTTCATTGTTTCGTTTTTTTTGTAATTTATAACGAATAAATATGTTAATAATAGTAATAATATAGGGACTCCGTCCCAGTCAATGATTTTATCAATGAGAACAAAGCACCAACACTCACGGGAAACATCGACTTGGTCTGGATCATGTTGAACTGGTCCAAAAAGTTCTGCGTGAGCTTTAGCGCCTCGGTGAGGCCCGCGTGGTCAGGATGCGCGGGCGGCACGTGCCTGAGCAGGTCGTGCAAGACGAGCGCGTTCTTCTGCACTCGCGCGACCGGCTTGTGCAACAGGTCCTCAAGACTGATCGGCTGACCCGACAAATGTTTGCAGATGATGTTTTTCGTGATGTGCGCGAATTGGGAATTGTTCGCGCTACATTTGCGCACGGTGTCCAGCGCCTGGCCGTAATTGCTCAAGAACGCGCCGTACAGCGACAAATTTGACGCCTGCAACGAATCATTCGTAGTCATGCAGGAAAAGTAAAATGCAATAGTGGGGCATTTCGCCCCAGAATAACCCAACAGACAGAAGCGACAAATAGCCCAACAGCATTGTTTATTTGTGACGTTGGTTCCCCAATGTACACTGAGAAAAGTGTATTGGATTCTACACTGAGAAAATGTTTATTAACAAAACTTTGAACTAAAAGGAGAAATTTATAATGACAAAGAAACCTACATCCAAAAAACTAATTTAAATCGATAGTATTTTTTGAACCAAGATAACCGAACATCTATATTTATTGTTTTACATTTTAATATTTTTTAAATATTTATAAAGGGTGTCTCAAAAAATTGTTTCAAGGATTTCTCACGATCCTGTTTCAAACCGCTTGAAGCGAAAAGCTGAATTTTCGTATAAAGGGGGATTTTAGGGTGCTATAATTTTTTAGTTATAGAAAGTTAGTTGTTTTTTTTTCTGAAGAGCGGTGAAACAACATGGAATATCTTTATATCAATAAAAAGGAATTGATTGTGACAGGAAAACAATGAATATAGAATAATACTTATGTTTTTATAAATGACCAAAATTTTGATTGGTATAACAAAACAAATTATACTTAGATCTTGAAAATGTGATAGTTCAGTTCCACCCTATAATATAACAAATTCATAAAGGGAAGTTTATTGGCGTACAATAAAAGTTCTATAATTCTTAAACATATTTCAATTAAAAGTTAGTTTTGGATATAGCTCTAAAAATCTACATAACTTTATATTTTTATACTTTCTATTTACCTAGCTAAAATATACTCTTAATAGAAAAATATGATAAAAAACAGAAGAACTCATTTAAACATCTTTAAAATCTTTTTAAGTGGAAATATCAGTAAAAATTATTTAAAACTATGCAAATGCATATGTACTTACTGTTCAGAGTCTTTAAGGAAAGAAAACAGAGATATTCCATGACCGTATCTGGTACTACAGCCACGAATATTAAAGCAATTACCACCAGGCATATTTTCTTTTAAAAGTGCTTAAAGAAAAACAAACAAAATACATTACCGACGAAGCAAAAGCTACAAAATCATTAACACTCGATATCGGCCACAAAACACATACACAGAGATCTGCGAGCTGACTAATAAAACAGCCTGCAGCAAGATTGACATTTCTGGCCGCCGTTGAGTTATTCCGAGAATTCACTCCTCTCTTCTTACTCTAGCTCTAAAAGTTACAGCTCTTAAGAGAGTCGTATAAAAAGCTCTACCTCTAACATCTAAAAACGGAGCTAGAGCTTTTTTATATAATCTTCCACAGGAGCCTTCAGAGCTCAATCTTTGAAACAACCTTTTAGAGGAACTTTTAGAGCTAATGCTTATAAAGCTACTCCAAAAGTTGTTGGCAGTTTCAGTGCTTTTAAAAATATTCCATTCTGTGAAATGTAGTTTTTCGTATTTTACAAACCTTGTCTTTAGGTGTATACTTATGTTTGTCAAGTCTAGTTGTAAGTGATTCAACCGTTGAATAAATAAAACCCTAACTCCAAAAATTTAAAAGTTTCAATGTTTAAAATTAAAGCTTAGAGTTAGAGTTACAAGTAATTAGAATTTGAGTGTGGACTTTTAAAGCTAAAGCTTTTATGGCTAGAGCTAGCTCTCTACTCCCTAAAAGCTTCTGTAAAGGTTCAATCTCCAGAAGCTCCTCTAAAAGCCCTTGCACAAGCTATCTAAACCGCTAAACCAAATTGATGCGGTTGTTTTTTTTATACCGTTATTTCCAGACAAGTGTACTGAACTTTTTTTTATTTCATTGATTAAATATGCATTTTTTTGCAATTTTAAATCTCAACATAACTTTTAACAGTACATTAACGTAAGAAAATTGTAAGAATGATAAATAATAAATACGGTTATTTCACCAATAAGATTTCTTACCATCATTTTAAAAGTGTCGCCAATTTTGGTATCCCACGTCTGCGAGTGCTTCTTCAAGGACTCGAGAAAATTCGCGTGCTGGTTGTAGAGTTCCGGAATTTTGTAAAATATTGTGTTCAGTTCCGTTTCGCTCACGATCGGCTGCGACGTCCCTATCGTCGCCTGGATCGCTTTCATGTACTGAAAAAACGATAAAAGAAAGAACACTACGGCTCCGGGACCTGGCCACCTCGATAGTTTACCTTTAGAAGAACGCTGAGCCACTCGACGTAGTTCGTTTCGCTGTCGATTATATTACATAAGATACTCCGGTACATGCGATCCGATTCGTTGTCCCCTTCCTGCGGTGAAATGGGTAAAGATCGAGTTGTGACTAGGCACTGCTACCAACTTACGTGACTAAATTTCCTGCGGGTGGACGGAGTAGTCGACTCGAGCGAGCTGGAACTCGCGTAGGAACTGTTATCGTTCGTGTGGCGGCGCAGCTCCGCGATATCCTCCTGCTCATCTTCGCTGCTGCTGTGGCTGTTGCCGTTCTTCTTGTTCGATCTTGATTAATTCGAAATTTACATCAAAATTTACGGTTCAATTCTAAAGTTATAATTGTTATAATGTTATAAGAAGTATTTTTATTTACATTTATATTTTAGGCATTTACAGTGTTTAAAGAAAACCCAGTTTTATACTAATACACATTCTGTGGCACTAAGTGAGCTGAAATGCATACCGTTTGTTTCAACTTTTGTCTGTAATAAACTGTAATTGTTACATTTGACATTAAATTCCGTATTTCAGTTAATAAGTGAGATAAAGACGATATGCATTGACTACACAGACACCCAACAGTGTCGACAGGAATTTCAACAAAAACAAAATGAAATATTGAGCTTAAAACTGGGTTTTCTTTAAACACATCTAAAACTTAAATTTCAATAAAAATTAGTTAACGTTAACTTGGAAGTTAAAATTTTTCAATTTGATTAGGTCTCTTTAAAAAATGTAAAAACAGTCCTACTTTCACAATAAAGTTAAAATCATGAAAGCCACAAAAATGTCTAAAAAAATTAATTTCCACGAATTCCTCAAAATTGCCAGCGCGGTTCCAACGTTTAAGAAAAGTTGGCAAAAACTTTCTCTTCTTAAAAAATGAAGACCAACTTAATATGAAAAAAATAAAATTATCAATTTGCTTTTTGTAGCTACCACTCAAGCTATAAACTTTTCTAAGTATGGTCATAAATAAATAAACCTTTTTACCAGCTAATTTTTGTTAATTTTACTAAAGCTTTCGACTGCGCCTCTAATTGTTTGCCGATTCGGAAGCTCGATTCGAATCCTATTAGTGTGAACCTAATAATATCCCATTTAAAGAACAGGTACCAAGTTATTACTTCCAATAGACAACAACCTGAAAAAAGTGCGGCTTAATATGAAGTATATCAGGATTCAGCTTTGGGATCTACATTGTTATTAATGGAAGACAGTTTTTTGGCAAACAAAGAATCAAACTTACAATCTTTACCAGAGCTATTTATGCAATACATAACTTAAAGAAAATTTGTTAGTTTAGAGGTTTTGTTCAGCTGTTAAAGTTCGTCTGTCGTAAAGATTAAAGGACCAATCTTTTCAGCTCGTGTACCACAAACCAGGGTCGTATTTAAAACGTTAGCCGACAAGAACTGTGCCGTGCGAACTGTAGTAGAGAAATTTCCTTTGATTAAACTGTTATATTAATTTATGTGCTTTTTATAAATGTTCCTAAAACAGTCCCTAGCTCGATTTCAAGTTGAATTTGCTCATTAGCGTTGATCTCCTATATTAAAAACACATTAGAAAGCTTGATTTCCCATTTAAAGGTTAAGATAATGACTCTATAAAATATTTTTTTAGGAAAACAATACAAAATCTTATATAGATAATTGATTTATAATTTTAATTATAATTTATAATTTAAGTTTGCTTTTGGTTGATTTGTGGGAGTTGGTGAAATCGTGAAAATTAACGTCCGAGATGGCTAAAATACCGTATGTCACAGTATAGTTGTGAATGGTGTCCAAAAAAGAAAAACGCGGAAAGATCGTGGGTTCCCAAAAAGTCTACTTGACATGCACCGTGCCGGAATAGTGAAACGGTGTTTGATATATGATCCGTATCAGAAGAATATTGTTTGAGGCGGTTCGATTTCAAGTTGAATTTGCCCATTAGATAGGTTGATCTCTTATAGTAATAACGCAAGAAAGCATAACTGATTTCCAATTTAAGGGTTTAATCATTTTGAAGATAATTGATTTACAATGGATGATTTACCAATTTGTTATTGGTTGATTTGTGGGGGTTGCTATTTTCTTACAATTTATTTCTTACCAAATACTAACAATATTCAATTTTGTTAGTCACTTGCGATGTCCAGCGACGAAGAAGTTGAGAGTGTGCTCGCTGACGTAATAATCGTCGACGGTGAACATGCCGGTTGATATATGATGGATATCAGAAGCATATTGTTTTAACAATTAAAACTATACATGAATAGTTGCGTGGTGTTTTGAACATTGACTGTTGCCAAAAGACTTTGAGCGCGTTCGTACGAAAAATTGATTTTTATTAAAAAACCATGAATAAACAAGTTAATACGAAGACCACAAATACCGGAAGAATGGAGGCTAAGCATAATGATATCACTTTTTAAAAAGGGGGAGAAAACTGGTCCAAATAACTATCGAGGAATTCATCTCCTATAGACGACTTTGAAACTGACAACAAAAATTATAACAAACACTAGTAAAACTCTCTGAAGGACAACAAGGTTTCAGGAAGAGGAAGATCTTGTATTTGTAATTAGACAAATTATAGAAAAATCAATTGAGTACAATGCTTCATAGATTTGAAAAATATCACATTTGATATAATAAAACTAATCGAAAGTACATACAAAAGAAAAAAAAATAGGAGCAAGAGTGAATTCAAAGCTAACTGGGCCCATAGATGTAACTAGAGGTTATAGGCAATAAGACTCACTAAGCCCCTAATTCTTATATTAGACTAAATAATTAGAGAGGTAAAAACAAAACAAGGCTATAAAATGGGTAATAAAGAAATACGAGTGTTGTGTCACGCCGACGATACTGTATTGCTAGCTGAGAATGAACATGATTTGTAGAGACTAGAATTTAATATAAATGCAAAGAAATTGAACATGAAAAACAATTAGATGTAAGGTGGAATTTGATAACCAAATTATAGAGCAGGTAATGAACATCAAATATTTAGGAATTAGATTATCATATGATAATAACGTAAAGGATGAAATAAGGGAACGAACTGCAACAGTCAATAGAATGGCAGGATGACTAAACGACACGATATGGAAGAATAAATACTTAAGAATCTGTAGTTTGACCAGTCACTACGTATACCGCAGAAACAAGACCAGAAACATCTAAAACTCAGAAATACCTGAAAACAAATGAAATGAAAACATTAAAGAAAATAACAGGGAACACACTTTGGGATAGAGAAACAAATGAAAACATAAGACACATATGGCGAATTGAAAACATTAACACATGGACAACAAATAGAAAGCAGGAATGGAATCAACATATAGATAGAATTTCTGAACAACAGATTGTGAGGATAGCAAGAGATAAATCGCCTGCTGGTCGGAGGAGTATAGGACGCCCACGAAAAAGATGGAATGACAACTTGTGATAAAAATTAGAAGAAATATAGAAGAAGAACTGATATGAGTGCAACTGCAACCCAGTTTAAGAAGAAACAACACCTCGCCGAAATTCATTTCTGGGGCAACAGAATTAATTAGAATTGAAGTAGAAAAAATATCTGTTTCTAGTTGGAAAAAATGTGTAGAACATGTCATCGAAGAAGAAAATGTCGACTAGTGCTAGAATTAATTATTAATGTTTGGGACGAGTCCAGTTACGATAGTGATTATGTTTTTTTATAAATATTATTTTTCACTGCATGGACTAATAATACTCGACGAATTTCATGGATAAAACTCTACGCAAATCCGAAAGTACGAAAGTACTTTATTGTGGAATTGCGAATCTATTCATTGAGGGTTACAAGGAGAAACCCAAGCGAGGTAGGCCTGAGGTTAGACCTTCATAAAAATTTACCGGATTATGACGTAAAAACGGTATATTGTTTGGCGAACTATACGATGGCTATACGAGCTACCGAACATTTGTTTTTTTTTTTTTTTTACAAAAACCCATGTATGTAATACAGTCGAACTTCGATAACACGAATTTTTGATAAGTCGAACCAAATTGGTTGGCAATAGCGTCAAAGGTAGGAAATGCGTGTTGGTCTGTCTTGATTACTCGAACTTCGATTACTCGAATATCTTGATAACTCGAACGAAACATTTGGTGCCAACTTCGACAAGCCAAATTATCTCGCGGAACCCCTTAATTACGACCGATCTTAACCTGTCTTTTTAACGTACCTATGCAAGCAGTTCAGTTTCTGTGTTTGCTAAGTTCACTTGTATGACTTACTAGTTAATACTAAGTGAAAAATGTCCCTATTCAATTTACACATTATATTAAAGACATTTTTGGATTTTTGCATTTGTTGATATGTCATCAAAGCTTTGTCTGTTGATCAAAAATTCAAGGTTATAAAAGAAGTGGAAAGTGGCTCAAAAATCAAAGATGTAGCTGTGAAGCATGGGATTTCGGCAAGTACAGTGTCTACAATTTTGAAAAATAAACATTCAGTCATCACCGCAGTGGAACGTTTCGAAGAAAACAAAAACAATAACATTTCACTAATGGATTGTGTTGACGACGTAACTACCGCATGGAATATCGACGTTAAGCCTGAAACAATTTCCAATTGTTTTAAAAAAGCCGGTTTTGGTCAGTGTTCTGTATGGGAAAAAGAAGATGAGATTCGCTTGATTTTCCTAAGTGAACGCCTGAAAGAAAATAGTGAAGACAAAATCCAAATAAAAATCGAGTTTAAAGCTTGGACAAACATTAGAGGTATAGCAGAAGGTAGCACCATCAACGATTTTATACATGTGGATGAGGATATTGTTACTTCAGAGTTTCGTACTGATGAAGATATTATCGAGTCCTGCAGATCCGAACCAGTACAATTAAACATCGAAGATGACTGCGAAAGTGATACGATGGAGGAGGAATTGGAAGATGATTCTCAGCAACCACCTTCAAATGGATTGGTTGAAAATTCGTTGATTGTCTTGCGTTCCTATTTGAAAACCAGTGAATACACAACCGATTCCCTCTATGATTGTTTAAATAAAATTGAAGGTTTTGTTGAAAACCAAAATAAGAAATCCGGTCGTCAGTCACAAATAACTGACTTTTCTCCAGTGAAAGAGTAAACTTTAATATGTACATACATATGTATGTATATGTGCATACATATTATGTTTATATATACTGGGTACATATGCAATACATACAATCATTTGTAGTTTTTATTGATAAGTCGAAGTCTTGATAACTCGAAATTTTCATGTGTCAAATCGCAGTTCGACTTATCGAAGTTCGACTGTATTTATTTTCTAGGTCCAAGTTGAAAGTTAATTCTTTGCATTTCTTACGTGCTGATTGGTTCCCAAAACAGGAGAGGTAAATTTTTAGCGTCCAAGTGAAAGTCTCGGTTTGTTTAGGCTAATGTAAGCTGCGGACTTGCGTAAATTTGCGGGGAAAACAACTCACTGTATAAAGTACTCGATGTTGACGTAATTGGAGGTACCGGGACTTTGCGGTTCGTGGGAATCCCTCTTCGCGTCGAGAGGCAGCGTGCTAGTCGAACCGAACACGTTCTCGGTACTCGAGTGGTCGCTCCGCGTCAAATAATCGTCCTCGGACGCGACGATATCGTAATACGGCTCGTCGACGTTGGTCAAAATTTCCGAAGACGACGACACCGAATCGCTGTTGCTGCGTTGCGTGCCGTACTCAACACTACGCACCGGCACCCTGTCGCGGAATATCTCAAATTAACGACGAAAAAAAAGGCCGACTTATTCAGAGAAAAAAAAAGATACAACTCACCGTTAATACATGTTCTTATTTCTTGACATTTAAATTTGAATCCATTTTTACAGGGTGGGAGAACAAGAAAAATATGTTTTGCGTAAAACCACGTCATTATTTTTAGCCAAACAAATCACATTTCGTGATCACCGAGATCGCGACTTAACATTTCGAGTATTCATGTAAGCTCTTGTATTGTTTAATAGTTGTAGTATCAATTTTAAACTAATTTTTTAAACCGTTAACCCTTTATCGCATTATTTTTGTTAATTTTACGGTGTAACGCCAGAGGGCAGGCAACTAGGGATTTTCATGATACAAGATTGGTTGGTCTTTTGGTGGCTTTTAGGTTATTTGAGACTCTCCATGCGGAATTTTTGGAGGGAATCCGCAATCAAAACGTGGTTGAAATAAATTTCCCCAGAAGTAATTTTTGTATGATTAGCAGTTTTCGATATACAATCAGTCAAGAAAATCTCCGTACACATAACATTTTTTCAGTTTTCTTGTAGTTTCTTCTTTCATTTACATTCAATGAGAAATATATTTCAAGTAAATATCGGCAATCTCATTAAGAGTAACAAAAATAAAATAAACATCATTTGAAACGATAAAAAATAAGGCAGATTTAGAAGCAAGAAACTATGTCAAATAAGTCTCCATACACTATTATTTCTTATGACAAATTGAAAATGTTTTGTACAATTGCCATTTGCTTTAATAATGGCATTAACTCTTTTTGGAAGACTTAAAACAAACTTTCTTGTAACTTGTTGACGGACATTATGGATCATCCAATGACGTACAAGCGTAGCAGTGTGTTTAGGTTTTAGTTATCCCGTGGGAATAAATAACGCCCCTCAGGGTATGTTCTGGTTAGTAGTTTGGCTTAAATTTTTCTTCAGGATATTCAAATAGCCATCTCGGTCCATGATTCCATCAATAAAAGCTATATTACCTTTGCCATTAGCTGGCATGCACCTCCACAATAAAACATTACAAAACATTAATGGTTTCCTTCTGGCAACGCGGCCGTTATAACCTGCTCGATGCAAGCAGTTTCTAATAGTTTGGGAGCTAACATTTTTTGAGAACTTGTTCCCTGATTTCCTCTGCAAGTTTCTAATCGCATGCTTTAGAATTAATTCTAACTGTACAGTTGAATGGGACTTTATAATTATGTTACCAATATCATTAAAGAGTTTTTCTCTTTCCGTAAGTCTACTACGACTTTTCAAAGAGCAATTAGAATTTCGCTATTTTTAGCGCTCATTTTGCCTTTACTTCAAGACCAGCGAAATTCAAGCTGACTTGACTGAATAGTGATTTATTAAAGTGCACGGAGACTTATATGACATAGTTTCTTGCTTATAAAAAATATTTACTTGAAATATATTTTTTCGTTAAATATTAAGTGAAAGAAGAAACTAAAAAAAAAAATGATCGACTGTACCTATACCAGGAGCATTGGTGTTAAGTTAACAAAAAAAGAACGCTACAATGTTTGCAGTCGCGTTCAATAGTGTGAAATGAATTACGGCCATTTTTTTCCGATCGTTTTCAATATTTTCGTCGGCATATTAAAGGTCGTCGTTTGGGCGAAACTTACTTAGGGGGCAGTTTTGTTACCGGCGAGCCGCCCTGTTTGTTCAGCCCGTTCACTTCGATGACGGTCACGAAGCTGGCGTCGTGCTCTTGGTGCGTACTGTCCGGTTCGAGAGGCGGCGACCTGTCCGACTCGCTCGACCGGCACTTCCTCAGCTGTTTCGAAATCTCGTTGATGCACATGTGAGCGGACAGCGACTCGCTATTGGTTTGGTCTTCGCACAGCGGCGCCGTCGCCGCCGCCTGCGTCACTTTGTCATGCTGCAACGCAACGAGGGACACGCTCACTTGATTTGTTTGGGATATTTTTCAATCGCGCCGTCTCGTGGCTATACTTCGATTTACACCGTCGGTTTTACGCAAGGTGCACGACCCACTTTAGATTAGTGGCTAAAATTTTTGTGAGATTTGTATTACTGGCTGGTATTAACAACCTTGAGGCATAACCCGCCTACAAGTAAAGAAAAAACGTATCCCTACTTAATAATAAAATTCCACTATATTTTTAATATCGACGATTTACCGAATAAAGCGATCTAAACAAATTATTTGGCATTTTATTTGGCCGCCCTATAATTACAAATTTATCGTGACTGAGTATTGGGTACTATTCTAGTCGGCAAAACATGAATAAACATGTTATAATATAAACACGAATGCACCAAGGAAGTGGATACTTAGTAAATCTGCTTGACCTGATCTGAATTTTAATTACCCTAGACGAAAATAGACGCACGTAATTCCGCTTCGTGTTTTCTTGTAAAATAAAAGCACGAGGCAAATGGCAGTACGGGAGGATGCAACAAATTTCTGATTCATAACTGTGTCAATATTGATAAAGTTATCACAACACATTTCGCCAGAGCTCGATCTTCTTTCTTTAAAAATCCCCGGCAGATGTTTTTCAAATGTTCAGTCAATAACTCAGCGGTCTACGATCCCATTTGTATAGTATAATCATAGAACAAATAAAATACCTACAGGCGACAAGATTTCGAACGATTTAAACGTTAATCTTTTGTCGCACATCAGCACAACAAAAAAGACTTTTTTAAACTACTAATGCTAAAAAAATGCATTTCATTTCGTATGTGGTTTATTCACAAGAATATATCAGTCACTGATTAATAGGCAACTTGCGAAACAGGCCAAAATAAAACTCTTATCAAAGAATTAATACCGAGAATAAGGGTTAGGCAATTTTATACAAGTTCCTTGAAAAATTATTCCTATAGTCGTAATTTGGAATTACCCAACATTCGCTTAAATGGAAAGCAATAACCCGATGCTAATTGAATAAACATAAATTTTATTGTTTAACTACCCAAAACGCTGTTAAGTAACCACCACCTGCATCCTGACATTTTTGCAATATTTACCCACACCTGGTTGAACACATCTAAATAAACGTTCAAAGAAATCCAAAAATTCTTAATGATGCATTAGCCTCCCTCGTAAGTGACGCACTGCTCAATTTAAAAAAATACAAATTGACCAATTTCCTTTCCAAAGACCGATAGATTTATAAATATTTACCTTAGATATGATATCAGCGGCACCAATGATGTCACTGTCACCACCTTGTTCTAGGCTTTCCTCCCTGATACTTTTTTCCTTGGCTAACCTTTTCTTGTGCTGTTCGACGTCAGAGAGCAACCGCTCCAGGTACTCCACATAGAATTCCTCCTTTTCCAGCTCCTCTTTTAACAAGGCCACCTTTTGTTTATGTTTCGCCAAGTTTGCGCGGACGTCCTCCTCCCAAGCACCCGGAAGGGGACTTTCCGGGAACCTTTGCAGCCAAACCTGCTGAAAATCGCCGAAGACGCTCATTTTCTGGCCGTAATTCACATCATTTTTTTTATAAACCGAAAGGAAGTCACACGAAAAAGTAAATAAATAACAGCGATATTGCTGCACGACCGCACTCTTTCCCAATAAACCAAATGACATAACTCACTGGTAGCTGACATTTAGAATTTAATCAGTGTGGCCAATCGTTAAAAAGCAAAAAATTAAAATCAGTTCCTCTTCATCCTTATTTCTATTAGCCAAGAGCATAATTATCATTTGGCCCATCCTAACAAACTAACCAATTCCTCTTCTTTTTCAAGTGACTCTATGCCAGGATTTCACAGAATGAACATCGCATATTTTTTTGTAGTCGACAACTAAATTCTGTCAACCTCATGACCTGTGTTTGACAACCACATCATCTAATCAGCTTATCACTCGAATTTTGGCACAAGTTTAATTTATTACGTAGTGCAGATTTAATCGTATTTTCGCGAGCACGTCGCGTTGGTGAGTTTTGTTAGCGAAGTGGGATGTTAATTTCTGCGTTCGCTGTGTTATCACTGCTGAAGAAATGAAGTATATTATAAATGCATGGGATCTAACATGAAGAAGTCCGTTTGCAATGTAGCTTACGCTTTAATTGTACTAATTTACTACAGTTTCTTCATTCTGGACAGCGCTTTATCAGATACCACGGGTCATCAAATTAAACCTACCGACGCAACTCTCCAAAATGAAACCCTGTCCGACTCTTTGTCGACAAATAACGCTACCCTTTTTAATGTGGATAATAATATCGAAGCGAGCGAGGCAACTCGCGAAAACGTGAAAGAAAATGTGGTGTTTTCGGAAGTCACATCGCATAACACTGATCCGATTGGAATAATCAACGATACCCCCGTTATTCTGTCACTTTCCGATTCGGCAACCAAAGAACTCGAGAACCTCGCCACTGAATCCTTCAACGATGGATTTAACGACTCGCAACAGCTCAAAAATCTAGTCACAAATGCCACCGAAACTTATAACAAGAGCATTCCGGAAGCCAATGTAGAAAAGGAGACCCAGAAATTAAGTTTGAATGTCTCCGCGAATACCACTACGGAGCAGAGCGAGGAAATACCTTCGTTTTCGGAATGGGCCCAAAAGCAACTGGAAGAAGTGGAGAAGAAAGAACCGTTGAATTCATCGATCTCCGGGTATAATCTAAACGGCACCAGAGTCGGATCGAACGCTAAACTGCGATGGAAAAATTACGCGTCTGTCGACTGCGGCGCCAAAGTGATCCAGGCGAATCCTGAAGCGCAGAATTCGTGGGCAATCTTGTCGCCGTCCCGCGACGAATACAAACTGAACCCTTGCAACAGCAGGGTGTGGTTCGTGGTGGAATTGTGCGAGGCCATACAAGTGAAAAAGATAGATCTGGCCAATTACGAGTTATTTTCATCGTCGCCTAAAGACTTCGTTGTGTCGGTGAGCGACCGGTTTCCGACCAGGGACTGGTGGCTCGTCGGCCATTTCGCTGCGCGAGACGAACGCGACGTGCAGAGTTTCGATCTGAACCACGAAAACTTCGGGAAGTACATAAAAATAGAGATCAAATCGCACTACGGTGCCGAACACTACTGCCCCCTGTCGTTGTTCCGCGCATACGGAACGTCTGTATTCGAAGTGCTGCAGAAGGAAGACCCGGCGCACGCGCACCCACCCGAAGACGACGACGACGACGGCGACGAAATCGTAGTCGGCGCGGAAACGTCCGGAAATTTGTTAAGCTCGGCCACCGATGCGGTTATATCGATGGTCAAGAAGGCGGCGCAAGTGTTGGGTAACAAAAAGAACAGCTCGGGCGACACGTCGGGTAACGATTCAGTCCGAACCCTGCCGACGCCCGTTTGCACGTCACCTAGTCATTATGTAGTGTGTAAAAATTGCTCGGGTACCTTGTTCCGCAAAGTTTACGAATTGCTGAGCTGCAGAATCGCCCAAGTGAAAAACCTATTGAAAATTCCGTTCGTGATACGCGCGCTCGTCAACTCTGGTATCTGCAAACCGTTCGGTTTCGATTTCCGGAACAAGTCGTCCGCTTCAACGGCGAGGTCTTGCCCGGAATGCGTCGAAAGCTTCTTCCCGGATCGATATCTCGGCGCCATGTGCAACGTACTGGCGGTAGCGTACGGCAAAGTGCTGCGCAACGTGAGCTATCAGTATGCAAACGGAAGCAGCGGCTTGGAGGACGAGAAACTGGTGGATATCGGGCGGGCGGGAGAGAAGAACCTCACGGCGAACATCGAGCCGACGAAGCCTCTCGAAATCGAACGAATGGACGTTCGAACCCGCCCGAGCGCCATAACGGAGTCCACGAACGTCTCGGAAATAAAACCGTCGAGATCTCTGCGGTCGGACAACTTCAATTCGGAATCGGGTCCGTCCGAAAGCGTCCCGACCGCGACGACCGGCGAGAAAGAAGCGGTCGAATCGGACGTCGGCGCTAGCGTCGACCCGCTTCCGGAAACGGAAATCCTCAAGGAGAACGTAATCGAAATAGCGGCGGACGATAACCTCGACAAACTGATAACGGAAATAAACGCGGCGGAAATATCGAGCAGCGTCGTCGTCAATACCGCGTCCTCGTCGTCACAATCTCAAAAAGAGTCGGTGTTCCTAAGGCTCGCCAATCGGATAAAAGCTTTAGAGAGGAACATGTCGCTATCTAGTCAGTACCTGGAGGAGCTGAGCAAACGGTACAAGAAACAAGTGGAGGAGATACAGAAGTTATTGGAGAAAACGGTGAGGTCGGTGGAGGAGCTGGACGCGCGACACGAGGCGAAACGCAGACGCCTGGAGGAGAGGGTGGAGCGGTTGGAGGACGTCGCAGAACGCGCCCTGGCCGAGAAAAACGATTGGCGCGCGATGTGCTACTGCGCGGGCGCGTGCTGCGTCGCATTCGCGGTTTATATATTTTGGGGCCGGGGCGTAGCGTTAAAATTACCCGAATCTTCGAAACCGAGGCGGAAACGCGACCCGAGCAAAGTCGTGGTGTCGCCCAAGGTGAAAAAGAGGAGGAGGGGGAGCCAATTCCGTCCAGCGCTCGACGGCGTTGAGGAGAACGGGGGGTTCGCGCCCAAACGAACGTCGACGAAGATATGGAAGCAACCGGTTGAAGAAAGGCCACACATCGAAGACATTCCATTACCTCTGGGCGAGGTGGTGCGTAACATTTCGGAACCGATTACGTCCAAATATCACGCGCAGACGATAAAAGCGCCGGTGGTCGAAAAGCTCAAGCCGGGGGGCATGGCGAATAACGGTCCGTCGATCACGCCTCCTAACGGGAACGCAATTAACGGAGAGGGCCACACTCCCAAAAGCGGCAAGCGCGGCATCAAGAAACTTTTTAAAAAAGTGTTTTAAAGGCTGTAAACTGTTATTTATATTTACACGAAGACTGATCTGCGAAGTTTTAGTTCGTTATTCTCGTCGAAATTATAAGGTTAGGTATTTAATTTAGCGTTGAAGTTGGAGTAATATAGGATTTCGAATTGGACCGTTGTTTTTAATTCTGTTTATCAATACTTCTCAGTATTTCTGCATTTGATACTTCATCGATTCAAGACATACGGAGGATATGGCGGTAAAAAACTTCATACATGCGAGACATAAATAGGCATTTTTACTTCTAATAGGGGCCTGACTGCATATACGCTTGATATATATGCATCCAATATGGAATAATAAAAGCTACTGTAATACTATTTACAAATCTTCTGGATTCCTCCTGCGTCGGTTTTTGTTGAGTCGAACTTGCTAACGTTTCGCCAATCATCCTGTTGGCTTCTTTAGAGCTTAACTGAAACTTCATCAACAATCGATGCAGGAGAAGAAGATTTATGAATAATATAGAATATAACTTCTTCGACTTTTAGAATCGCGGTATCACCTAGGAAAAAAGTATAAAAACTATTTTTGCAGATAATTTTATGATCGACAATTTATATCCGAAATATTTTTTGAAGAAAATAACTTGTTAGCATACGTACGCTCGATAGGGACTTTTGGCCCTTTATTTCTGCTACTGTACCAACGATCTCCACCAAACTGAATGTCTATTTTGACCGGACGATAGTAACAGTGGCGTCATGTTCGGAAAAAATTATAATGCATAAATAGTATAATACAACAAAAAGGGTAAGGTATGCGCATAAAAAATAGGGCTATGAAAACATCAAGTGTTTAATACCAAATTCATATTCCCAGAAACTCAACGTGGTAAAAAATTACCGAGGAAAACCTATTCGAATGGAAATGCAAAATATTGTCGTGTGTACTTAATTGATAAAAAAAAACTGTGTTTATCACAAAATATACCGTGTATGGCGAGGTTCGGCCATGTTAATCAGACACCAGAACATGGCGGATTATTCTGCAATTTTCGAGAGAAAAATTTACGCAAGAAAAATACTGGACTCTTACTTTTAGATTTGCCCATCGTTGCCATATTTATTTAAAAAAATAACAAGAAAAGCTAAACCAACTTCAAATGTCAAAGATATCAATTCGTTGTTCAAAAACAAAACAAAAATAATGGAAACACTTATAGATGCCGCTTTGTCTCTTCGATACATGGGACAAAACAAATCCATAATTTACCCGATTCTGTTTTTAAGCGGCCATGACATCGAGTTTAATTTTTGTTTGTTTTTTTGCGATTTTAGTTGCTTGCTGCGACTACATTTTGTGTGTCGATCACACGTTTTAGTATGTCAAAAAGATTAGAGCAATGCAATATTTGATGATCACCGAGTCCGCTCGTTGACAAACCTAACCTTTGTAGAAAGCATACAAGTAGTTCATGGAAGCAAATAGCCTTTTTGTACCTTTCCTTAAATTGATCATTCATCAACCCAACAGCTCTAAAGTTTGAAACGCGATGATCAAATCGTAATTTTTTGAAATTTAAATTTCGAAAGGAGTAGATCTGGCAACTACGCGAATGCCGGAATACTTTTAAAACGTCCATCCAAAACTACTTACTATAAAAGCAGGGTCGGAAACTTAGACACACGACGTCAATTTATTATAAACACGGCAACATTGTAACACCCGATAGAATCTCCTATATTTGTACTAATAAATATGGCCACACTGTGCAAATCTACCTCGGGCGCTCTTTCCTTTTTCGTCGAAAATTTCCGCATAATCCATAATAATCATAATTCCGTAGGGGCAGCTGCCAAAAAATCGCTTTTGCGTGACGTTTAATCGTCCGCGCCCCTCGCGTGACGTCACTGAGGTAGCGGACACCGTCGAGTCGAAACGGAAGCGGGTGATTAACTATTTTAGGCCACTTAAAGAAGAGTTAATGCGAAGGAAGTTAAGTACTCGAATTTTTTTATGCTCCTAACGTATCCCTAAACTAACACTTACTACTAAATCGTTTAAAATAATATAAAATAACGCTCGTCTCCTCCGCTTTCGTGGGCGCAGCGTGCCGCTACACGAAGAGAGCCGGAGAGAGAAGAGGAAGAGAGAGAGAGAGGGAAAGGAAGTCCGGATGAGAAATTTCACTTGTGGAATTGTTCAATGCAAAGCTTGCACGACCACGATCCCTCCGGCGGATTCACCAGGGGCGGACTGAGGCAGTACATGTGGTACCCTCGGTCGCAGTCGTCGCAAAAGAGCAGCTGATCCTGAAATTTCGTTCGCTGCTGTTAAAAAAAAGGGAGCGTGACGAGCCGCGTCTACTCACGTCGTTGTCTGACGTTCCGCACACCGAGCAACATTTGCACTCGATACACTGCCAGCGGTATTTTTTAACGGAGATTTTCATGTTCTCAGTAAACTGCAGGCAAGTCGGATGGCCTAAAACGTAAAAATGATTTTCCCATTTAGACGTTACCCCGCCTAAGAAATATGCGAAAAAAATAGGTCGGGTCGTAAATGCGCGCGATTGCCATTGGCAACACCGCGTTGCGCTCAGAATGGGCAACTAATTTTTGTATTTGTAATGTATGTATTTGTATTTTTGCACGGCGTCTCCGTTATTTTTAAAGGTTTATTTGTTTATTAATATGTCTCTTTTAATGGAACACGCAAGTTAGGCATTTTTTGTACACTGTGTGAAAAATAAAACGACCCACTATATAGTCTGGAAACCCATAGGAGTTACGAAAAAAAGACAGGTACAAAAGTTTCTTGGACTCTCCTGAAGATTTAAAATATATGTATATATCGACATTTTTAGAATCCTTGGTTAAAATAAAGGTTTACTTTCTTAAGAAATTTCTATTCTAATTTTGCATAGTCTAGGCAGAAATTGAGGTTATGTGTTTGTTTTTTCATATTTTGATTGCCCCATATAAAATTATGTTGTGATGCGGGGTATGGCAACGAAAATTTAACGACAGACTAAGGGGATGATGCATCACTCTTATGCGCCTCATCTTATACAGGGTGTCCCAAATAGGTGGTCCCGTTTCGGAGAATTCAATTAACGATTTAAAAATAACAAAAAAAAAGTAATATTGCGTAAGTGACTTAATGTGGACAGCTTTAAATTCAACAAGAATATAACGGGTGTTATCTTGAACCTCGAATATCTCAAAAAGTAAGTAAAATTTAAATATAAGATAAATTTTACAAACTTACCTTGATTTTTTTTCCTAGAATTGATTTCTGAATAAAAATACAGGGTGTTCCATTTGAAAATCTTGAGATGTTAATTAAATTCGTCAAAACGGCACCCCAATTTGGGCCATCCTGTATAAGCTGAGGTGCATCTGTCAAACTGATTGAATAGTGCATCATCTCCTTAGTCTGTGGTTAAATTTTCGTTGCAATATCTGGATCAATAACGTCACAACACAATTTTATACGGGGCAATCAAAATATGAAAAAAAAAACACAATTTCTGCCTAAACTATGCACAAAATTCAAATAGGAATTTCTTAAGAAAATGACCTTTATTTTAACAAAGGATTCCAACAATGTCGATATATACAGGGTGTTCAATTCAAAATAACAAAGTTGATGTCGGGGGTGGGGGGGCACTTTTGGGACATCCTGTATCGACAAAATTATAATATTTTAAATTTTCAGGAGAGTCCAAGAAACTTTCGTGCGAAACTTTTTTTCGTATCTCCTATGGGTTTCCAGTGGGTCGTTTTATTTGACACACGATACGATGTACTTCCAAAAAACATGTATTTGTATTGTGATAAGCGAATGGGATGAGCAAGGCCCCAGGTCTGCGCCCCATATAGAGCCATAAAGAGGCCCTGCCTAACGCTGATAAAACAGGAATTTATGAAGCAACTGTAACAAAAAAATTTTTTATATATTATATATTTAAGGCTTCGTTTTTAACGTTAGTGGGTTTGGAGGTTCGAAGTTGAAAATATAGACGATAAATAAGGACGTTATATAAATTATTAATCGCGATTTTATGACTTTTGGAATAAAAAAAATATAAGTTCCATTAAAAACGCAACATTTAGTTAGAAAAATAACGATCTGAAAAACATATGGCTTGGTGCTATAGTAAAAAAAAATCTTGTTCAATAATCTCATTCAGAGAGATTTTGACAATTTAACAATCATTCATTATATATATATATATATATATATATATATATATATATATATATATATATATATATATATATATATATATATATATATATATATATATATATATATATATATATATATATATATATATATATATATATATATATATATATATATATATATATATATATACATACGTCGTTATAGTTTAGAAATAGATTGATTAATGTTAAAAAAAAAAATTCAAAAATAAAACTGCACGCCTGTTTCTCTTCGAATTTCAGTTATACCGTCAAGGGCGAGTGTCCCCAGCAGTGTTGCCAAACTGGTCCCGCAATAATTCTTCTATACTCACCTAAACCGGGAAACGGGCTAGGATTTTTGTTTCGGGGTGGAGGAGGCGTGCCGAAGAACAGGTACTTTCCAAGTTACGTTAATTTTTCTTTTTCCGCGTTAATTTTAATGCACGCGAACGAGATGCGTTAAAACAATCGATAAGGGGGTGGGAGACGATCGCGCCAGAAAAATTGACATAAGTTGAAGTGCACCGGAAAACTTCGGCACTGCAAAAAAACGACATTAGTCACAGTTCCAATTATTTATTTATTGCACTATTTGATTCTTGTTTACGGCGACCGGTTTACACCAACAAGGTCTTGGAAAATCACTGTTCTTACAACACGCGACGACATCGTCAATTACAACATTCTAATTTAAAGAGAGAGAAAAAGAGAGAAGAAAATAAATCGCTGGAATTTGAGGAAAACAAAAAAAAAGCGACAACAATGAATACAAACGCAATAACTAATAATGCCCATATGTGTGTATATATATATATATATATATATATATATATATATATATATATATATATATATATATATATATATATATATATAACGTTTGGAAGACAAACGTGAGATTCTATAACTAAACTTGTATGTATATAAATATTTGGTGAGTTCAGTCTATCGACACTCATAGAATTTAAACTCCTAGAAGCCTGATATAGAGAGAAACCCCTCATGAAGAAAGCGAGAAACGCTGACATGACTGGATGACATATAGATAATAAATCTGTAATAAGGTAATTTATATACTCGCGATGTTGCCAAATATAGGAAAAATTCCATTTTATGTACATTTTACCCCTAGGAGCATTATTCTATGTCGACACTAACTTTTACGTATAATATTTTTAAGCGCGGAGTAAACAATGATTATAGCGACTCCCTAAATAAAAACTCTGCCTCCCCCCCCCCCAAAAAAAAAACAAGGTCGGAGAATGGTGTACTGAGGCAATTAACCAGCCACCAGCTACTTTAATTAATACTGGTCAAAAATTACACCAATTTCCAATAATGGATAAAAAAAAGCTTGAAATTGCTAAGAACTCGAAAATGTCTTTAAAAAAAAAGTTTTTAAATGAAGCATAACTTTCGACTTAATCTTAATTTTGTACATCGTGTTGGCAGCTCTTGGATTTACATTATCGAAAAAATCACGTGTCTCGATAAATTATATCGATTACCGTATCAGAACGGCAAATTTAAAAAAAAAACAGTCGAAGTAAAAATCACCTCCAGGAAGAGCATTTCCAAAACTTCCACTTAAGGTTAATTTGAGAAGGTTATAAATCGCCTTATAAAACTACCGCTAGAGGCGCGCGCGTCCTATACCAGCATAAAATATTTTCAATGAATACGCATGTCCGTAGTAAAAAGTCTTCATCGATTTATGTCCTTCTTAATAATCGTTCCTTAGTCACTTTTACTAGGTAAAAAGCGATAACAAAACCCTTTGCTCGATGAAACTTTCAGAAACGCTTCCCTAATGGACTGTTAATAAAAGGTTGCTTAACATTTCACCAAAATGGGTGAACCTTCATCCTTTATTATCTAAAGTGGGTGAAAAAAATTACAAGTTCATAATAAAATCACTGACCGGCAACCATTTTGCTTAAGGTTTATTACTAAATGTCACCCGAAACACTTAAACCCTCGCTACAAGCGGTTTAACCGTCAGGCGTCCGCATATAAATTTGCTAACTGGCTTTTGTACTGGTTAATATCGAAAGCAACTCTGGGTTGCACCTAATCCTATTAACCCCCCTCTAAAATTAGTTAAATAATTTGATTATGTCCTTTTTCTTAAAACATACCCCGAAAAAATAAACGATTTATCCAAAATTTTCAACGTCACTCGACTAGACCCCCAAATGTTTCATTTGAAAAAAAAAAACAAAGCATGACTAGTTTCTTGGATCCGAAACGATAAAAAATCCCCGCATAACCTCAAAAACCGTGCAAAAGTCAATGACCTATGAACAGAATGGACCCGGTGCAAACGAGACTATACTAGCCCAGGGGTTCCCAAAGTGTGCGCCGCGGCGCCCTGGTGCGCCGTAGAATGTAAAGAGGGGCGCCGTAAGTCCATCATCATTCATTATCCGAAACATGTCCGAAACAAATATACGCGGGTACCTTATTTGAGCCCTCGCATCTATAAAAACATAGTTACCTACTAACCATCGCGTCGCGGCGTTTCTCACTCGCCAAAAAACCTACGCCCGCGCCGCCCTGATACCCTACCCCCCCTCCTAAGTCTTTAGTAGCATCGGGCGAGCTGCGACGGACGGACGTGTCATAGTGTTTTCTTTCGCTTTGTTTTTCGTCAAATATCTCACGCAAAATGGACAGATTTTTATTAAATAAACAAGTTGGCAGTCCAAATGACAGTGATAATGCATCAACTAGTAATGGCAAGGAAGCAAAGAAGCGGAAATATCGTAAATACGATGATAGCTATTTGGACTTTGGTTTTACTTCAATAGAAGTTAATAATGAAGAAAGACCGCAGTGTGTGCTTTGTTTAAAAATATTGTCATCCGAAAGTATGCTTCCAAGTAAGTTAAAGCGACATCTTGAGACAATTCATCCAACTATGGTTGAAAAATCGCGTGATTTTTTTCACCGAAAATTACAAAATTTAAATAAAACAAAAAACGTATTCACTCAGCAAGCCTCAGTACCTAACAACGCACTGTTAGCATCATTCAAGGTAGCATACAGGGTGGCAAAATGCAAAAAACCTCATACTATTGCAGAAGAGCTTATTCTACCGGCTGCTCTCGACATGGTAAACATTATGGTTGGAGAATCGGCAGGAAAATTAATTTCCAAGGTACCCTTATCTAACAACACGATCGGTCGAAGAATCCATGACATAGCTGAGGATCTCAATTACCAATTAATAGAAAAAATCAAAAACAATTATTTTGGTTTGCAACTTGATGAGGCTACTGACAGTAATAATGATGCGCATCTTATTTGCTACGTACGCTTTCTGACTGACAATATTATTGTCGAAGATCTGTTATTCTGCAAAACCATTACCGAAAGTGCGAAGGCCCAAGACTTATTTGAAATTATTGACAATTTTTTTGTAGAAAATGGTTTGAATTGGGAAAAGTGTATTGGTATTTGTACTGATGGCGCTCGATCCATGTCTGGCAGGTATGGAGGAGTACAAGCGCTTATTCGTAAAAAAGCACCGAATGCTTTGTGGACCCATTGCATCATCCATAGAGAAGCTCTTGCATCAAAATCTATGAGCTCCGAACTTAACCAAGTACTGGAATCTGTAATTAACGTAGTAAACTACATAAAAACTAGGCCTCTTAAGGCCAGACTTTTTAAAAAACTATGCTTGGATATGGGGGCTGAGCATACGGCCCTGCTGTATTATTGCAATTCACGGTGGCTATCACGTGGAAATGTTTTATTTCGTGTGTTCGAATTACACGAAGAAATTCGAACTTTTTTACAGCAAGAACGTCATGAAAGCGCCAAATATTTTACTGAACCAGACTTTTTGTTAAAACTAGCATATTTGTGCGATATATTTGAGAAACTAAATAATTTGAATCTGTCTTTGCAAGGTAATAACACGCACATTCTGAAACTATCGGAGAGAATTGCGGCATTTAAAAAGAAACTACAGTTGTGGATAAATAAAATGAATGAAGGCGGCGGTCAAGATTGCTTCCCGCAGCTGTATAAATATGCGGCATCTAATGAATTGGTTGTCTCACCAGACCTGATTGCCCTCTTCACGGAACACCTATTGAAGCTCAGCGAATGGTTTTCGGCGTACTTTAAAGATGATGATGTTGAAAAATTTGCATGGATCAAAGATCCTTTCCACGCACAAGCTCCACCAGGGTTCACATCACAAGATGAAGAGAGTCTCATTGAGCTCTCTTGCGACAGCAGTCTTAAAACTAGATTCATCACTTCCGACTTGTTGGAGTTTTGGTTATCAATTCAAAATGAATATCCAAATTTAGCTTCAAAAGCTTTAAGAATTTTCATTCCGTTTGCAACGTCATATTTATGCGAGTCTGGTTTTTCAGCTGTAGCTGTAATTAAGAACAAATATCGCTCGAGAATCAATGTGGAGAAAGAAATGAGAGTAGCAGTGTCAAGTCTTATTCCCCGCTTTGAAAAACTGTGTGCATATCACCAAGCTCACCCATCACATTGATTTGACTGACAATCGTACATATTTTATTTTTGTTTTTCATAAGACTTAAGAAATACACAAGTTATTTCCAGTTTTAATTATTTTATAATATTAAAAAGTCTGTTTGATTGTAAGTGTTTTAATTTATAATCCTATCTAACCTAACTACTATCATAAACAATTATTATAGGTGCCTATTTCTTCTTTTTTAAAGAGCAGGGCGCCGTGATAAAGTACTAAATTTGTAACTGCGCCGCGGGATAAAAAAGATTGGGAACCCCTGTACTAGCCAAAATAAAACAAACGAAGAGAACGAGAGGATATGATGCTCAACCACATTAACCACCTCTACCAATACAGCAGCTCATAGAACTCGGTTGACAACAAAAATGTATAGAAGAATAATATATAAGTTGCCCCACTCGAGGTTACGCCCGCGCAAAAATTAACAAATTAAAGAGCCCTTCACAAAATATTTGAGAAAATATGAACCTCAACGTAATAAAATTTTAGTACCTTTTCTTTTAGTAAATTTCGATATCTAAAACGTGTAATGGTTATGTCCGTGACGTATAGGAGGTCCAATCAAGAAATCGTCCATTCTAGATGTAACACCTAAGTAGAATGTGTTCGCAAAAAAAGGTACGAATTTTTTTTCAAATTTTTCTAACCCGTAACGTCTTCAAAAATTTTTGATTGCTTTATCTAGAAATGCCCAAATCAAATATATTTTTGGGTTAAAAAATTTTTACGCTTCAACGTCAAAAGTTGTGACCAGATAATTATATTTTTACTTTGTTTTTTTTTTTTATTTCGCGAAAATCAATAAGTTAATTTTTATCCTGAAGTTGCGGCTACCTTATACAATTGGTTTTTACAGCAAGGACTTTCCATGCAGTTTTCTTTCTTAGCGCGATTATTTCATATACGCAACGGTTCGAATTTAATTTTCTTTAAAATTTTCCAAACATTTTCGACCTACCCATAAAAAACATGAAACTATAAAATCTGGCGGCGTTCTTTGACGCGATGAGGACAGTGAGGCAACTTTTATATATTCAAGTAAACAACTTTTACCATTTTTTTCCACAACTCAAAAATATTACTAGGAGTAAGAATTTGTTTACGGGAAAAGGAATTTAATTTCCGTTTCAACGAGTTACGCCCCTACTAGCGCCGGCGCGCCGCACAACCGAACCCAAACAAGGTCGGCTGTGCGGAGCGGCTGCCCATGCATTTCATAGGTCTGTAAAGTTCAAATAAACGAAAAACGGGACTGATACGTCCCGTGTGGTCCCCGAACGCAAGCCGCCATCACACGTTACGCCTTCTTTTTCCTACCCCTTTTAACGATGGCCGTTTTGATTTCAGTGCGCGCGTTCTTACCCGATCTGCCGCAGTCCGAGCAGGAAACCAGCTCCTCCACGCCGCCTGTCTTCTTGTTCTGCGTCGAATCGCCCAGGCAAAAGTCGCAGTAAGGACTGGGCGCGACGACCTTCTTCTCGGGGCCCGCCGCCATCATGGGCTGCGGCTCCGGGCACACCTCCATCTGCGGGTGGGGGGCGATCGATTGGGGCGGCGGTTCCAACGCTCGTTCGGGTTTCAAAATCGGCATGGGCGGATCGTCCATCGGGCCGGGCGGTGGCCCCTGATTCGGGGGCAAATTGGGAGGCAGCGTCGGCGGGATTTGCGGCGGCATGGCCATCTGGGGGTGGTGCGGAGGTATACCGGGCATCGGGGGCGGCGGCGGCTGCCCCATCGGCGACCCCTGGCCCGGCGGACCGTTGGGTCTGCCTCGGCGTGACGGCGTTCCTGCGTAGGTAGGAGGTGGACAAATTGCGAAAGGTCAGTGAATGATATTCGCATTCGAACCGCCACCGTCGGATGTTAACAAAGGCGAGACGACAAAAAAAGTCCAGTTTCAAATTTTTAATCTGGATATAATAAAATTACGGAAAACGTAGTGAAACTCAAATGGACAACAACTAACGAGTGAACAAATTGACTCAAATAATAGGTAACCAGAAACCAAAATCAAACTCCATGTTTACTTTACATCTTTTTAAGGCTATGAAAAAATACATCCATATAAATATCAATATACGGATATAGACATTGTCACAGCATATTACTTTGAACAAATTAACACATCTGCATTGGCGTACTCATTTTGGGAATACTCTCACATATTTTCACTATTTTGAAATTGATAATATGAATACTGGTATATTTATGTGTAGAAACTTATTGAAATACCAAAACTAATTATTATTGCATATTGAATAGTAAAATGCTGTTGAGAAATGCCGGAGATATAAAAAAAAACAATTAAATAAAGCAGCAATATTTGGCGGTTAATGTATGAAAATGCAAATATCAGGAAACCTTTGTAATCCAGTTAAAAGTAGTATTTTTAGTTACAAATCAGAGTTGAAGCATAAAATAGTGATATTTTACAGTGTAACTACCGACGTTTTACTAAGGCATCTTTGACTCAATATCACTATTTTTGCGGGTCCATTCGAGTCTTAAATCTTGGTAAACCTCACATATAAAATATAATTTAAGGCCGTATCCTGCAGGATAATATACTAAACGCATTTATACAGTATTGAAAAATTATTACATTGTGAAAGATGGGAAATATTTTTCAAGTAAATATTGGCAATCTCATTAAGAGTAATAAAAATAAAATAAAAATTATTTGAGACATTTCATTTGAACGATAAAAAATAGGGCAGTTTTAGAAGCAACAAACTATGTCAAATAATTCTCCATACACTTTAATAAATCACTATTCAGAACTGCAGGTAGAACCGTTATATATCAACATTTTATCAAGTCAGCTTGTATCAAATTTCGCTTAAACAAATGAGTTGTTTATTTTTGGCGCCGCTTTTAAGTCAGTGGTTTTGAAGTAAAAGATAAATGGGCGCTAAAAATTGCGAAATTCCAATTGCGCTTCGAAAAATTATAGTAGATTTTTGGAAAGAAAAAAAATCCTTTAGAGATACTGCCACAATAATTTAAAAAATCACATTCAACTGTACAGTATGTAGTAAATCAATACAAATCCACCGGATCTTATCAAGTGCGGCTACGCACGTCCCAGGAAGTTAACTGCACGAGAAGTCTTGTTGTGAAAAAAATTAGAATTCATTCTAAAACAAGCCTTACAAAACTTGCAGAGGAAATCAGGGAAGATTTCTCAAAAAATGTTAGCCCTCAAACGATTGCATCGAGCAGGAAAAAAACGTTTGGAATTTGCCCGGCAATACATTAACAAAACCAGGGAGTTTTGGCGAAAAGTTATCTTTAGAGGCAAAAGAAAAATTAATCTTTTTGGGTCAGATGGTCGGGATTAAGTTTGGAGGGAAAACATACAGCGCTGAAAATCGAAAATATGTGTCAAGCATGGTGCATGTAAGTCAACCAATGGGACAGGTAATTTAGCTTTTATTGACGGAATCATGGACCAACATGGCTATTTGATCATTCTAAAGAATTTGAAACCAAAGTACTGAAAAACTTAACATTGAGGGGCGTTATTTATTCCAACGGGATAACGATCCTAAACACACTGCTACGCTTGTACGTCACTGGACGATCCATAATGTCCCCCCACAACTTCATACACCACCACAATCTCCGGATGTTCAGAAGTTCTCAAAAATAAGATACAAGAAGAGTGGGAAAACAGATGGCCAGAAGTTACAGGAAAGCTTTTTTTAAGTCTTCTACAAAGACTTAATGCCATTATTAAAGCAAATGGCAATTGTACAAAATATTAGACTTTAAGAAACTTTTCAATTTATCATTTTCTGAAAAACCTACCTTCGGAAATCACCCCATGTGTTTATATTATATGCCAATATGTGTAATGTTTCACCGATCATTCCAGATTTGTCAATTCCATTGGCAGAGAGAAATTACATGTGACGTAATTAAAAGGATTTTGATTTTGGCGCGTCTGTCCTATAACTGTCCTGACTGCTAAGTGTCCCAAAAAACACAGTTTTTTTTTACACGCGCCTCTGGGTTCGTCGTCAGTTATCAACGAATGCCAAAGAAGCGTGCGGGCAAAAATCGGCAACGAGTGCAGGGTGGCTTCTTTTCTCGTCTTTGTTAACGTCCGGCGGATTCGGTCATTCAGTGTGCGTGTGTTCGTAAAAATAAAATACGCGCGGGGTTTTAATTCTTGTCGGTTGCGTATATTAATAAAATTCGAACTACGTACAGGAAAAAAAAAGAGACGAGAACTAAGTAGATAAGCGTTCGACATTCCGAGATCTATTCTACGAGGCATGCAGGCACGTCACACGTGAAAGGGACAAGTGGGACGAGCGGTTTGGCATTTTTTTTTAATTTTCCGCAAAAATGGCAGCCCCGTCTCCGTCGATTTCAATGATGAAAGTTATTATAGTCTGTTCCCCTGAAGTGGTAAGTAGTAAAAAGGTGAATTAACGGTAATAATATATGCTCAATAATCAACGTAATCAATAATATAAGAAATACCTCACAAAAACCAGCATAGTGGGTTGCCCTATAATAAGAAACAAAACCAAAAACTAACCAAAACTAATAACTGTTCGTTTTTTGATAAATTTTTACTGCTCCACGCAGCAAGCAAACAGACTATATAGCCCATTTTCTCTTGTTCTAAAGACCCTAGATATCAAAATTGACCCACAAAATGCAGGCAGAACATGTGAACGTCCAATATTGAATTAGCACAGTTTGCCACAAGCCAAGATAAGAAAACGATATAAAACATCGAAGTTAAGTTCCCGAATCATTTTTCATTTATTGTGAACAATTTCATCGGGCAACAATTGACATCTGAATGCACAAAAAAATAGAAAAATCAAGAAGACGGAAGATAATTCAGTTAGTACAGTTACATACAGTAATCTACTCAACCACCAAGACATTGTCCCGCTGCCAGTGGAGCGTTAGAAATTAGTCTTTAACCAAGCTCAGGGCTGGCCGAATTGAAACGTGTAGTCATTTTAATTAATTTAATTTAATTGACCACCGAACGCCAAACCACTCGGTTCCCGCGAAAAAGTCTCGACCGACGCTGAAACTTTTTTTCCTCGATTTAAAATGAAAAAAATTGCTAGCAGTAGCAAGTTTTATATCTTCTCCCAAAGACGACAAAATGAATTTAGTTTATAAGAAAATATGATCAAAATAACCAACGATAACAACATTTCCGAAAATTGAACCAAACATAATGACATAGTGAAATAAATGGTTTCTATACATTCACCATGACCTCTGAAAGATTTCCAATGTTTCTTTTTAAATAGACAATACATTCTATTAAATAATGTGAAACCGAATTAATATTTTGATATCAGGGGGGGGAAATATTTGGAATCTTCCAATAAAGTTTTAAAAAAAAATAGCTATTTCTCAACTTTGCAATACGAATTAAAGCCTCCAAAAAATGCTATCGAACGACCGCCATTTTTATATTTTGCATACGACAAGCGATCATAACCTCATAATTTTGTTTCGCCTCGAGGCAAATCCAGCGTCGGACCTGAGAATTTTTCCTGGACCGTCCCAAAAACAAAAAAAAACTAAATAGTATATTAAAAAGGCAGTACCGGGTGTCTGGTTCAAAAATGAAACGTAACTATCTTGGTAAACGTGTCCTTGGCTCGGCCCGTGTTGGTGGGCGTGAGGGGAGGTGGCGTTCATGTCGAGCGCCCCGCCCCCGGCCGGCGGAGGCCCCGGCGCGGGTCCCATGGGCGGCATGGGACCCGGGAGGGGCGGCCCGCCCGGTTGCAGGCCGGGAAAGGCGCCGCCGCCGGGCAGGGGTCCGCCCGGGGGCGGTGGCACGCCCATACCCATCGACGGCGACGGGGCCGACGGGACGGGCGCCGCAGGCGGCAGTGGCGCGTTACTGTCGCGCGAATTTTCGTCGCTAGCGCCCTCTTTGTGCGAGTGGCCGTAGTGATAAGTCAGTCCGGGCCTTGTTTTGTAACGTGCCCCGCACACTGAAATTTTTAGAAAAAACAAATATGGGAGGAGAGTCCGTGGTGCGCCGACGCCTTTACGGGAAGGGTACCGCCCCTCCGGTCGCGCGATATACAAAACGTCTGCCCTGAATAAATTACCAATTTACCGCGATTCTTTTGTTCGTCTGTGACTTTTATACTGTCATTAGGAACTTTGTAGCTCACCTATCGTCCAACATAACGTCTGTTTGAATATAAAAAAAGTTAGGGACAAAAGGGAAGTTTAACCGTATACAAAATCGATCGCAATTTTCATTCGCTCCGTTGCGAATGTACAGTCTTTTTCTAATTATTATAGTTTTTTTGTAAGGATTTGCTTTATTTTAAGGAAAGTTCAGAAATAAAACTGGCGATCCGGCGTCCATTCGTACCTACTCAAATTTGCATTCACAGTAGTGTACAGTTTTCTCTCCCTTCCTAACATTCGTACCACCTTAATGGTAGTTAATGGCAGCAACACAGGTACAAACATTAGGTGTTTCACAAAACGTACTGCTTATTGGTTTGGTTCGTCAGAGAGCCCCAAAATAATCATTTTTTTTTATAATTTTGGATACGGTGTAAGATAACTAAACGAAATTTAGATAGATTATGAGTTATAAATTATGATATAGAATATGAGTAATCATAAAAATTACAGCCGACAAAATTTTAATATTTTGAATAGGATATTTCTTTTTATACAACAGTTATAGTAAAAAAATAGTGGTTTTGGTTAGTTTTTGAGTTATTTAAGCTATCTAATTATCACTGTTTCAGAAACAACTACGAAGTAAACATATTGTCATTTATTTTGAACTTATGTATCCTACAACATTGTTTTTTTTGTTTTCTCCCACTTCATCGCTATTGAATAATACATGATGCATAATGTGCATTGATTAGCACACAATTCTATTTATGAATTACCTGGCTTAAAAATCTTTTCCCAGTGTTATTGCAAGCAACCGGCACTGCATTGAAATAGAGTACACCTACACTAAAAATTAATTTTCTATTTCATTCTTATGTCACTAGCAAACGGTCCAACATTGTTGACTCTCAAACCCATAAATCAGAGTTCCATACACAACAGTCAAAACACGTCTTTTGATATAAATTAAAGTTACAGACGAACAAAAAAAATTTTTTCGGCTCACCCTTTGTTATCCCAATATGCGTGTAGTGATGTTATCGACCTTACCTTTTGTTTAAATGAAACACGAAAAATTAAATTTCGATAGAGTGAGATGAGAAAAAGAAATGAAGAAACCCGGCGAATTAAAAGGAGTCAATTTCATGGATGACACGGTCGAGATTTCAGAAAAGGATGATGAATGTGGACAACTCCTAAAACGACGTCCCTGTTAGTTAAGACGGTACTTATTAATAACTGAAAGATTAGTAAGCGTTAGGTAAGCTCTACCACAACGTTGTTAAGGAAGAAAGAATGGCGTCTCTTTATCTTCAAATCGCGACATCGCTATCTTCCAACTCGGTTGACGACATAACGAGAACCACAATATTCCCACAAAAGCACAAAAAATCAATTCGTGGTCCTCGGTCTGTGTCTGGGCAGACCCAGTGACGATTCATCCAAAAGCTGGTAGGAATAAAACATTTAAAATTCTTAAGGATTAGTACAACGTCGACCTGTCAATGTTGCATTTTATTTTACAAGAATGGTGTAAAACCTGTGAACTCGACCTAAACTGCAACGATACCAGCCGTTTTTTTCTTTTTCTATAAAATTTCTCTCACTTTTCTATCACCTAGTTTCTATCTGCCAGTTTAGATCGAGTTCGACATATAAGAACTTGAAAACTTCTCAATGACATCATTGGACAGTAACTAAAAATCTAATGCCAAACGACCGCTGTTAGTAATTTGTTGTTTACGCTATTGAAAGTGCACGAACAAGTTATGCATTTTCTTCTGCGAAGATAGTTTTAAACATTGAACTATTTCGAGGTTACAATGATGTTACGCTTATTGAAAATACGACTTTTAAAATTGTGAGTATTTAGTTTGTGAAACAACGACGTTGGCAAATAAGTACACGGTTTTTATGACGGTCAGCTCCGGATATGTCACTGGGCCAAACCAATATGCGAACCAATACCGAACCTATCTTTAGTCTCAATTGGCGGCCTGATAAAGCAAATGACACGTGGCGACGACTCATTTTTTTTTACGAAAAACCAAATCGCCGGTACCAACGAAACCCGAACCGAAACGTGAATCACCGAAAAAAAAAAACATCCGTCGGTGTAAACGAAATCAAGTTTTCTTTGCCTTATCATGCCAATGCCAATTGGGATAATGACGGAAGCATTCGGTTCGAGTCCCTGCCTACAGTAATAAATGGAAAGCTGTTCTAAAGCGTCGGAAAGCACTCCAATGTAACCTGTTCATTTTTTAACTATTAAACTATTCCGTGACACTACCGTGTGGCCAGCGTTTAACATGCCCAAGCTTTTAACCCCCGCTGTTGTTGGCCAATTTCGCCGCGAAATGTCATGCGACACATTTTGTCTAGCAACCGCAGGAATTCCATTAAATTTACATATTTCTGACTGTAAAACAAAACTAACATCACATCTTCGGTAAAACCAATAATCATTACCTGAACTCCAAGTCCTATTAAAAAAACAAACGAAAAGTAAGTGCAAATCATTCTAAATTCATATTTTAAGAACTGTGAGGTTCGAGGAAAATTTTGCGACATCATTTCCTCAATAAGGTTATATTGACAAATGCCGCTAAGCCGGTTGCTAAACAAAATATATCGCGCCATTTTATGTACTTCCCAAGGGATGAGTAACTCTTATACCACTCAAGATGACACATAATTAAGTATGAACACGACGACCGTTAAGTGACAACTGCCAAAAGAGAACACAACTTACGTTCGCAGGCAAAAGGTTTGTCAGGATCGCCCGGAGTTGGCTCGAAACTGTGCCCCCCGACGCCTTTCTTACCGCGGCCGCGGCCGGCGCCCTTTCTCCTACCAGGAGTGCTAGGAGAATCTGTGCGGCCCTAACAAAACCCAAATCAACGGATTCCTCTTTACCTGGTTCGATTATCTACTACCCGCCCCGATGCCCGTTTCCCGCGTTTCCTTTGCCTATAAGTCTCCTCGTAATCGAGGTCGGAGTCGGGATCGGGTTCGTCGTAAGTGTCCATTTCCAGCATGTCTTGTTCGTCATAGAACCATTCTTTGGACACCTCGTCTTTGAGCAGTAACTGACTGTCCTTGCTGTCCGTGTCTTGCAACGCCGGATTCTCTATTTGCGATATGTTGTGCATGTCGCTTTCGCCGTCCATCATGGCGTCCGCCGCCCTTGCGAAAGCGCGAGCGTTTATGGTCAAGTACTGCCTTCGTTTTTTGCGCCATCTTTGCCGGGGGTAAGAATATATCTGGCCTGGTAACAATCCCGGCAACCTTTGCCTTTTATTCATGAACAGGGAGCAGTGGTTTTGCGCCAACCCTGTTTGGGTATCTATGAAGGGCAACCGCAGACGTCTCTCCAGACATAACCTCGTGTTGTAATTAACGGCACTTTCGATCGTCTCCTTGTAAAGCGAATCAGTTACAAACCTTTAAAAAAAATGTTCCGAAATGATGGACGCTTATCGGGCAACCAACTCACCCCTCGATTTTTTCCAAACTTGTTTGAGTGTTCGTCGTCGGCGGCGCGACTGGTAACGGTGCGGCCGCCATTTCTACTCATAAAGGAGAACAATTGTTAGCGTTTGAACATCTACGTGGAGGCACAATATTGCAAATCATAATTTTCGCAACTCTGAACCTTTCGCTCCCCAAACTGCATAAACACAAATGATATTTAAATTAACGCAATCGACAGAATGTAAAATTAAACACAAAATATCCTACTCCGGCCAGCAGGCACCGACGAACGACCACAGATCAATACACAAGTCCCTCACAGATCAACAGCAGAGTGTTGATAAAGGAATTATATCGTTGTAAGGTTTAATTCGTATTCTGTGGTGGTATAGCAAAATTACAGTTTGAGACACATAATGATTTAAAAATACATGCGTTTTTAAAACATGTTTCTGAATGTAGACTAACAAAATATGCGTTAAAATGGGGCTGCGCTCCACTTAAAGAGTTTATTTAATATAATCATCCTACATTCTTGTGTAATCAATTATATATCAGATAAATCCATGGACTGTTCATGCACTTGCTGGTGATGTTGCTGCATGAAATTCGACTTGGAAACCAAGTTAGGCGACTGCATCCCAGAACTCTGATTAAGTTGCTGATTAGACATCACCACCAACTTCTGCTGGCTTGTTACAATCTTCTGTTGCGACATAATGTTAGGGTTTGACACAAACTTAACAACTGTATTTGTCGCGGGATTTGGCTGCATCGAAGAACTTGTCGTCTGGGACCTCTGAGGCATGAATATAACTTTTGGTTGATTTGATTGCTGTATGGCAACCCGCTGCTGCTGGCTTATAACCATGGCTCGATTTGGATTTGCTTGGTGTATTATGGTTCCAGCGCTCATATTTTGCCCAACTGACGTGATGGTATTTGTGACTATGCTGGACGATAAAGTAGAAATGGGAGTAGGTTGTGTTCTAGCCTTTAAAACGGCCCCATGGAGTGCCAGCCCTAGGTAACCATACTCTTGTTTGTAGTCCTCTAAATTATCTGGAGGATTACGAAGATTTTTTAAAACTGGAGCAATTACCTTAACTACCAACTGTTTTATGTGACCTGACGCAATTTTATCCGAGTTTGACATTATGCTTCCTTCCAAATGACTTTCAATTCTTGCCCCAATTTGCCTTATCTTAGGTAATATAAATATTCTAATTACCTCAGTACCCAACTCAGATAGTCCCTGGAGGGCCCCATAAAGAGAAGACAATGGAATTTTATCGCTTTGTGCCAAGGCATTGGTGAACATGCGCGTTATACGAGTTTGAATGTTGTTTGTACTCGTGTTAAAATTTTTGCAAATCTGCGCCATTAATCGTGAAGCAAAATCTCTTAGAGCCCAATGATTATCCATTTCAGGTCTCATACACAATTGTTTTGATACTATACAAGTACCCACAGACGGAATCAGCTCATGCAAATACTTTTCAAGAAACAGGCTCTGATTATCTAGCAATGCTTTCACCATTCTCATCAAATATATTAATAATGCCAAATTGTTCTGCACTACATTCACTCTCACTCCTTCTATGATGAAAGTGCACATCCTAGGAAGCATCTCATGCAAGCCCGGATCTGATGATAAACTCTGCAATGCTTCTGCACGTCGAGCCTCATCAGAACCCACACACGCCTCTGTTATTTCCTTGTAATAAAGTTGCTGCTCCACTGATAATTCATGAGTTGCCAGTTGTTTTATTTGCACAGTTTCAATGTTCTTTAATTTTTGCTTTCCTGTTATGGGTTTGCCGGAGGTTTCCTTAACAGGTTTCTTGTTTATTGGGTCTACAGATTCTAATTTTTGAACAGTTTTAGACACAGGGGGAGGGTTCTCCGGTATTGTGGGTTGAATCCCGTCAATACACAACCAATGAGATCTTAACATAACATCCAAAGGAGCTTTTGGATTCAAATTCTGAAGTAAATCATTTAAGTCCACTTCTTTTTCTTCAATAAAATGCAACTCTCTACCACCGCCAGAAGCGAAACGGAATGGTAGGGGCTCTGCTGAATTGAACCCATACTGGGGCTCTATATTTCTAACTTTTAAAGCGGCATCAACATCAGATTGTAACAATTTGACCCGTTTCGCGTGATTCATAAACTTCGCAGCGTCCTGCACGATATGCTTGATTCGAAAAGATATATCTTCGGCGAGTTCTTTTGCGGCCTCGTCTTGTAGATTTCCTATTCCTATGCTTTCTGCTATTACCTTCATAGATTCTATAGAAAAATTTGTTCCATATAAATCACTTTCATTAACTTTAGACATTTTGAACCGGTTCAAATTAGTGCATGACGAAATGAGCACCCAATTCGTTTATTTTTAAACATAAAAATGTTTTATAGCAACAGTCCACAGTTATATTTTTTATATTTTATATTATCAATACGGGAATCTATTCTTTGGTATAAGAAAATTTCCGCTAGTGTGGGGCAAATGATCGAGTGATCCTAGCACACGGGCCATTTCAAAAAGAGGCATCCAAATCTATTATTAATTAAAAAACGATTCAAACAATTAATAATTTTAATCGCTAATTTTAGATATTTATAATATTTTGGCCTGAGCATACATAAAAATGGTCATTAGTATGATCCCAAATGAATGAATGGATGAAGAGGCCTTCAATTACCAAAAGAAGAAGAAACCGAACGTCCAACAAAATGCTGACCGCGATTTAAAAATCGATTTTATTTTCTTATTACCATATTGTTATTTGTTGGTGAATCGGCGTGAAATATGACGAACTCAATGCAAGGTATATATTCTCCATTGCCCCAATCGTTGAGTGACTCCGATTCAGATAAAGAGATCAGCATGGAACCAATTTGCGACAACTATCGGAAAAAAACCGCTCCAGTTTATCGACAAAACGGACATAGCATTCAAATCAAAGATGACATAATAAAAATAAAAAGAGGGGCCAGCAAAATGTCGACTACCCGAAAAGTCGCCTTTGTGTGTTCTATTATTTTGTGTTTCTTGCCAATTATTATATTTTTGTGGGTATTGCCCTGTTCGGAACTTCACACTTGCCCCGTCAAGATAAAGGATTGGACGTATCAGCAAGAAGATGTGGAGCTCGTCGGCGAAATTCACTTGGTGGATGGACTGTACAAGACAAATTTGAATTTAGCGATTCTCTATAAAGGGAGCTATCACTCGCCCAAGCTGTTGAAACACGGGGTTTTGTCATTTATTGGGACCACTGGAGCAGTGGCGTGGGACTTCCAACAGGAAACTGAACCGCACCAAATGAATTGCACTGTCATTGATGTAGATTCAAATGGAAATTTCGATTGTCTTGTGGTAGACGATAAGGGACTTAAGGCGATAGAAACCGTTTCAGGGCAAGCGCTGTGGCACGCCCATTCGGCAGAAGAGAAAAAGACTGTTAGAGATTTAAGCTTGCCAGTGGCAATTCCAGATTTGAATAATGATGGTGTAGATGAGCTACTCAGTGTATTTGAAAGGAAGAGTTTTTTAGTACTCTCTGGAAAAACCGGTAGAGCTTTGGCATATATTCAAGTGCCGGGATGTGTAGAAATTTCAAAGTTATTCTTAAATGTCCACCTTAGATACTTATGTAAGAATGGGACCCTGTACGAGGTAACCATTGACGCCATACAAAAGTTTATTGCGGACAGCCGTTTTAAAATAAGTCCCCATAAAATTAACTACGGAATTAATGAAAACGTGTATATGGCGGGCAATATGCGTTTAACGGTCACTAACGGCGAAGACTGCCCAAAGTGCCGTTCGATAATAACCCTTACAGACGAGAACAATAAGTTGGTGAAAAGCTGGCCATTTGACAATGCTTACATACTGGATCCAAAGTTTTTGTTTTTCGACTCAGCTAAGACCAAGTCGGATTCGTCGAAAGGCCGCGTTAATGGCTTCATAGTCAAAATTTGGCAGTGGTCTGAGCGTTACCGAAAACTGCGGCCCTCCGCTAGAATCCATAAACGCAACGTCCTGATGATAAACGTGAACGAAACGTATTTTGTCAGGGAAATCTCAGAACGCGTCGCTTTGGTCATGCTCAACGACACCAACAACATAATCAACGTCAGTTATACAGAAATAAGTCAGATCTGTGACGGCAACTCCGACAACTGTCAACCTAGTTATGCAAACCAGAAAGACAGTTTACTGATCGCGGACATCGATCGGGACGGCAGCAAAGAACTCGTGAGTTACTACAGCACGTACCTAAAGAAAAACGACGACTGGCGTCTGATTTCCTACTTAAAAGTTTTGAGGTTGGAAGAGGAACTGCCGAAACTGTATGGGGCCAAGAAGTGAGACCGTAATGCGCGGTGCTAGATATCCATATCAACCGAATTAGGTTCTGTTCTCAATTACCGACTCTCTATTTAGAAGGTTTGTCGCCACTTACGCGACTTCGGCTCTCTTCTCTACTAGGTATATGAACACTTCTCGTGATTAATTTTAAGTTGACTGAAAAGTACAAACTACTATGATTAAGTTTTCTTATGCGCACACGACTCACTTATGTCAGCCCATACGTTCCTAATTTTGGTCAGTGTTTCATAACGACCAAGCACCTTTTACTACGTTCAATGCTGACCTGATTGTATCGTGTTTCGTACAATTCTAGTCATTAGAATGTGATTTTGTTTAATCTAGATCCGATTCGTTTTATGTTCTATTGAAAAAACTATACCGAAACAATTCTCCAGAAGTTATTGTTTCGTTTGACATGCGATTATTTGATAAACTTCTTCACAGTCGTCCGCCAAGCTACTTTTGATAGTTCTGTCATCGGCTGTCAAACGTAAATTCTCTTTATTCTTCGTTTCATTACAAAATCGTCCGCCGAAAAACGAAACGTACGTTCTGGCATCTGTCATTTGGTGTTTGTGCGGTTAAACATCTTGACTCCCTTGGCAATATGGTAAAAGACAAAGTGGCCTGCGACTTCGAGTGACTCATTGACATTTAGCTTTTAATATTTTGTGATCTGAGCGTACCCTAACCAAAGTCTTAAGTGTGCTAGAATCTCTTGTATATCAGATAGACAAGGAAAATATAAAAATATTGCAACCCGTTTGGTAAACTTTCTGGGGATCCCGACGTTGGAATAAAACGCGCTTTCATTTTAAATGCACTGCTTAACATTAATATATTTTAAATAGGTATTTTTTATATTACACTGAAACATCTCTACACATATACAAATAATTTCTACAGTAAAGTTACAGGTTCTTCGAGAGAGATACGCGCGCGCCTCCGCAATACAATAAAAAATAACCTTAATTTTATCGATTTAGTTTTTTTTTATTTTGAAATCTCTTGTAAAATATTTACAATAAAAAATATCACATTTTCGTTTTGTCGCAGGTTAGCCATAATTGCACTTGAATCCATACACAAATTTACCCGGGCGACGCGTACGGCCCCAAAAAACCCGAAATCATCGAAAAGAAAAAAAATTCGCGCGACATTAAAAACACCCTGTTAGTTTTGTTTATACGGCGATGGGGGAGAAAACGATTTATTAATTACCAATTACAGCGAAGTAGAAAAGATACGAACAGAACCAAACCTACTAGACAAAAAAAATATATTAAAAAAAAGCCCGCCCCGCCCCCGCGACGCGCGGAAGGGGGGTTGTTAATCGTACAGAAACATCGTTGCTTCGCTTTAGGCCGTCGCGATTCTGTACCAAACTATATTTTCGGTTAAAAAAAAAAGATCAAACTAAACCATAACCTTTACTGTAAAAAATCCTAACTTAACATTACGAGACGTAGCGATATTTGTCATCATTTTGGACCGTCTTGACTTAACCTTACCAATTGAATAAGTCTTTAAAAACCTCTCAGCCTTGGATTATTGATTTTGCGGTTACATTAGCGAACTAAAAGCGACGATAGAGTGGTGAGGGGGAGAGGGGAGATAGGGAGAACGCAACATCGCACCCAAGAACTGTCGGTATAAAAAAATTATTGAAAGCGAATCGCTATAGATACGAAAACCAAGAGGGAGACATAAAAAAACAAATTATAAAATATTATACTCGCGCTTCCGCTCGGATCACAGTAGACGGGTTATTTGTTTTTACCCGCGGGGAAAGTAAAAAATAAAAACAAACGAGTGACGCGGAACGTTATAAACTAATCTTCCTCCGTAAAAATATTTACAAACAAAGAATATACACACGTGCTGCTACACCTTTATCAGTCTGACAAGCGTAGGGCGGCGCGCGAAATCACCCGCCGATTCGTTTTTGTTTCTTGCGCGCGCATCACACGCAGGCGCAACGTTCGACGAGGTACGCACGCAACAAACAAAACGCTTAAATTGACAAGAGACGCGCGTCGCGCTCGACTAATGGGCTTGCGTTGAATTCCAATGCGTCACGTGTCCGTTACGGCACCGACGTCGACCGACTGAACCTGAACAACACGCCATTGGGACTCCAAAATAAGAAGGCAACGATAAGAATCTGAATCACCGTGCAGTACATTATAACTTAAATCAATTGCAGTTTTTTTCAATTGCAATTTTTGTTTAAATTGTTGCTTAATAGTGTAAAAGAAAAAAAAAACAAAAAGGAAGAGTTAAACAAGCTTTGTTTTAGTGAAATTTGTTAATTTGAAGTCGGTAAGTGTGCTTTTTTTTCTACTTGCAAATAATTGACATTAAGTCTAACTGAATATCTAAGAAAACAATGAACATTCCAGGTGCATTATAGAAGAAGTTCTTAATCCAGTGCATATTATTTTGCACGGTAAAAGTGCGGAAAATATTCTGACAAGTGCTTTACAAGCAGCCCGTCAATGTAGTGAACTTTGACAAGTGACCACCAGGTGGCGTGTCGCTTACCTTGAAATCCCAATATTAGTGATGACGTAACATTGGCAATTTTGTTTGGTAATTGTCAGCGTTGCGGTTCCAAACAAACGGATTTTCGCCATATAATTTTTTACAGGTGTTTCAGTTTTTGTTGCGGTTCTCAATTATTAGTAAAAACTTTTAACGAAATTCGTGATTACTTGACAATAGTGTTACAATCCCAATTTTATCGAAAATTAAAATCTGAGATACTAATAATCAGTTTCGATAATAAATTTCCTGAAAGGTTATTGGGCCTATGAATGTTTGCAGGTTATATTTGGATTTTCATTAAAATACTCTTTTAACCCGTTTCATTTCCAATCTTAACATTTACAAAGAATAATTCTATAGTACACTATTGATAAATGAACACGAATTCCGTGCGTCTCAACTAATTAAAAAAACACACAAAACTCAAACAACCGACCAACCAAACTTGGCTATCTGACCTCACACTAATATAGCGTGCGTATTACTGTTGTCGAGCGTCGCGGGTCAAATTGACGACCTAATCTTAAAAAAAAGCACAGCGGATCACTGGCAACCCGATGACCTCTTCGGGTCTTATTTGTTTTTTTTTTAACCGGGCCGGCCAAGGAAAAAAAAGATCAGTATGTACAAGTAAACCATTATTGACAAACGAATAAAACTCACACCTGTTTATCGTCATCTGTCCAATAACGACGGAACAAACGAACTAACACTTTCCGAGACCTAAGGCATCTGTTTTTTTCGCTCGATACGCGAGACCAATAAAGTTGATGCAAATGAACAACCCGAACTAACGAATTTTCCGGCACCCGCTCGCCCCAGATATTTATGTTTTTTCCTCAAAACGCGAGACCAATGAAGTTGGTTCAAATGAACTACTCGAGATCACGTTTTTTTCCCACATAATTCACGAGGCAAACGGCGACAGTATAAACCAAGTACTCATTTTCTTGCATTCGCTGGTCCAGGATTTTTGATTTTGAAGCTGGTGCAAATGAACTATTCGGAGCTAACGCGTTTATCGTTCCCCCGATTTCCGCTGACACATGAAACGCCCTACAGAATGGTTAAAAAAGAGAAAAAGGACGGAAATACAGGTAGACATGACTAGGCCGGTTGGTTTAGTACTAAAACTTTTCCGTATCCGGTCGACCAATCATCGTCCGGACGAACGGAATCATTCACTATCACAGATAACGAAAACCATTTTACGCGGTTGCCAGCGACCCGCAGCGTTGCCGTACTTGTGGTAAATCTACGCGCCCGCTCCTACTACCTTAAATCACACGTCAAAAAATCACATATATCAAAGTTAACTTTTCTAATATACATATACACAGTGAACGCAATCTAAATAGCAAATGGGGGGAGAAAAAAAATTAACCGGAACAGTGGTTGTTGGGAGAGGGATGTGGAGCGGGGTGGTCGTTGTCGTCGTCGTCGTGTTCGCCTCCCCGTTCTAGCCGTCTACTGCGAAACGCGGCTGCGCGGTCCGGGCCGACGCCCCGCCCTACACCCTCACGACGTTCTTGTAGTGGTTCCTGTTGTAGTTTACGTTCCTGTAGAAGGGCGGCGCCATCGGGTAAGGGGGACCATCGCATCTGTACATGGGCCTATGATTCGGATTGAAGTTGAAGTTCATCTGCAACAACGGACGGAACATTGCTAGTAGCTGGGTCGTTTTTCCAAAGGACCAACCTTAACACGAACACAGCGGGAGGGTTATTATGGCGTCTGTTTCCCAAGCGTCGTAAACGCGACCCCGCAACCATATATTACATATACATGTTAATCGATCGTACCCCATTTTTCGCTAAAAATATTATCGCGCCATTTTAAAGTTTAGTTAGGCCTTTGTGACTAACCAATAGAGACCTGTTCACAAAAACAAGGACTAAATAACGGAATCTTGTGACGTATTACGGCCCCGCGTGTAGAATAAAAATTAGCCACTAGTACAACTTCCGCAATAATGCATGTGAGAAAATCAGAAATACACTTGTGACTAATTATTGCTGTCCCGAATTCTGTTTCCTATGGTACCCATGCTATGCTGGACCATCGCTTATTGGCCAAAATACAATGCACCGCAAATTTAACGCATATTTTGAAAAAAAATCGAAAGTAATTTTTAGATTGGAGACCGTCAATTTCTATTCAAACATAATTATTGTTTTTTTCAACCTTTTGACTAATGTGTGGTGTACCAAAGACAACAAAAATGTGATTTTTCAATCTTATAGCTTCAAACCCTGTTGTACTTGAAATGAAGATTCTGATTTCGTCTTTTTCAATTTGATTCAATGATTTAAGTCTATAGGTGGAGGTTGTAGGGCCCATCGAACCTATGTGCTGTGTCCGGGCAAACTGAAGACGTTGCCTTCGATGGTCTATGATAAATTGCAGCCCTGCTGAGAGTAATATCGTTTTCACGACTATCAAGAAATTTTTACTGACGAGAGAATTCCTGCACGACTTCGTAGTGTCCGCATTCGCAAAAATCGAACATGATTAATTGTTTTCACCCTGTTGCATTCTCCAGATCTTCTTTGGGTTCTGCCGGTCTCTCGATACCATTCGCAGATCGCGTTTAGATATGTCACACCTAAACGAAATGCGATTTGAACTTGCCGTATGCTTGTTTCCACAAGTGCTTTCGCCTGATAAGTTTCAAACACGACGATACAGGCATACAACACGAACTATTTCATGAGAAATTGCATTGCTAAGGACATAAAAAGACATCATTTTAAACCATTAATTTTTTGTAATGACATTTTTCCATTTTACAAAATATGCGTCAATTTTGCTGTCGAGTGTATTTGATGAAACTTTAGTTTAAAAGCCAACCAGTCAAACTAAAATTAACCGTGTTTCGTGTGGGCCACGGAACGCCACTGCAGCAGCACGCCTTCTGGTTTGCCGTTCTCAGTCGCCGTCAATGAGGCGCTCAAGTCAGACATGGAAGCTGATAACGCCATTAAAACGGTTTCTTAGATTTAATAATTTATCCCTCCCGAACCTGCCTTTTAATTAGAACTTTGAAGTGAAGAACTCTGTAAGAATGCAATTATAATTACCTATAATATCGCCGTCTCCCGACAAAACTTAACTATTTCTTAAAACTAACAAACGGCAACAGCCCTGACGTCAGATATGCGTCGCACACTGAAAAAAACACAATCGGTAAAATGATGGAGGGCGGAGGGTAGCGGCGGCGAGGCGAAACGCCACGCCCGCTAAGGATAACATGCAAAATACAATAGAGACCGCCACTAATACCACTGCCTACGGATGCAACATAAACGGAATAAGAAAGAACTACATCTACCGAACAGTTGACTAAGTTAATCTCGGCGCGCAGATACGAAGAATGGTGTCGTTGACCTGCGATCTTTAAGTACAGATTAGAAAAATGTTCGTTTCGTTATCTGGGACCGTTTGCGTGGTCAATGGAGACAATTTCGACTTCTGGATCCGTAAAGAAACAGGAACGAGAAGATAATTTAAAGAAATAAAGAACGGCTGTAACTACTTGCAAGCAAATGACGAGGCAGGGCGAATTTTACCACACTCTAATGGCAACTAGCGGATAGGGGCAACCCGTGTGACGTCAGCGCCTTACCCTCGACTAGTAGTGACAGTCGTAAATTAAAATTCGTCGTCGATGGTGTTGGTTTTCGATTGTAAACCTGCCCAACGTTGACCCATCCACAAGCAATTGATCCTTAAGCCTTGCAAGCATACCCAAATCGGCATTCTAGCATCAACAAACCAACAATACCGGGACACTCGAAGCGGGTAAACGAAAATTGTGGACGTTTTCGGCCATATTCGCGAAATCAATAGAAAGTATTTCATCCAACACTAAATTCTTTAAAAATTTTCGCTTACTATTTTAACTACTCTCTTGATGTAAAAATTATAAGTATTTTGGTTTTCAAACGCTTTTAACAAATCTCGGATGAGAATGAACGTGATTTATGATTTTTCTATAGGTACCCGATACGAGCGTTCAGCAGTTTATATAGTCCGTTGGATAACCAGAGGGCAACGAATCCTAGTTTCGGGATTTGCGAACAGAGGGCGCAGCTCGCGCTACTAACGCTAATTCTCTGGTACATATCGCGCACTCTCTCGGCATCAAATGGACTATATATAAATATATAGGCGCATAAACGCGTCGTACCTCTCTTGGTGACTGCTTCGTTCTGAGCGACGACGACGGCGTCGGGATGTAGCCCTGCTGATGGTTCCGGTACTTGACGCCCGATACGGGCGCCACGTATTCGAAACCCTTGAATCCGGGATGACGCGGCTGTTGCTGCGATTGGTTCAGTTGCTGCTTGGAACTGTGGTGGTTGCTCTTGCGGCCGATGCCCGCCCTCTGCTGGAGCGGCGGCGTACTTGCCGGGCTGGGCGAGGGACTGCCGTCGAGGGACGTCGCGGGCCTCGGCGATGTCGATGTCGACGACGACGCGGACGATGACTCCGACGACGTCCTCGAGGAGTTCTCCGAGGGGAAAGTTGCTAGGGTACAGTACGAACCTTCAGATTCGCCGAGTCTGAAATTAAAAAGTCAACGTGATATAGCTCATTATGACGACATGTATGTTGATGTAATATACTTGAGGTAATATTTTCTTAATTGACTAGTCAAAGTCAATCCAAATATTTTTAAATAACATCTTGAATAATAAGATACATTTTATAATCAATTATTATGCGTTTGTGATGTAGAGTTTAGCTATAACCCTTTTCAAAGAATAACAGAATACGATACTTAATAATTCGCGGAATCCCAATAAAAATATCCATTCCATTTAATTTAGTTCTAAGAACGGAGCGACGGCGACTTAAGGCAAAATATAAATAAATATTAATGAATACATATATATCTCATTGTATTTTTTAAATGCCAACAGCCCCACTCCACCCTCCCCCGGCAATTCGACCAATCACGAAATCTCATCCCCTTTTTTTATATACTGGCCTGCGCAAAACCGCAGGCAAATGATTGCCGTAACGTTTTGCTTATTTAATCAAATTTAATTGGCCCAAACGGGTCTCAATTAGCGCGCGTTGAATAACATCGTCTCCGCATATATGGTCGTTCGTAACGCCAATTTTTTTTCGCCTTTTTTGTCAGTAGCCAAGAGAATAATAAACTTCTATGTAGATAACGAGCTTATAATAAATTCCCACTCCAACTTAAATTAGTCATCTCATTAACAACAACTTTTAAAAGCTTATAGGCACACGTTTTTCATAACAAATAAATCTCCCATCTCCAAAAAGGCTTAACGCATTTTAATAAACTTGGAGTAGTTAAAAAGTGATGCAATTGTGGTACTTACCCCATTCGGTGGACTTTTCTGACATGATCAAAATAAAATAATAAATGCAATCATATAAGTTCTTTTATGTCGTCAAATGGTCAAATAAGAGCTCAACAACCCAGTGAAAACAGCATCTTAATTAAAACCTAAATTATCAATTAAAGAATTTAACGCTCAAAGTTAGATTTTGGGAAAACGTTCCACTTATTAATAACAATTACAAATATTATGAACTTCAAATTTATTTTTAAGATGCTAAATGATTTCTAAAATTCAATTAAAAAATTATTTGCGTGACATGCTTTGTTGATTTCAAATATAGAGTATATTCGTTTCATCACTAACTGGTTTTATTTACCATTGACGTATTGAAGTGACAAAATATGGAAAACCATTGAAAAAATTAATAATAGTTAATAAAAGTTTTATTTTGATTTTAAATATTTATTATTTGGTAAATTCGGGATAATTAGACACGAATTTAAAAAAATGTTCCCAAAATCAACTTTTTTTTTAACGTCCGTTATTTTGTTGATAGTTTAGGTTAGGATAAAGATATTAAGATGCAGTTTTCACTGGATTATCGGGCTTCGTTTCACGATCCGCACTATTTATCTTTCACATGGTTGCATTTATGTTTTTTCAGAAAATTAATTTTTGTGCGAACATATCAGAAAATTCCACCTGGCCGCAAGTGAAGCAATCACAAGTTTATTAACATTTTTAGAGATATGGATATTTATTCTGGAAAATGTTCGAATACCCACCGCCACTTTTAGTTCCAGAGATAGGGCAAACGGCATTAAACAAAAACTGTAACCACTAGAAATTTTTGTGGAAACCGAGTTTTAAAATTTAAGATAACAACTACGCCCTCTGGTAACCATTACAGAAACTCAAAAATAATTTCCCGCATTGTGTCTTGGCCGATTTAATCAATAATTTTTTTTTCAAATTTCTGGGACTGTCCGCTATCCTAACATCGTGCCTCGTTGCTCTTATTGGGATACCCTGTCAGTTTTGGTTAGTTGGTTTGGTTTGAAATGATAAGACATATTTGCAAGTATATTTCTAAAAAGAAATTTGAGTCCATTTATAATATAACCGTATAGATTATTTTGCAAAGCCTACACACTTCAAAATCACATCGTAATTTTCGCTCGGCCAGAGGACTATTCGAAAAACAATCGACCATTATAAAGGGAAATACAAATTTCACGGCCTTCGTGTCATTAATTGCGTATTTTGCAACAGACAAACAAAACGGCAACAAAAAAAAAACAAAAACGGATCAAAATCACATAAACCTGTGGACGAAAACGCGTATGTGGCAGCGTGAAACACGTAGTCGTTGCAATTCGAGCATTAGTCACGATCGAGGTTTTCGCCAATCTTTTATTTCGACATTGCCCGTTTTTTTTTCCTTTTGCCCCCGCCCCGGGCGTCATGGTCCCCATTAAAAATAACAAGCTCAGCAAATTGTAATATATACATAATTATTATTATACGTCGTTTCTTGCGATGCCTATTTGTTAGAAGGCCGATGACGTAGGAGGACTTAAAACGTTTGACGGGAAAAACCTTGACGTCGTCGTCGCGGTGTTGCCACGCCGTATTTTTGTTTTCAGTACACACAAATTACAAATCGCGGTATTGTCTTTATGACGAACGTAGTTGAAACAACGAACATTCTAAGCGCCGTCGATGATAATGATCAATTAAAACTTCCTTTCCCAATCGTTCAGATGAATAACCTACCAACCACTCACTACCTGTTCTTATATACATTCACACACATACATACAACTTAACCTTTCAAATTTTACAAATTACATTTGCGTGTCACATATAATTAATGCATATCTGGAAAATATTGTTCAAAGTATTATGCAGACGATTAAAAAAAAAACACATATGCCCCAGACAAGGGCGACAAGGCATCGACGGGTTCTAGATTTTTCGTATTTATTAATTTGTTTATCAAATTTAAATCAACTATGAAAATTGGGTAGCACCGTTTTTGCTTATTGCATTCGTAACGTTATTGAAACTTGTACGGTTAATATTAATTATTGTGTCACTTTTGAGTTGCGCAAGCAAATGTAGCGGCAACTTTTAATGGATTTTATTATACGCGCGGATAGAATTAGAATAATATCTTTTTTGAATATTGATATGACCGGTTCAAAGTACGTAAATACATGACAGGTGTTTTAAAATGTTTCCAGATAACAATTTAATTAATTTAATTGACATATATTGGGTTTTTGGGACATTTTTAAAATGTTAATTATATTAAAATTCGTTTTTTTTTAACATTTTACAACGCGAACGCGCAAAATTGGACTTTTTGTAGTGCCGACAAAACCGATAAAAAAAACAAATTGCATTTAAAAACAATAACATCGTCGACAATGGTTTTATTTATTTTTATATAATTTATCATTCATAAAAACTAAATTGTATGTTTCTACTTCACTATAACTTATTAAAACATCATGTAGGGCAAAGTAGAGGGGAAAAGAGGCCCGGGTAGAAGGCGAATCTTTCCGAACCACCTTCGCAAATGGAATGGCGCTACCTCCACCGAACTATTCAGATGGGCTGCCATTTAGAATCTCCAGTGGCTCCCTATTTATATCTTTCCGAAATTGTTTCTTATTTAAAGCAAGCCAATGAATAACGAAATTTCATTTTCATCAAGTCGTCGTAAACTTCAGGAGCGCTTCAGGGAAAAAATTATAACCAAAATGGGAATGACAAAAAACTGGAAATTGTTATAGACTATATAACCTTAATAGCGGTATTAGAAAGCCTGAAAAAATACACAGAAGTGTCGTCTGAAACCCAATTTGAATATGGAGTAAACTCTTAATTATTTAAAATGGCGATTTATCCAATTTCATCATCGTTAAGTATTGGCATAAATTTGCAAGAAAAAACGTTGAAACCGCATTTCGACATCTCCGTCCGTTTCGGAGTTATTAAGAAAGGACACTTACTTTTTAACACTCTTATTAAGATCGGTAGGCATTACAAAAACGATCATTAGGATAACTGTTATTTAATGTTTAATGTGGATTTGGGACCAGTAAACTATTCTTTTAATGTCGAAGCCCGGTATGTTGAGATATTGTAAGCACTTATTAACGCTGCACTCTTTTTTACCATTATAAATTAACAAATAAATTTTGAAACTCCCCCAGCAATCTTAGAAATCACATTTTACTCAGCAACTGCTTTTATAGAACCGATGCATCAAAACATTCTACTATAAACTGTTTAATCTCACCACATAATGAAATGATCTATAGCGAAGATTTGTTATTGGTATCTGGCGTCCAAAAAGAAAATGAAAGATTTGTCCTATTTTTTAAATAAAAATAGATTTGCAGTTTTACACAGTCGTACAGATTGATGGTTCACGTTTTATAAAATACTGAATTAAAATTTAAATTTTAAACGCGACCTACTTGATACTTTGCTGCGCGTTAGGGATGTCGGAAAAAATATTTAAAAAAGTTGTCCCGAATATTTAACCTACGCCATGGCAAAATTTGCACTTCTAGTTTTTTCGTCATTTTGTGCAAAACATAAAATTATTAAAAATTGTTTTTTTTTTATTTGATAAATTACTGTGCCATGGAAAGAAAAATCTCTACCAATATGGTCACTTTAATAGTAATACAAAGTAATTATTTTATTTTAAGAAAACAATAATTTTTAGTAGATTACTGATTAACTTTAAGAAAACAATTACAAAATAATTACAAATTACAAATTACAATTACAAATTACAAACATTATTTTTTTATCCCTTCCCAAAAATAAAAATCGATTGGTGTAATATCAGAGGACCTCGGAGGCCAGGGTTCAAAAAGTCTGTTTCTTCGTATCCAGCGGATAGGAGATTTTTGGTTTGACCATTGACGAACAATCCTAAACTTGTGAATCGATGCACCATCGAATTGGAAAAACTACACATCCTACATTGATAGGAAGATTTTCTATAGCATGCCATAATTCCCCATCTCAACGACCAGCATTTAATTATTCATTAAACAACAAAGGGCCCATTATTTGGTCACATTTAAATTGCAATGGCGATTATCTCTGGTCCAGTACCTACAATTTTGAAATCATCCAACCCCATTGGTGGTAAATGTAACCTCATCATCTATAATCGAAGATTTGATTTATAGGTCTTGATTTTGTGGCAGATGAAT